TTTGTTTTCACAAACACAGAAATATGACATGTAGGTCGACATTCAAACCATGTTCTTTTGTTTTCACAAACACAGAAATATGACATGTAGGTCGACATTCAAACCATGTTCTTTTGTTTTCACAAACACAGAAATATGACATGTAGGTCGACATTCAAACCATGTTCTTTTGTTTTCACAAACACAGAAATATGACATGTATGTCGACATTCAAACCATGTTCTTTTGTTTTCACAAACACAGAAATATGACATGTATGTCGACATTCAAACCATGTTCTTTTGTTTTCACAAACACAGAAATATGACATGTAGGTCGACATTCAAACCATGTTCTTTTGTTTTCACAAACACAGAAATATGACATGTAGGTCGACATTCAAACCATGTTCTTTTGTTTTCACAAACACAGAAATATGACATGTAGGTCGACATTCAAACCATGTTCTTTTGTTTTCACAAACACAGAAATATGACATGTATGTCGACATTCAAACCATGTTCTTTTGTTTTCACAAACACAGAAATATGACATGTATGTCGACATTCAAACCATGTTCTTTTGTTTTCACAAACACAGAAATATGACATGTAGGTCGACATTCAAACCATGTTCTTTTGTTTTCACAAACACAGAAATATGACATGTATGTCGAGATTCAAACCATGTTCTTTTGTTTTCACAAACACAGTAATATGACATGTAGGTCGACTTTCAAACCATGTTCTTTTGTTTTCACAAACACAGAAATATGACATGTAGGTCGATTCTCCCGTGAAAATATACGTTTGTCCTTCAGACAGATATAAGCAGTACAGATATAACCAGTACAGATATAACCAGTACATATATAAGCAGTACAGATATAACCAGTACAGATATAAGCAGTACAGATATAACCAGTACAGATATAAGCAGTACAGATATAAGCAGTACATATATAAGCAGTACAGATATAAGCAGTACAGATATAAGCAGTACAGATATAAGCAGTACAGATATAAGCAGTACAGATATAAGCAGTACAGATATAAGCAGTACAGAAGTGTCATCGGTTCACGTCAGGCAATGTTTAGTTCAAGTCAGCTGTCCTTAATAAAACGTGTGTCAGTGGACTGAAAAAGTTTTTGATCGGCCTCGCTTATAAAACACAACCACTGAGTAAATTACATTAGACTAGGCCAAGTCTACTTGGTCAGATCTGCATTTGTTACATGGACGGATCACATAAATTAACATAATACAAAGGAGACATATCTATTGTAATCCTACTTCTTTCATTGTTTCCAGATCAGCACACTATAATTCTAAAATGATTTAAAAAATACTAAGAAAGGTTTGGAGTATTCAACTCAATAAAATACTAAGAAAGGTATGGAGTTTTAAAGTATTCAACTAAAAAAATACTAAGAAAGGTATGGAGTTTTAAAGTATTCAACTAAATTTTCAAAAACTAGACAGCGTGTTGAATTAAACAAATCATAGTAATTAGTTTCTTACATAAAATTATTATCCATAACTTGTGGTGAAAGCAATAACGATAGCTTTAAATTAAGTTAGTTTTCATTTTATTTTGTGATTGTTGGAGCTTGTTTAAAAAATAGTAATTATAAGGGCCTGTTGCAAAGTCATTTTGCGGAACAGTTGCCATTATGCAAAAGCTAAGCGCATTTTAACTCTCGTGGTAAATTACGCAACACAATCTGTATTGTAATCCTTGTAAAAAAACAATTAGACATAATGATTGCTAGAATATTAATTAAGACAAACGAACTATATGAAATAATAACTTTCTTAATATAAATATAATTAAAATATTTGTCTTGGAGTTCAGATCATTCAATTTTTAATTAGCTACTGTTATTATGTTCCTTAAAGATCATTTTTTAACATAATGATATGGTATGGGTTAGATCACTGTATTGATCACACACCTCTTAACTGGTAATTGCAAAAACAATATTTAGAGTTTTACCTGTTCCAAAAGCTATGATTCTGGCGGCATTGGGTTGGGAGAGGGGGGGGGGGGGGTCAACTTCATTCACCATTGTCCGGTAACTTTAGGTCAATTATCCTACCCAGCGTATACCTAGGTGTGACATTAATGTCTATACAATAGCTTGTCCGTTTTAGGTGATGATGTTGGGGGGGGGGGGGGGGGGGGGATAACCAACTCAGAGTGAACATAGCGTCAGTTTTTAGATGACTGTTCTAAACATACAATTATACATATAGGCCTACAACTACACATATATACTGATTCAGAAATAGATTTAAATAAGTATCTATCTATCTATTTATTTATCTATCTATCTATCTGACAAGAACGCTCTAGAAAAAACACAAGCAATTTAAAAATGTACACAGTGAAACGAAAACGAAATATGACGTCACATTCAGCATATAGTAGAAAATAATATCAAGCCGGAGAGTGCACACAGTAATATGACGTCATTGATTCTCAAGTAAACATTGAATAAAAAGGCAATTTTGTCTAATCTAAGTGGTTTGCGTGAAGAGTTTCTTTCATACAATTCTTCAGGTAGGGGCGAAGCCCCACCCCCGCGTAAGAACGTCTGAGCCCCCTCCCCAACTCAAAAGAAATGTATTCATCGATACCCTATAATAAAATTACCGCCTAATTAATGTGTCTAATCTAAAAAGTGGTTTTCTTGCAATTTCTTTAATGCAATTCTTCGGGTAGTGGCTAAGCGCGACACCAGTGTTTCTTTCAGACTTTTTTCCTCCCCGGAGGGGGGAACTTTTTCTAAACTAAAAAGTGTTTAGCGTGCAGTTTTTTTTTCAAGCATCTCTTCCGGTAGGGGCTAAGCCCCGCCCAGATTCTTCCTTTAGTTTGTATGATCTACAAATGCGACCAGTGTTTCTTTCAGACTTTTTCCTCCCCGGAGAGGGGTGGGGGTACTTGAAATTTTCGGGGGCGGGGGTAGAATTTTCTGGGAGGGGGCGGACACTGGAAAAAGTATATAATTATATTTCGTAGAATGGGACGGTAGACATGTTTGGGGGGGGTGGTTTTAGTTTAGAGAAAATAGACAGCAGTATCAACCTAGCGCCCGTTGTATCCTTCCTCAACGGGCCATTTTTCTCGTAGTTAAATAGGGGTGCTAATCATCTCCTCTTCTTAATATATTTGTACCAAACAAAAAAGCAATTACTTCTCTAAGTTATTATTTTTTTTTAAATACACACTAAAGAATGACACAGCATAAAAAGGAAATATATTTAAAACAAATAATAAAAATAAAATAAACCGGGAGTGATCTACCCTAAACTTTCTCGAATATTCTTATATAAAATAACAGGGGATGGGAACTCGGGATATAGACATGATTTTTAATCCATTTTAAATACTTAAAGTTTTAAAAATAGAATAAAATCTCGTAGACAGATTAATTGCACACCAAGTGAACGCCAAATAAAAACGCGTATAATAGTGCGCAATATTATTAGTACTTTAAAAATTTACATTAGTTTTTTGAGAAATCGGAAGTAGCGTAAATTACTACTTCCAGTCAACGGAAATTACTCAAAATTTAACAGAAGGTAGAGAATTAGATCTTTTACTTACTTACATGTGAAATTTCATTTATCTATCTGAAATAGTACTCAAGTTATAGGCTTTTGAAAAATTCAAAGTAGGAAAAGTACCACTTCCGGTTGTCGGAAATCGCTCAAAAGTTGATACGGATCTACGATTTTGATATAATACTTATATATGAAATTTCATCAACCTAGCTGTAACGGTACTCAAGTTATCGTGTTTACACACGGACACACAGACACACAGACACACACACACACACACACACACAGACATACGGACAAGATTGCAAAATTATGTTTTTCCGTATCAGTGAGGTGTAAAACGTCGAGATCTGTAAAAATCTCGATTTTTTTTTTGCACGATTACAATACTTTCTCTATACTTCGTATATACGAGAAAGTAAAAAAAAACAACATAAAAATAAACATAGCACGAGAAACCAGTACACATAGATCTACAAAGCTTTCACGCTTTATATTCTTTTGACCTGTTAGAGACTAGAGGGTAGGCAGTATTACAGCAAACATTGAATAAACTAGTTCTAAATCTAAAAAAAAAAAGAGAAAAAAACTAGTTCTAAATCTAAAACAAGTTAATAAAAAGTCTAGTGACAATTCAAGCGCAATTTCCTTAATTATTTTTTTTTTAAATGTGAACAAATGATTAGGCCTAGCGAAACAAAACCTTGTAATTGTAACTCCCTATCACTCTCATATAAATTATAAATAAACTAATAGGGTACAAAAATAACGTTTGAATTAATAAGTAAAAAAAAAAAGACAACTATATTAACCTATATCAATGGAAATAGTTTTATTTTAACGAGTAGGCCTACAAGATGCTCAGTTTAAAAAAGTAGTAAATATCATCCTAGGCCTACACGATGCTTAGTTTAAATGTTCTTAATTAATTTTTTGTGACCGAACGAAAGGATATTTTTGAAAACTTTCTTCGGCAATATTGGTCTAAATTATGGCAGGAATCGATTGGTAAATGTTTCAAGTCGCTATGTGGTCTGGTTGCCGAGATATGGAGCAAAAACTGCATTTGTTCGAGGTTTTTTGGCTTTTCCGGGAAATCCAGGAAGGAATTCCGGGAATTTTTTTGACCCACAATCATCCTTGGAACTTGCTTAACATATTTGCTTTGGAACTAGTCCTCGATATTGCTTCGTTGAGGAGGAGATACGACTTAAAGGCTGCGGACACACATCCATACATTCAGAAATGACGAGTTAATAATCGCAATTGTTCGTATGGAAACTGCGCTAAAAATAAATACAAAACAGACTAATGCACTTATACACATATATGTTGTACTTTGTTTAAATTGAAAAAAAAAACAAAGACATTCTTTTTTTCAAAACCCGATATAAAAAGAATTTATTGAATTTAGAGTGCTCTCCCATAATATATTAATTTGCACTGGACACTTCCTAGGCAAGAAAAAACACCATGTGTTGTTTTGCTGTGTCGTAGATCTAGACTTCTAGAAAATCTAGGGGATGAGACACTTTTTGTCTTTTATCTTTAAAATTTTTGTATAGACTAGCTTACAGCATGTTTGGCAAGAGCTGAATCTAATTTTCAAAGATAATCAGTTAAATAATGACAGATATAATTTCTAAAAGATTATTTATTGGTGGATTAACAAGCGATGTGTCGGCAGAGGAAATTATTGAAAGATTTTCGCGATTTGGTAAAGTTAGCAACCTGAGCCTGAAAAATCGTGTTGATGAAACAGGTAGTAAATCTGTTAAAAGAAAGATAAATGTATTGTAGGTCTAAGCCCTAATCTAGATAGATTGATATTCAATTATTCAGGCCTAGTGGATTAAATAATATATTGGATGTCTTTTATTCAGCGGTCATGTTTAAATTGAAAATTGCATAAATTTTAGATTTAGTAAGAAAATCTAGATCTAATATGTATTATCTATTATGTATGCCTATCTATATACTAACTAGTAGTTTTTCTCACTAAATCTAAAATTAAGCAATTATCAATTTAAATATGACCACTGAATAATAGACATCCATATTTAATCCATTAGGCCTTAGGCACTAACTTTGGAGTTTTTAGTTCGTTTTAAACTAAATTAGTTAATTTAATATTTATTGTCAATCACTGCCATGTCCAACACATCTCTCCATGACACCTCTTCTTAAGCTTGAAGCTAAAGAAAACCACAAATATTCAAATAAGGTTAGACTTTTTAAGTGGCCATGCACAAGAGTTCCTCACTAGTGATCACCAAATAGCGGTCACGTGGTTTTTAAAAAATAAAAATAAATTGGTTGTGATACTGACGCCGGTCTTATTAAAAAACAGCTCACAATATTTGATTTCTTTTTTCATATAGGCCTACTGATAAAACTAGATCTAATAATGCTTTACCTTCTCGCTCATTTCTGTACCTACACTGTTGATATTTTTTAAATTCTATTAATTTTAATTAAACCAACTTTTGAATTTAGCCTCCGTTCTCCAAACCAAATTTTAAAATGCTTTTCTGGCATATCTAACCCTGCCACTTATGGTTTGTTGTTATGACACGGAAATCCCGCCATTTTGCGCGTGGTAAACATTTTTAAATGTAATTAGTTGAAGGTCTCTGGAATTTGGCCGAAAAATCGCTGGAAATCAAACGTCCGGTCCGGGCGCCATATTGTTGTTAGCAACCGACCACGCCTCCAAGTTAACGAGAAATACTACTAACTAGCTGCATACCTGTGCTACGCCACGGTGAATCAGCGCACTATGCTGCACATATACCTGTGCTTAGTCACAGTGTGGATATGGATATTACCTCAGAGTTCCCTGCATTGGGGCGAATATTCCTTCAGCGCACCACACGTGTAGCTTATACCTGTGCTTTGCTACAGTGTGGATATGGATATTACCTCAGAGTTGGGGCGGATATTTTTTTGCGCACAGTGTTGCGCGTGCTGTGCGCTTTAATACGGTGGGGATATGGATATTACCTCAGAGTTTACCGCGCTCAGCGCGGGTCACCACATTGATGTGAATAATTATAGCGCACTGCGCGTGGATGAGAGTCCCCGCATTGGGGCGAATTTCCCCACAGCGCTGTGCGCCGGTGTCGGTAGCACTTTGGTGCGAATATGGATATTCACAAAAATTAAATTACGGTAAAAAAAAATTTGAGAGCCAACGCTCACATGAATGTTGGCCCAGACATCTCTGCTCCCCGAACCCAAGGCGTCATCTAAACCGCCGCCGAACACCACGTTTACCCGGGTGTCCGCGCCCAGGGAGAGACTTCCAAAATCTATAGCGATGACGGACTGACACACTACCACCAGCGTTATAGATGTCTAATGTAGGCCTAACTCTGACTAGATCTAGTAACTTATTAGATTTTCTGGTAATCTATTGTTTTAGGTACGTAAAATCAGCCAAGACTTGCAATGTGAAAAAAGGTGACTCATTAAATTTTAAAGTTTTCCTCTAGCTATGTTTATTTTACTTGCTTGTTTGTATTTTTTACATTCTCTAGTCCTAATATCTAAAGCTTCATGATGGTATATGGAATAGCAACCTAGACATTCTCTAGTCCTAATATCTAAAGCTTCATGATGGTATATGGAATAGCAACCTAGACATTCTCTAGTCCTAATATCTAAAGCTTCATGATGGTATATGGAATAGCAACCTAGACATTCTCTAGTCCTAATATCTAAAGCTTCATGATGGTATATGGAATAGCAACCTAGACATTCTCTAGTCCTAATATCTAAAGCTTCATGATGGTATATGGAATAGCAACCTAGACATTCTCTAGTCCTAATATCTAAAGCTTCATGATGGTATATGGAATAGCAACCTAGACATTCTCTAGTCCTAATATCTAAAGCTTCATGATGGTATATGGAATAGCAACCTAGACATTCTCTAGTCCTAATATCTAAAGCTTCATTATGGTATATGGAATAGCAACCTAGACATTCTCTAGTCCTAATATCTAAAGCTTCATGATGGTATATGGAATAGCAACCTAGACATTCTCTAGTCCTAATATCTAAAGCTTCATGATGGTATATGGAATAGCAACCTAGACATTCTCTAGTCCTAATATCTAAAGCTTCATGATGGTATATGGAATAGCAACCTAGACATTCTCTAGTCCTAATATCTAAACCTTCATGATGGTATATGGAATAGCAACCTAGACATTCTCTAGTCCTAATATCTAAAGCTTCATGATGGTATATGGAATAGCAACCTAGACATTCTCTAGTCCTAATATCTAAAGCTTCATGATGGTATATGGAATAGCAACCTAGACATTCTCTAGTCCTAATATCTAAAGCTTCATGATGGTATATGGAATAGCAACCTAGACATTCTCTAGTCCTAATATCTAAAGCTTCATGATGGTATATGGAATAGCAACCTAGACATTCTCTAGTCCTAATATCTAAAGCTTCATGATGGTATATGGAATAGCAACCTAGACATTCTCTAGTCCTAATATCTAAAGCTTCATGATGGTATATGGAATAGCAACCTAGCTGTGCAGTCTTGAAATCATCCAATGGCAGTCACTATAGAATAGTCCGGCTAGGTGCTTATATGGCTGGAATGACCTCTGACCCTGAAACATCATGCGTCATTTTCTGCGGTTTTTACGTTTTCTTTCTCATTATCATTTTAATGCAAGATGCTAATAAAAAAGGATAATATGCCTTTGAATGCCACAAAAAGTCACGAGATTTGTGGTTATAAATAATGAGAGGATTTCTAGCCAAAAAAGAAAGTCTAAGTGGGAAAACGGCCAGTCTAACAGTCCTAGATTAGTATATAACTGAGATATTTACCATGTATATTTACATTATTATTGCTTCTGATTTCCAAAATCTTACCCCAAAATGAGGTACCCACGCATACATGTCTATCCGCTATTTTTAGTATCATTACGTCATTGTTACGCTAGTTGCCTGACTGAAACAACTTGTTGTTTTTTGCGGAATGAACTGTAAAATCTAGTATTTTAATTATAATTCAATTGTAGCATGTGCAGAAAAAGTAAAATTATGGACATTATTATTTTATTGTATTAGTAATTTTATTTGTATATTGATTTTTTTCTTCACTGTGGGCCAACATTAGCTGCATTGAATTTAATTCGTGACCGGTGTTTAACCTCTTCAACGCTGCTTGGCCTATTCGTCTATATAATTTGTGATGCTCGTTCAGTGGCCTTTTTCAGAGCTTGGCCTAATTAAGGGGCGATTTTTAGACTTTATTTATCGGCAGTTCGCTTTTTTCATTTAATTTTAAACAATGCTCGTTCAACGGCCTTTTTTTTGGCTGCTATAATCTGTTTACGCACATTTTTAGCCTTTTTTTTTTTTAGCTCGGCCTAGATCTAGTTAAATCTATTTTTTTTACACTGTCTAAGACAGGGTTAGTGTTATGGTCAAGGTTATGCTTAAACCAATGTCCAACCCTAACCAAAGCCCTCACAGTCTAGCCCGGGGCGCCAAATCGCACCATGCCGGGGGAGCAGGTGGAACTGCCTGATTCAACTTAGTAAACGACTGTAGTACCCCATCTTATTCATAGTCTTTTGCACTGACTTAAATGAACATAGGGCCATAGATAACATGGGAAGGCCAGGGTCTCCAAATAGCACCCTGTCGGGGGCACCAGAGGATGCACGGATTTGATTCAGTTAAAGACTATAGTAACCTTTCTTATCCATAGTCTATCACACAGTTTAAAACTAAATTATGCACTAGAGCGCTCACAGGATAGCCCAGGGTGCCAAATCAAACCCGGCGGACACGCCTGATTCAATTTAGTGAACAATTTTAATACCCCAAGCTTATCTGCAAACGGAAAGATAGAAGTAAACATAGAGGACATTTAGGAGCTGACTTCTTAACTGTTATTGATTTTAAAAAATAATTAGTAAACAGTACGCTCAGTGTATAAAATAAATAAAAGGCAGTATTTAACATACCTACAACATTGCAATTGATCGATCCACGCTAATAATGTAACTATTTTTCCCCCGATGTAGTTTTTTTTAAAGGGAAGTAACTGTATTTTCCTAATTTATCAAGGGACGTAATGAGTGCTAAAGAACTAAATGTAAATAATTTTCAGACACAATTAAAATTTTGTGAAAGGTGATAAATTTTTTAGAATTTTGTTTGATGGACATGCCAACAATCATCAAATTAAGTTTGAAAAATGTAAATTGTTTTACTGTACAACACCTTCAATATTAATTTTTAAAATCATTAATTTAGACGATAAGCACTTTAGATGTATAACACTGTGACGATGAAGTCAATTATTTTGTTATATATCTTTGTAATCCGCTGTCCACTACATACATACATACAGAATATATATTATATATATATATATATATATATATATATATATATATATATATATATATATATATATATATATATATATATATATATATATATATATATATTATAGACAGATGCTAATGAATATTCACAGATTATCGTTTGCCTCCATTTTAGTTTTTAATAGTGTTTCAAACTGCTAAAACAACACGAACACACATCAAAGCTTTAAGAAAACACTACTCCATATAATTTATGAAGTGAGAAAAATAAAGTAGGGATTTAATGGGGGAAAACAACCAGTAGTGTAGCATTTGGTTACTGCTAACTATAAACAAAACCTGTGGCATGTGAAGGGGAATCAACAAATCTTAAAAAATATGCAAATAATTGCCTCTTGTAAGACAATTAGTCCATTGTATACCGATGTCTGACAATGGAATCATCTGGAAACCCTGGCATATGTTACATGAGTTTCATTTGTTGTTGTTGGATCTACAAGACATAAACCCATAAATGAGCATCTCTATTTGACTGTTAACCTGCCACAGATCTTTGAGGCTTACATGAGGATAACCAACCTTTTCCTACATGCTGGAAATTTATCTTCTAGTAGCTTTTGTTTTTCTTTTGCAGGAAATCATGTCAAATCTTTTGCACACTTGGATCTGGAGGGAGATGAAAGTAAGATAAAGAAATGTAGGTCCAGTCATTTTTATTCTGCTAAACCCTTTCATAATTAACATCTGTTCTAGATCTCAAATATTTCTCATTTACATAATGAAAAGTTGAAGGTTAAGGTCAAGTTATTTTAAGATAGCTACCAGTGTCCACACGCCACCACATCCCCTGTTATGTTTTCTTGTCCAGGCTTCAGCACATACCAGAACTCAAAGTGGAAAGGTTCAGTTCTAAAGCTGCAGTATGCTAAAGAAAGTTTTCTAGACAGGTGGGAACTAACAATCTTTCTAGACAGGTGGGAACTAACAATCTTTCTAGACAGGTGGGAACTAACAATCTTTCTAGACAGGTGGGAACTAACAATCTTTTTAGACAGGTGGGAACTAACAATCTTTTTAGACAGGTGGGACTAACAATCTTTTTAGACAGGTGGGAACTAACTGAAACAATCTTTCTAGACAGGTGGGAACTAACTGTAACAGTCTTTCTAGACAGGTGGGAACTAACAATCTTTCTAGACAGGTGGGAACTAACAATCTTTCTAGACAGGTGGGAACTAACAATCTTTTTAGACAGGTGGGAACTAACTGAAACAATTTTTCTAGACAGGTGGGAACTAACAATCTTTCTAGACAGGTGGGAACTAACAATCTTTCTAGACAGGTGGGAACTAACAATCTTTTTAGACAGGTGGGAACTAACTGAAACAATCTTTCTAGACAGGTGGGAACTAACAATCTTTTTAGACAGGTGGGAACTAACTGTAACAGTCTTTCTAGACAGGTGGGAACTAACAATCTTTCTAGACAGGTGGGAACTAACAATCTTTCTAGACAGGTGGGAACTAACTTTTAAATGTGATAAATGAGTGTTGCATGTCTTGATGTTTGGTTAGGCTAGCCAGAGAGAGAGTGGAGGTGCCCGAGCCATTAAAACCTGAAACAAACAAAGTGAAAGCACCTGGTAAAGATGACATCACTGGGGCGCCTGTCCCTGGAACACCTGTGCCTGGCTGGACGGTAGGGCTCTCACCTGTAGCTGCTGTTAAATCTCTCACCTGTAGCTTCTGTTAAATCTCTCACCTTTAGCTGCTGTTAAATCTCTCACCTTTAGCTTCTGTTAAATCTCTCACCTTTAGCTGCTGTTAAATCTCTCACCTTTAGCTGCTGTTAAATCTCTCACCTTTAGCTGCTGTTAAATCTCTCACCTTTAGCTGCTGTTAAATCTCTCACCGTCACCTCTAGCTGATGTAAAATCTCTCACCTGTAGCTGCTGTTAAATCTCTCACCTGTAGCTGCTGTTAAATCTCTCACCTCTAGCTGCTGTTAAATCTCTCACCTGTAGCTGATGTTAAATCTCTCACCTGTAGCTGCTGTTAAATCTCTCACCTGTAGCTGATGTTAAATCTCTCACCTGTAGCTGCTGTTAAATCTCTCACCTGTAGCTGATGTTAAATCTCTCACCTGTAGCTACTGTTAAATCTCTCACCTGTAGCTGCTGTTAAATCTCTCACCTGTAGCTGCTGTTAATTCTTTCACCTGTAGCTGATGTTAAATCTCTCACCTGTAGCTGCTGTTAAATCTCTCACCTGTAGCTGATGTTAAATCTCTCACCTCTAGCTTCTGTTAAATCTCTCACCTGTAGCTGCTGTTAAATCTCTCACCTGTAGCTGCTGTTAAATCTCTCACCTGTAGCTGATGTTAAATCTCTCACCTGTAGCTGCTGTTAAATCTCTCACCTGTAGCTGATGTTAAATCTCTCACCTCTAGCTGATGTTAAATCTCTCACCTGTAGCTTCTGTTAAATCTCTCACCTGTAGCTGCTGTTAAATCTCTCACCTGTAGCTGCTGTTAAATCTCTCTTCGTCACCTGTAGCTGCTGTAAAATCTCTCACCTGTAGCTGCTGTTAAATCTCTCACCTGTAGCTGATGTTAAATCTCTCACCTGTAGCTGCTGTTAAATCTCTCACCTGTAGCTACTGTTAAATCTCTCACCTGTAGCTGATGTTAAATCTCTCACCTGTAGCTGCTGTTAAATCTCTCACCTGTAGCTGATGTTAAATCTTTCACCTGTAGCTGCTGTTAAATCTATCACCGTCACCTGTAGCTGCTGTTAAATCTCTCACCTGTAGCTGCTGTTAAATCTCTCACCTGTAGCTGCTGTTAAATCTATCACCTCTAGCTACTGTTAAATCTCTCACCTGTAGCTGCTGTTAAATCTCTCACCTGTAGCTGCTGTTAAATCTCTCACCTGTAGCTGCTGTTAAATCTATCACCTCTAGCTACTGTTAAATCTCTCACCTGTAGCTGATGTTAAATCTCTCACCTCTAGCTGATGTTAAATCTCTCACCTGTAGCTGCTGTTAAATCTCTCACCTGTAGCTGCTGTTAAATCTCTCACCTGTAGCTGCTGTTAAATCTATCACCTGTAGCTACTGTTAAATCTCTCACCTGTAGCTGCTGTTAAATCTCTCACCTCTAGCTGATGTTAAATCTCTCACCTGTGGCTGATGTTAAATCTCTCACCTCTAGCTGATGTTAAATCTCTCACCTGTAGCTGATGTTAAATCTCTCACCTGTAGCTGCTGTTAAATCTCTCACCTGTAGCTGATGTTAAATCTCTCACCTCTAGCTGATGTTAAATCTCTCACCTGTAGCTGCTGTTAAATCTCTCACCTGTAGCTGCTGTTAAATCTCTCACCTGTAGCTGCTGTTAAATCTATCACCTGTAGCTACTGTTAAATCTCTCACCTGTAGCTGCTGTTAAATCTCTCACCTGTAGCTGATGTTAAATCTCTCACCTGTAGCTGCTGTTAAATCTCTCACCTGTAGCTGCTGTTAAATCTCTCACCTGTAGCTGCTGTTAAATCTCTCACCTGTAGCTGCTGTTAAATCTATCACCTGTAGCTACTGTTAAATCTCTCACCTGTAGCTGCTGTTAAATCTCTCACCTGTAGCTGATGTTAAATCTCTCACCTGTAGCTGCTGTTAAATCTCTCACCTGTAGCTGCTGTTAAATCTCTCACCTGTAGCTGCTGTTAAATCTCTCACCTGTAGCTGCTGTTAAATCTATCACCTCTAGCTACTGTTAAATCTCTCACCTGTAGCTGCTGTTAAATCTCTCACCTGTAGCTGCTGTTAAATCTATCACCTCTAGCTACTGTTAAATCTCTCACCTGTAGCTGATGTTAAATCTCTCACCTGTAGCTGATGTTAAATCTTTCACCTGTAGCTGATGTTAAATCTCTCACCTGTAGCTGATGTTAAATCTCTCACCTGTAGCTGATGTTAAATCTCTCACCTGTAGCTGATGTTAAATCTCTCACCTGTAGCTTCTGTTAAATCTATCACCTGTAGCTACTGTTAAATCTCTCACCTGTAGCTGCTGTTAAATCTCTCACCTGTAGCTGATGTTAAATCTCTCACCTGTAGCTGCTTTTAAATCTCTCACCTGTAGCTGCTGTTAAATCTCTCACCTGTAGCTGCTGTTAAATCTCTCACCTGTAGCTGCTGTTAAATCTATCACCTCTAGCTACTGTTAAATCTCTCACCTGTAGCTGCTGTTAAATCTCTCACCTGTAGCTGCTGTTAAATCTATCACCTCTAGCTACTGTTAAATCTCTCACCTGTAGCTGATGTTAAATCTCTCACCTGTAGCTTCTGTTAAATCTATCACCTGTAGCTACTGTTAAATCTCTCACCTGTAGCTGCTGTTAAATCTCTCACCTGTAGCTGATGTTAAATCTCTCACCTGTAGCTGCTGTTAAATCTCTCACCTGTAGCTGCTGTTAAATCTATCACCTCTAGCTACTGTTAAATCTCTCACCTGTAGCTGCTGTTAAATCTATCACCTCTAGCTACTGTTAAATCTCTCACCTGTAGCTGCTGTTAAATCTCTCACCTGTAGCTGCTGTTAAATCTATCACCTCTAGCTACTGTTAAATCTCTCACCTGTAGCTGATGTTAAATCTCTCACCTGTAGCTGATGTTAAATCTTTCACCTGTAGCTGATGTTAAATCTCTCACCTGTAGCTGATGTTAAATCTCTCACCGTCACCTGTAGAAACTTTTTGATAGTTGCTTTTATTATATTTTGTGTGAGTCTTGCTCTATCTTGCCACTAGCTTTTATTTTAGAAGTTATGCTTACTCAAGCTAGATTAGTGTACTGATGGTTGTTTTTTTTAATTGACAGAATTGGGTGGTTGGAAAATATGGGCGTGTCCTTCCTGTGCTCAAATTAAAGAAGTCTTATAAAATAAAGGTGAATTGATTTCTGATTGTTCCTCTTGTATTATTACCATGTGAATACAACTAATAATTGGACTACTGCAAGCTTGTTGTTCCTCTTGTATTATTACCATGTGAATACAACTAATAATTGGACTACTGCAAGCTTGTTGTTCCTCTTGTATTATTACCATGTGAATACAACTAATAATTGGACTACTGCAAGCTTGTTGTTCCTCTTGTATTATTACCATGTGAATACAACTAATAATTGGACTACTGCAAGCTTGTTGTTCCTCTTGTATTATTACCATGTGAATACAACTAATAATTGGACTACTGCAAGCTTGTTGTTCCTCTTGTATTATTACCATGTGAATACAACTAATAATTGGACTACTGCAAGCTTGTTGTTCCTCTTGTATTATTACCATGTGAATACAACTAATAATTGGACTACTGCAAGCTTGTTGTTCCTCTTGTATTATTACCATGTGAATACAACTAATAATTGGACTACTGCAAGCTTGTTGTTCCTCTTGTATTATTACCATGTGAATACAACTAATAATTGGACTACTGCAAGCTTGTTGTTCCTCTTGTATTATTACCATGTGAATACAACTAATAATTGGACTACTGCAAGCTTGTTGTTCCTCTTGTATTATTACCATGTGAATACAACTAATAATTGGACTACTGCAAGCTTGTTGTTCCTCTTGTATTATTACCATGTGAATACAACTAATAATTGGACTACTGCAAGCTTGTTGTTCCTCTTGTATTATTACCATGTGAATACAACTAATAATTGGACTACTGCAAGCTTGTTGTTCCTCTTGTATTATTACCATGTGAATACAACTAATAATTGGACTACTGCAAGCTTGTTGTTCCTCTTGTATTATTACCTTGTGAATACAACTAATAATTGGACTACTGCAAGCTTGTTGTTCCTCTTGTATTATTACCATGTGAATACAACTAATAATTGGACTACTGCAAGCTTGTTGTTCCTCTTGTATTATTACCATGTGAATACAACTAATAATTGGACTACTGCAAGCTTGTTGTTCCTCTTGTATTATTACCATGTGAATACAACTAATAATTGGACTACTGCAAGCTTGTTGTTCCTCTTGTATTATTACCATGTGAATACAACTAATAATTGGACTACTGCAAGCTTGTTGTTCCTCTTGTATTATTACCATGTGAATACAACTAATAATTGGACTACTGCAAGCTTGTTGTTCCTCTTGTATTATTACCTTGTGAATACAACTAATAATTGGACTACTGCAAGCTTGTTGTTCCTCTTGTATTATTACCATGTGAATACAACTAATAATTGGACTACTGCAAGCTTGTTGTTCCTCTTGTATTATTACCATGTGAATACAACTAATAATTGGACTACTGCAAGCTTGTTGTTCCTCTTGTCTTATTACCTTGTGAATACAACTAATAATTGGACTACTGCAAGCTTGTTGTTCCTCTTGTATTATTACCATGTGAATACAACTAATAATTGGACTACTGCAAGCTTGTTGTTCCTCTTGTATTATTACCATGTGAATACAACTAATAATTGGACTACTGCAAGCTTGTTGTTCCTCTTGTATTATTACCATGTGAATACAACTAATAATTGGACTACTGCAAGCTTGTTGTTCCTCTTGTATTATTACCATGTGAATACAACTAATAATTGGACTACTGCAAGCTTGTTGTCTCCCTCTTGTCTTATAAACTTCCAATTTTTCCCAGATGGTTAAACACGACCCCTCTAAGTACTGCCATGCTGCTAAAGTTTTCAAGGAGGAGGCACCAGCAACTGAGCCCAGTTGTGACAAGTTGACTTGGGAGATTGACACACCTGAGACTGACATGACAAGAAAAAGAAGAGGACAATTCCCTGAGTCTGTTGCCAGTAAACCAAAGAAAGCAGCCATTTTGTTTCACTCACTGGTGAGGCAGACGGAGCCAGCAGCCCAGCCAGAAGAGGAGCTGGAGGTTGTACACGCTGGCTACAAGCTCAAACCTCATGTGGACAAGAGGAAATCAAACATTTTTGACAGCGACATTGAAAGTGACTCCGAGATGTTGCCTGTTGACAACACCTGTCAGAATCAGCCAGGTCAGAGAAAGTCCTCAAATAATGTTCACAACAAAAGTAAAGAACTCAATGTTCACAACAAAAGTAAAGAACTCAATGTTCACAACAAAAGTAAAGAACTTGATGTTCACAACAAAAGTAAAGAACTTGATGTTCACAACAAAAAGCACCTGAATACCAAAATCCTTTTGAATCCAGAAAATGGAAATATCTCTGCAGTTAGAAGAGCTCCTGATGATTTGGAAAGATTTGAGCTGGGCTGTGCTGACACGTCTTCTCATCCAGCCCCACACCCAACTTTGCCAGCCCCACACCCAACTTTGCCAGCCCCACACCCAACTTTGCCAGCCCCACACCCAACTTTGCCAGCCCCACACCCAACTTTGCCAGCCCCACACCCAACTTTGCCAGCCCCACACCCAACTTTGCCAGCCCCACACCCAACTTTGCCAGCCCCACACCCAACTTTGCCAGCTCACCAGCCAACAAAGAAAAACAATGCAAGCTCTCAACGAATGGAGTTTTCTCTTCCTAAACTTCCCATGTTTCAAGGTTTACGTATGCTGAAAGATTTTCCATTGCCAAATGACAAGATTTGTAAGCCTACTGCTGGACTAGTGACCTTAGACAGGGGGGGTGGCGACACCAGTCTGACATCTAATGGACAGGGGGGTGGCGACACCAGTCTGACATCTAATGGACAGGGGGGTGGCGACACCAGTCTGACATCTAATGGACAGGGGGGTGGCGACACCAGTCTGACATCTAATGGACAGGGGGGTGGCGACACCAGTCTGACATCTAATGGACAGGGGGGTGGCGACACCAGTCTGACATCTAATGGACAGGGGGATGGCGACACCAGTTTGGCACATGACCAAGATTCACTAAATGAGAAGGATGAAGCCAGGCCTACAGTGAGCCCATCATCTCCCACAACCCTGGCAGCCCACCTGACACCCCTGTGGCCAATCAAGCAACCTGCTAGCCCCAGTGGCCAGTATGACAGTGACCTAGACAGCAATGACTTTGAAAGTGTGGTCAAAAAATTAGAGCAAAAACTGCAAGCAGAAAAAATGTTGGCTACAGCACAAAAATTCCAGGAGAAAAAGGAACTCAGAGTTGCTGCCCCTGTCATCAACACTCAACACTTGGTAAGGAAAGTTTTGTTTTCTTTCTACATTTTTAATAGGTCAAAGTTTGCTTTCACTCAAGGCAGTGGCGTCGCTGGGTCGGGTGTCACCCGGTGCGGGCGGCACTTCGTGGTGTCACACACACACACACCCAAGAAACAAAGTATATAATACTAAATTTAGTAATGAGACAGGCAAAAAAACATTTTTTCTTCAGAAAATTTGGCAATTTTTTTGCCTTGGTGTCACCCGGTGCGGCCCGCACCCCCGCCCTCGCTACGCCTCGACTCAAGGCTTTCATACAGCCCGTCCCAAAGCGTTCTGGGTGGTAGTGTAGGTAAACACTAGCCCCAACAAATGTGATCCAAGAAATATAGTGCAGACATTGTTTATATTTAAATAAAAGGTCACGCTCAAAGAATATAGGAGTGGTAACACATTGATGAAATTTTCCTAATAGATCTCGTTAGACCGCAGAAACAGGCACACTTTTCCTGAGCAGAAGGAGGCTGATGCAATATTTTAAGAGGATTTTATCCATTTATTTCTAAATCTGAGTGATTTAAAAAGTCTTGCCACATAGTTGTTTGAGGCCTGGGTTCATCTAAACTACAGCCCAGACACCCTATGGTGTATTGTTTGAAAGTCTTGAGTGTATGTTAATCACCCTCTATAATAGTGAGATAGACTGTACGTATATCACCCTCTGTAATAGTGAGATAGACTTTACATATATCACCCTCTGTAATAGTGAGAGACTTTACATATATCACCCTCTGTAATAGTGATATAGACTTTACGTATATTACCCTCTGTAATAGTGAGATAGAATTTACGTATATCATCCTCTGTAATAGTGAGATAGACTTTACGTATATCACCCTCTGTAATAGTGAGATAGACTTTACATATATCACCCTCTGTAATAGTGAGATAGACTTTACGTATATCACCCTCTGTAATAGTGAGATAGACTTTACGTATATCACCCTCTGTAATAGTGAGATAGACTTTACGTATATCATCCTCTGTAATAGTGAGATAGACTTTACATATATCACCCTCTGTAATAGTGAGATAGACTTTACGTATATCACCCTCTGTAATAGTGAGATAGACTTTACGTATATCACCCTCTGTAATAGTGAGATAGACTTTACGTATATCACCCTCTGTAATAGTGAGATAGACTTTACGTATATCACCCTCTGTAATAGTGAGATAGACTTTACGTATATCACCCTCTGTAATAGTGAGATAGACTTTACGTATATCACCCTCTGTAATAGTGAGATAGACTTTACGTATATCACCCTCTGTAATAGTGAGATAGACTTTACGTATATCACCCTCTGTAATAGTGAGATAGACTTTACGTATATCACCCTCTGTAATAGTGAGATAGACTTTACGTATATCACCCTCTGTAATAGTGAGATAGACTTTACGTATATCACCCTCTGTAATAGTGAGATAGACTTTACGTATATCACCCTCTGTAATAGTGAGATAGACTTTACGTATATCACCCTCTGTAATAGTGAGATAGACTTTACGTATATCACCCTCTGTAATAGTGAGATAGACTTTACGTATATCACCCTCTGTAATAGTGAGATAGACTTTACGTATATCACCCTCTGTAATAGGATACACTGCATGAGATGAGGGATCAGGGTACACTACATGAGGGGTCAGGGTACACTACATGAGGGGTCAGGGTACACTGCTTGAGGGGTTAGGGTACAGCCCCTGGTTCAGTTTAATCATCTAATGTCGTGTGCCACCATGTTCTTATCCCCTTCTAGCACCGGGGGACATACATGATTCAATTTATTAAATGATTATAGTAGCCCACCTCAATTTATTAAATGATTATAGTAGCCCACCTCAATTTATTAAATGATTATAGTAGCCCACCTCAATTTATTAAATGATTATAGTAGCCCACCTCAATTTATTAAATGATTATAGTAGCCCACTTCAATTTATTAAATGATTATAGTAGCCCACCTCAATTTATTAAATGATTATAGTAGCCCACCTCAATTTATTAAATGATTATAGTAGCCCACCTCAATTTATTAAATGAGTATAGTAGCCCACCTCAATTTATTAAATGATTATAGTAGCCCACCTCAATTTATTAAATGATTATAGTAGCCCACCTCAATTTATTAAATGATTATAGTAGCCCACCGTACCAAAAGTGCATGGCATTAGTTTAAAATGCCCCCCTTTCCCAAATTTTATGTCGAATGTATGAAAGCTGTAGTGATGTTTAACGAGCGGACACAAACATATTTTCATTTTTACTGATAAATTTCATGTGCCGTCCCCTTACTGTTATATAAGGATATACGAGAAGGTTAGGGTAGATTACTCCAGATTTATTTTTTTATTCATGATGGCAAAATTGATCTCAATATACTTGGCAGATTTGATTGGTTTAAATTGGATCAAGTGTTTTTTATACAGAAGTGATTTTTAAACCACCACACCAATAGCACTGATAATTTATTGGAACCTTTTGCTGTCAATATTGAAATACTTTGGTTTTTTTATATTGAAGAATTATTGTAATTATACAGGATAAGCAAGTAACTGACAACGAGAAAAGGTTACAAGCTGTGCGACAACAGATGAAACTGAAGCAGCAGCAAAAAAACTTGATGAGCAAAGCTTTGAAAGATGTGGTAGGTACAGGAGGTTATCCTTGTGTGTTGAGAGACTTCTAACACTGGACTTTCTCCAAAATATAATCACTGCTGTAGAGACTTCTAACACTGGACTTTCTCTTAAATACAATCACTGCTGTAGAGACTTCTAACACTGGACTTTCTCTTAAATACAATCACTGCTGTAGAGACTTCTAACACTGGACTTTCTAACACTGATCAACTCCTGTTTGGCTCAACTTTTTTTTTCATCACTAGGATACCATGGAGAAAAATGTAGCAAACAGAATAGTGTTTAGCAGTGGATCTGATGCTGACAGTGACAATAGCTCAGACAATGATTGTCAAAATTCACTCTCGCCGAAAAAAAATTCAAAAGATGATGTTAAAAAGATAAAATTATACAGGGATAATAGTTCAAAAGATGATATTAAAAAGGTAAAATCATACGGGGATAATAGTTTTTCTATTTTAGGAAAATTTTAACTCCCTTCAACTTGTTAAATAAAATTTCCATTTTTTTTTTTTAGATGTGTTAGATCTCTGAGCTTGAAGCTAAATAAAAACAGTTAGTGAAGAAACTGGCAAATTAACTCCATATTCATTGTTCTCTAAAGGCAAAAGTTAGTGAAGAAACTGGCAAATTAACTCCATATTCATTGTTCTCTAAAGGCAAAAGTTAGTGAAGAAACTGGCAAATTAACTCCATATTCATTGTTCTCTAAAGGCAAAAGTTAGTGAAGAAACTGGCAAATTAACTCCATATTCATTGTTCTCTAAAGGCAAAAGTTAGTGAAGAAACTGGCAAATTAACTCCATATTCATTGTTCTCTAAAGGCAAAAGATGCTTTAACCTTGTTTGAGAGTTCATCCGATGATGAGAGTGACCTTGAGGAAATGTTTAGGTCAAGGCCACAGTTTGAAGGAGAGAAAGGAGAAAAACTGATGAAGCTGGACAGAAAAATTGGGGACTCGCGTTTTAAAATTGATGCCAAGTTTGCAGAGTCTGATAGTGATGGAGAACTGGTGGAGAATACTACAGGTGACACATGACAATCTACAGGTGACACATGACAAACTACAGGTGACACATGACAAACTAAAGGTGACACATGACAGACTAAAGGTGACTCATGACAAACTAAAGGTGACACATGACAAACTACAGGTGACACATGACAAACTACAGGTGACACATGACAAACAAACTACAGGTGACACATGACAAACTACAGGTGACACATGACAAACTACAGGTGACACATGACAAACTACAGGTGACACATGACAAACTACTGGTGACACATGACAAACTACTGGTGACACATGACAAACTACAGGTGACACATGACAAACAAACTACAGGTGACACATGACAAACAAACTACAGGTGACACATGACAAACAAACTACAGGTGACACATGACAAACAAACTACAGGTGACACATGACAAACTACAGGTGACACACGACAAACTACAGGTGACACATGACAAACTACAGGTGACACATGACAAACTACTGGTGACACATGACAAACTACTGGTGACACATGACAAACTACAGGTGACACATGACAAACAAACTACAGGTGACACATGACAAACAAACTACAGGTGACACATGACAAACAAACTACAGGTGACACATGACAAACAAACTACAGGTGACACATGACAAACTACAGGTGACACACGACAAACTACAGGTGACACATGACAAACCACAGGTGACACATGACAAACTACAGGTGACACATGACAAACTACAGGTGACACATGACAAACTACAGGTGACACATGACAAACTACAGGTGAAACATGACAAACCACAGGTGACACATGACAAACTACAGGTGACACATGACAAACTACAGGTGACACATGACAAACTACAGATGACACATGACAGACTACAGGTGACACATGACAAACTACAGGTGACACATGACAAACTACAGGTGACACATGACAGACTACAGGTGACACATGACAAACTACAGGTGACACATGACAAACTAAAGGTGACACATGACAAACTACAGGTGACACATGACAAACAAACTACAGGTGACACATGACAAACAAACTACAGGTGACACATGACAAACTACAGGTGACACATGACAAACTACAGGTGACACATGACAAACTACAGGTGACACACGACAAACTACAGATGACACATGACAAACTACTGGTGAAACATGACAAACTACAGGTGACACATGACAAACTACTGGTGAAACATGACAAACTACAGGTGACACATGACAAACTACAGGTGACACATGACAAACTACAGGTGACACATGACAAACAAACTACAGGTGACACATGACAAACTACAGGTGACACATGACAAACTACAGGTGACACATGACAAACTACAGGTGACACATGACAAACTACAGGTGAAACATGACAAACTACAGGTGACACATGACAAACTACAGGTGACACATGACAAACTACAGGTGACACATGACAAACTACAGGTGACACATGACAAACAAACTACAGGTGACACATGACAAACAAACTACAGGTGACACATGACAAACTACAGGTGACACCTGACAAACTACAGGTGACACATGACAAACTACAGGTGACACATGACAGACTACAGGTGACACACGACAAACTACAGGTGACACACGACAAACTACAGGTGACACATGACAAACAAACTACAGGTGACACACGACAAACTACAGGTGACACACGACAAACTACAGGTGACACATGACAAACAACTGGTGACACATGACAAACTACAGGTGACACATGACAAACTACTGGTGAAACATGACAAACTACAGGTGACACATGACAAACTACAGGTGACACATGACAAACAAACTACAGGTGACACATGACAAACAAACTACAGGTGACACATGACAAACTACAGGTGACACCTGACAAACTACAGGTGACACATGACAAACTACAGGTGACACATGACAGACTACAGGTGACACACGACAAACTACAGGTGACACACGACAAACTACAGGTGACACATGACAAACAAACTACAGGTGACACACGACAAACTACAGGTGACACACGACAAACTACAGGTGACACATGACAAACAACTGGTGACACATGACAAACTACAGGTGACACATGACAAACTACTGGTGAAACATGACAAACTACAGGTGACACATGACAAACAAACTACAGGTGACACATGACAAACAAACCACAGGTGACACATGACAAACTACAGGTGACACACGACAAACTACAGGTGACACATGACAAACTACTGGTGAAACATGACAAACTACAGGTGACACATGACAAACTACAGGTGACACATGACAAACAAACCACAGGTGACACATGACAAACTACAGGTGACACATGACATACTACAGGTGACACATGACAAACAAACTACAGGTGACACACGACAAACTACAGATGACACATGACAAACTACTGGTGAAACATGACAAACTACAGGTGACACATGACAAACTACAGGTGACACACGACAAACTACAGGTGACACACGACAAACTACAGGTGACACATGACAAACTACAGGTGACACATGACAACCTACAGGTGACACACGACAAACTACAGGTGACACATGACAAACTACAGGTGACACATGACAAACTACAGGTGACACACGACAAACTACAGGTGACACATGACAAACTACAGGTGACACACGACAAACTACAGGTGACACATGACAAACTACAGGTGACACATGACAAACTACAGGTGACACACGACAAACTACAGGTGAGACATGACAAACTACAGGTGACACATGACAAACTACAGGTGACACATGACAAACTACAGGTGACACATGACAAACTTCAGGTGAAACATGACAAACTACAGGTGACACATGACAAACTACAGGTGACACATGACAAACTACAGGTGACACACGACAAACTACAGGTGAAACATGACAAACTACAGGTGACACATGACAAACTACAGGTGACACATGACAAACTACAGGTGACACACGACAAACTACAGGTGACACATGACAAACTACAGGTGACACACGACAAACTACAGGTGACACATGACAAACTAACTACAGGTGACACATGACAAACTACAGGTGACACATGACAAACAAACTACAGGTGACACATGACAAACAAACTACAGGTGACACATGACAAACTACAGGTGACACATGACAAACTACAGGTGACACATGACAAACTACAGGTGACACACGACAAACTACAGGTGACACACGACAAACTACAGGTGACACATGACAAACAAACTACAGGTGACACATGACAACCTACAGGTGACACACGACAAACTACAGGTGACACATGACAAACTACAGGTGACACACGACAAACTACAGGTGACACATGACAAACAAACTACAGGTGACACATGACAAACTACAGGTGACACATGACAAACTACAGGTGACACATGACAAACTACAGGTGACACATGACAAACTACAGGTGACACATGACAAACTACAGGTGACACATGACAAACTACAGGTGACACATGACAAACTACAGGTGACACATGACAAACTACAGGTGACACATGACAAACTGCAGGTGACACATGACAAACTACAGGTGACACATGACAAACAAACTACAGGTGACACATGACAAACTACAGGTGACACATGACAAACTACAGGTGACACACGACAAACTACAGGTGACACACGACAAACTACAGGTGACACATGACAAACTACAGGTGACACATGACAAACTACAGGTGACACATGACAAACTACAGGTGACACATGACAAACTACTGGTGACACATGACAAACTACAGGTGACACATGACAAACTACAGGTGACACATGACAAACTACAGGTGACACATGACAAACTACAGGTGACACATGACAGACTACAGGTGACACATGACAGACTACAGGTGACACATGACAAACTACAGGTGACACATGACAAACTACAGGTGACACATGACAGACTACAGGTGACACATGACAGACTACAGGTGACACATGACAAACTACTGGTGAAACATGACAAACTACAGGTGAAACATGACAAACTAAAGGTGACACATGACAAACTACAGGTGACACATGACAAACTACAGGTGACACATGACAAACTACAGGTGACACATTACAAACTACAGGTGACACATGACAAACTACAGGTGACACATGACAAACAAACTACAGGTGACACATGACAAACAAACTACAGGTGACACATGACAACCTACAGGTGACACATGACAAACTACAGGTGACACACGACAAACTACAGGTGACACATGACAAACAAACTACAGGTGACACATGACAAACAAACTACAGGTGACACATGACAAACAAACTACAGGTGACACATGACAAACAAACTACAGGTGACACATGACAAACAAACTACAGGTGACACATGACAAACTACAGGTGACACATGACAAACTATGGGTAATTCTACCATGACACATCTAACAAACTAGATAAAAGAACTGAGACAAGAATTCTATTCCTAGAAGTTTCTACAGGTGATCAGAGTTTAGCTGAAGAAAAGGCTGCCAGTCTGAAAGTTCTGGAAAGTGTTGTTGGCAAGAGAGTCCTGGATAAGTTTTCTGATCAAATTAAGAGGAACACTAAATCTATCATGTAAGTGCCTATATGCATTTGAATCATTTGATTTTTTCAGTGCATGCCATGACAACTGTCTTGTAAATGCCATGACAACTGTCATGTGAATGCCATGACAAATGTCATGTGAATGCCATGACAACTGTCATGTGAATGCCATGACAACTGTCATGTGAATGCCATGACAACTGTCATGTGAATGCCATGACAACTGTCATGTGAATGCCATGACAACTGTCATGTGAATGCCATGACAACTGTCATCTGAATGCCATGACAACTGTCATGTGAATGCCATGACAACTTCCATCTGACCAGACAAGTTTCAATTCATTTTTCCAGAGATATGAACACAGTTCGTTTTGATCCAACAAAATTGAAGGTAGACAAGCCCAACATTGTCAACAAGCCCAGGGACTTGAAACAGTAGGTTTTGTGAAGGGACTTGATGCAGTAGGTTTTGTGAAGGGACTTGATGCAGTAGGTTTTGTGAAGGGACTTGATGCAGTAGGTTTTGTGAAGGGACTTGATGCAGTAGGTTTTGTGAAGGGACTTGATGCAGTAGGTTTTGTGAAGGGACTTGATGCAGTAGGTTTTGTGAAGGGACTTGATGCAGTAGGTTTTGTGAAGGGACTTGATGCAGTAGGTTTTGTGAAGGGACTTGATGCAGTAGGTTTTGTGAAGGGATTTGATGCAGTAGGTTTTGTGACACTAACACTCAACTACTCCAAGCTTGGACTGATGTGTTTTATTTTAGCTTTTCTCAAACACTAGCCATCACATCCAGGTCCTGCACTGGCCTCTGAAAAACCTTTCTGTAAGGAACAGGTTGAAAATAAGCAATATTGAGTTTTTTTTAATCATCAATTTAGATTTGAGTAAAAAAATAAACACTAAAAATATTACACAATGGCGATAAAGTCGAGTTTTTTACTATATGCATGTCATCCCCAAACATAGAGGCACAGAATCCATTTCATTTTTTAATGTGAGACAACTTGTAATGACTTTTGTCTAATATGACTTGTATTAGCTTTTGTCTAATATGACTTGTATTAGCTTTTATCAAATATGACTTGTATTAGCTTTAGTCTAATATGACTTGTATTAGCTTTTGTCTAATATGACTTGTATTAGCTTTTGTCTAATATGACTTGTATTAGCTTTTGTCTAATATGACTTGTATTAGCTTTTGTCTAATATGACTTGTATTAGCTTTTGTCTAATATGACTTGTATTAGCTTTTGTCTAATATGACTTGTATTAGTTTTTGTCTAATCAAGCCTCAGCTTGAATCAAATAAGTTTAATTACTAAGTTTGAGTTGAATGTTTTCTTCCTTAGAAAAATCAAAGCTAGCCCACAGTTGAATGGAACACAGACAGCTGAGGGAAAGACAGACACATCTAATGCTGTCAAACAATCAATAGACCCAGACCAGACAGACAAAACAAAGTAAGTTGTCTGCTGTTGGTTCAGACAGACTTTTTCTCATTGGGTAATTGCTCAAAGATGTCAGTTGCTAATGGTGTCTGTGTCAAATGGTATTGGTGTCTGTCAAATGGTAATGGTGTCTGTCAAATGGTAATGGTGTCTGTGTCAAATGGTAATGGTGTCTGTCAAATGGTAATGGTGTCTGTGTCAAATGGTAATGGTGTCTGTGTCAAATGGTAATGGTGTCTGTCAAATGGTAATGGTGTCTGTCAAATGGTAATGGTGTCTGTCAAATGGTAATGGTGTCTGTCAAATGGTAATGGTGTCTGTGTCAAATGGTAATGGTGTCTGTGTCAAATGGTAATGGTGTCTGTGTCAAATGCTAATGGTGTCTGTCAAATGGTAATGGTGTCTGTGTCAAATGGTAATGGTGTCTGTGTCAAATGGTAATGGTGTCTGTGTCAAATGGTAATGGTGTCTGTGTCAAATGGTAATGGTGTCTGTGTCAAATGGTAATGGTGTCTGTTTCAAATGGTAATGGTGTCTGTGTCAAATGGTAATGGTGTCTGTGTCAAATGGTAATGGTGTCTGTGTCAAATGGTAATGGTGTCTGTGTCAAATGGTGTCTGTGTCAAATGGTAATGGTGTCTGTGTCAAATGGTAATGGTGTCTGTGTCAAATGGTGTCTGTGTCAAATGGTAATGGTGTCTGTGTCAAATGGTGTCTGTGTCAAATGGTAATGGTGTCTGTGTCAAATGGTAATGGTGTCTGTGTCAAATGGTGTCTGTGTCAAATGGTAATGGTGTCTGTGTCAAATGGTAATGGTGTCTGTGTCAAATGGTGTCTGTGTCAAATGGTAATGGTGTCTGTGTCAAATGGTAATGGTGTCTGTGTCAAATAAATGCTTGAGTTTAAAGCCTGTAATTGTAATATGATAATTCTAAAGTACCTAGTTCTAATAACCGTTTGTCTGTGTAAGTGTTTAAACCCTTTAATTAATGGCATAACACAGTTATTAATAGTACACTTATGTGGGCATAACACAGTTATTAATAGTACACTTGTGTGGTATCAGCAAGGTGTGTGTTAGATCAGCATGGTGTGTGTGTTAGATCAGCATGGTGTGTGTGTTAGATCAGCATGGTGTGTGTGTTAGATCAGCATGGTGTGTGTGTTAGATCAGCATGGTGTGTGTGTTAGATCAGCATGGTGTGTGTGTTAGATCAGCATGGTGTGTGTGTTAGATCAGCATGGTGTGTGTGTTAGATCAGCATGGTGTGTGTGTTAGATCAGCATGGTGTGTGTGTGTTAGATCAGCATGGTGTGTGTGTGTTAGATCAGCATGGTGTGTGTGTTAGATCAGCATGGTGTGTGTGTTAGATCAGCATGGTGTGTGTGTGTTAGATCAGCATGGTGTGTGTGTGTTAGATCAGCATGGTGTGTGTGTTAGATCAGCATGGTGTGTGTGTTAGATCAGCATGGTGTGTGTGTTAGATCAGCATGGTGTGTGTGTTAGATCAGCATGGTGTGTGTGTGTTAGATCAGCATGATGTGTGTGTGTTAGATCAGCATGGTGTGTGTGTTAGATCAGCATGGTGTGTGTGTGTTAGATCAGCATGGTGTGTGTGTTAGATCAGCATGGTGTGTGTGTTAGATCAGCATGGTGTGTGTGTTAGATCAGCATGGTGTGTGTGTTAGATCAGCATGGTGTGTGTGTGTTAGATCAGCATGGTGTGTGTGTTAGATCAGCATGGTGTGTGTGTGTTAGATCAGCATGGTGTGTGTGTGTTAGATCAGCATGGTGTGTGTGTTAGATCAGCATGGTGTGTGTGTTAGATCAGCATGGTGTGTGTGTGTTAGATCAGCATGGTGTGTGTGTTAGATCAGCATGGTGTGTGTGTTAGATCAGCATGGTGTGTGTGTTAGATCAGCATGGTGTGTGTCAAGTGACCACTAACAACACCTGCCCCACATATTTTGTGTTGTTATGTTGTGATTGGGCACTTAGTCAGATGACCATAGGCCAACACGCTGAAAAGTTTTTTAAAAATAAAAAAGTGGGGGAGGGTGGAGAAAAGAAAGTGGGGGTCATAATGAAGATGGTTGCAAGAAGTCAGTGTTTAACCATGACAGACATGACAAAATTTCTCCTGCCATTGGCTTGATGTTTTTTATTTGTAGAGTGCAAGATGTGAAATCCAGTGTCAGGCTGACCTCATCACTAGTCAGCCTGTTTGAAGAGAAGAGTCATGTCGAGGCAGGTTTCTCTCTCTTAGATCAGTTTCCTCACCCGCAGGTGGACCCTGAGGAAGGGAAAAGTTCAGGTAAAAAAAAATCTGTTTGTCAAATGGTTAAATATAACAGACTGTTCATTAAGTTCTGACAGTTTTGTAATTATAAACTTAGCATGTATGTCAAGACTTAATGACAATGCAATGTGGCATAAGATTTGACTTAATTACATTTTTAAATTTAATTGAAGAGTCCTGTATTTCCAATGCTATTAAAGTACATTGTTTATCTGGTGTGCAATTTTTAGCTACCCCAATTCTATTCATTTTTTAAAGAATTTTTTTTAAAATTACTAAAAACATGTTTTAATAACAAGTTTTTAAAAAACTAAAAAGAAAACGGTGGGTCACTATATTCTATTATGAATTCCCTAACTAGATCTAAAATTTAATTAGCCTCCAGCATATTTTCTTTGAGTTATTTAAATGTGGCGCCTTTTATATTTATTGAAAGAAAATCATTTATTTTATTATTTTTAGTGCAAAATAAAAAATATAAGCTTGTTACTAAAAATATTTATATTTTTAACATTAAAATATTAGTAACAACGTGATTATTTTTCTCTGCAGATCTCCCTTCCACCTCTGGCTTGTCTGGACTTTTCACTAAGTCAGCTCAACTTGATGCTGGCACTACGACCAAGTCAGCTCAACTTGATGCTGGCACTACGACCAAGTCAGCTCAACTTGATGCTGGCACTACGAGCAAGTCAGCTCAACTTGATGCTGGCACTACGACAAAGTCAGCTCAACTTGATGCTGGCACTACGACCAAGTCAGCTCAACTTGATGCTGGCACTACGACCAAGTCAGCTCAACTTGAGGCTGGCACTATCACAGGTTTGTTGTCTCTGTGGGTTGAACCATATTACATGTGCTCAGTAAACCAATTGCATCTCACAAGCTTTGTGAATAAATCTTTTGTCAGCTATGTAGCACCCACAAAAATAATACTTAAAATCTATTTACTTTTTCAATCAATTCTAGCATTTTCAACCATAACTTCCATTTGGATAAAGAATAAATCATAAAAAGTATATTATTAGCATATCTAGGTATACACTTATGTGTCCCTGAACTTGAAATATGTTGGAATTAAGTTTTTTAAAATTCAATAGTCCTCTTAAACTTATTAAGTTTAAGAGGACTATTGAATTTTTTTTTTGGACATCCACATGGGGGATGAATCCCACCTTAACAATAGACATTTTAGATCATGCACATTTGAATAACTATGAGGGTTAGGAACCTTTTTCAATTATCTGTTTTATGTATGGCATAGCACTCATTGAGTAAACACAATATACCAAGTGCAAGTGGCAGCCCACATTTTTTGCCTTGTGCCATCAAAATCTACTCAGTTTTTTTAATCCCTAAAAACTTGAGCCGTACCAACAGTTATAAGCGTATAGTGATAGAGTGAGGAGCATGAAAGTTGTTCAATCTGGAATGTTTTCAGGTGGTTCAGACAACCTCACGCAACAAGAGCCATCCGATTCTGAAGGAGAGAGTGACAACCCGCAACAAGAGCCATCAGATTCTGAAGGAGAGAGTGACAACCCTGGCTGCCAGAGATATGAGTAAGTTTCTTGTTGCTCTCCTAAAACTTCCTGAACCAACTTTTTTCTGGTCAGCCAATACAGATTGAAGGTACTTGAGTTGGGTGAACAAAATTTCATTTTGACATCAGTTTCTATCAACTTGTGTACAAGGACATTTTGACATCAGTTTCTATCAATTTGTGTTTAAACAAGGACATTTTGACATCAGTTTCTATCAATTTGTGTTTAAACAAGGTCATTTTGACATCAGTTTCTATCAATTTGTGTTTAAACAAGGACATTTTGACATCAGTTTCTATCAATTTGTGTTTAAACAAGGACATTTTGACATCAGTTTCTATCAATTTGTGTTTAAACAAGGACATTTTGACATCAGTTTCTATCAACTTGTGTACAAGGACATTTTGACATCAGTTTCTATCAATTTGTGTTTAAACAAGGACATTTTGACATCAGTTTCTATCAATTTGTGTTTAAACAAGGACATTTTGACATCAGTTTCTATCAATTTGTGTTTAAACAAGGACATTTTGACATCAGTTTCTATCAACTTGTGTACAAGGACATTTTGACATCAGTTTCTATCAATTTGTGTTTAAACAAGGACATTTTGACATCAGTTTCTATCAATTTGTGTTTAAACAAGGACATTTTGACATCAGTTTCTATCAATTTGTGTTTAAACAAGGACATTTTGACATCAGTTTCTATCAACTTGTGTACAAGGACATTTTGACATCAGTTTCTATCAATTTGTGTTTAAACAAGGACATTTTGACATCAGTTTCTATCAATTTGTGTTTAAACAAGGACATTTTGACATCAGTTTCTATCAATTTGTGTTTAAACAAGGACATTTTGACATCAGTTTCTATCAATTTGTGTTTAAACAAGGACATTTTGACATCAGTTTCTATCAATTTGTGTTTAAACAAGGACATTTTGACATCAGTTTCTATCAATTTGTGTTTAAACAAGGACATTTTGACATCAGTTTCTATCAATTTGTGTTTAAACAAGGACATTTTGACATCAGTTTCTATCAATTTGTGTTTAAACAAGGACATTTTGACATCAGTTTCTATCAACTTGTGTACAAGGACATTTTGACATCAGTTTCTATCAATTTGTGTTTAAACAAGGACATTTTGACATCAGTTTCTATCAATTTGTGTTTAAACAAGGACATTTTGACATCAGTTTCTATCAATTTGTGTTTAAACAAGGACATTTTGACATCAGTTTCTATCTGTGTTTAAACAAGGACATTTTGACATCAGTTTCTATCAATTTGTGTTTAAACAAGGACATTTTGACATCAGTTTCTATCAATTTGTGTTTAAACAAGGACATTTTGACATCAGTTTCTATCAATTTGTGTTTAAACAAGGACATTTTGACATCAGTTTCTTTCAATTTGTGTTTAAACAAGGACATTTTGACATCAGTTTCTATCAACTTGTGTACAAGGACATTTTGACATCAGTTTCTATCAATTTGTGTTTAAACAAGGACATTTTGACATCAGTTTCTATCAATTTGTGTTTAAACAAGGACATTTTGACATCAGTTTCTATCAATTTGTGTTTAAACAAGGACATTTTGACATCAGTTTCTATCAATTTGTGTTTAAACAAGGACATTTTGACATCAGTTTCTATCAATTTGTGTTTAAACAAGGACATTTTGACATCAGTTTCTATCAATTTGTGTTTAAACAAGGACATTTTGACATCAGTTTCTATCAATTTGTGTTTAAACAAGGACATTTTGACATCAGTTTCTATCAATTTGTGTTTAAACAAGGACATTTTGACATCAGTTTCTATCAATTTGTGTTTAAACAAGGACATTTTGACATCAGTTTCTATCAACTTGTGTACAAGGACATTTTGACATCAGTTTCTATCAATTTGTGTTTAAACAAGGACATTTTGACATCAGTTTCTATCAATTTGTGTTTAAACAAGGACATTTTGACATCAGTTTCTATCAATTTGTGTTTAAACAAGGACATTTTGACATCAGTTTCTATCAATTTGTGTTTAAACAAGGACATTTTGACATCAGTTTCTATCAATTTGTGTTTAAACAAGGACATTTTGACATCAGTTTCTATCAATTTGTGTTTAAACAAGGACATTTTGACATCAGTTTCTATCAATTTGTGTTTAAACAAGGACATTTTGACATCAGTTTCTATCAATTTGTGTTTAAACAAGGACATTTTGACATCAGTTTCTATCAATTTGTGTTTAAACAAGGACATTTTGACATCAGTTTCTATCAATTTGTGTTTAAACAAGGACATTTTGACATCAGTTTCTATCAACTTGTGTACAAGGACATTTTGACATCAGTTTCTATCAATTTGTGTTTAAACAAGGACATTTTGACATCAGTTTCTATCAACTTGTGTACAAGGACATTTTGACATCAGTTTCTATCAATTTGTGTTTAAACAAGGACATTTTGACATCAGTTTCTATCAATTTGTGTTTAAACAAGGACATTTTGACATCAGTTTCTATCAATTTGTGTTTAAACAAGGACATTTTGACATCAGTTTCTATCAACTTGTGTACAAGGACATTTTGACATCAGTTTCTATCAATTTGTGTTTAAACAAGGACATTTTTTTTCCAGGCCGTCGTTGGTGGATGCAACTTCTGAAAATGGTGACCTTTTGAGTAAGTGTTAAGATTTGGGTACACTTTATGGCATTTACACAACTTCTGAAAATGGTGACCTTTTGAGTAAGTGTTAAGATTTGGGTACACTTTATGGCATTTACACAACTTCTGAAAATGGTGACCTTTTGAGTAAGTGTTAAGATTTGGGTACACTTTATGGCATTTACACAACTTCTGAAAATGGTGACCTTTTGAGTAAGTGTTAAGATTTGGGTACACTTTATGGCATTTACACAACTTCTGAAAATGGTGACCTTTTGAGTAAGTGTTAAGATTTGGGTACACTTTATGGCATTTACACAACTTCTGAAAATGGTGACCTTTTGAGTAAGTGTTAAGATTTGGGTACACTTTATGGCATTTACACAACTTCTGAAAATGGTGACCTTTTGAGTAAGTGTTTAGATTTGGGTACACTTTATGGCATTTACACAACTTCTGAAAATGGTGACCTTTTGAGTAAGTGTTTAGATTTGGGTACACTTTATGGCATTTACACAACTTCTGAAAATGGTGACCTTTTGAGGAACTGTTTAGATTTGGGTACACTTTATGGCATTTACAGTTTTTTTAGGGTGGTGGGAGTGGTGAGCGCAGATAAAGGCATGTAAAGGCAATGCTTTGTTACCAAGCAATTTTTCATTTCACTTTATGTAATCTATAAAACAACTGACAGGGAATGACTCCATACCATTCCATACACATAGGCATTTGGGGTCTCCAAGAAGACTCCATTAAAATGTTGTGTTGAGCGCTTACAACGTACCTAAATGTTACACCGCATTGATTGATACAGGGTTCCCACAGATCCGGAAGAATTCTGGGACGTACCTAAATGTTACACCACATTGATTGATACAGGGTTCCCACAGATCCTGAAGAATTCTGGGACGTACCTAAATGTTACACCACATTGATTGATACAGGGTTCCCACAGATCCGGAAGAATTCTGGGACGTACCTAAATGTTACACCACATTGATTGATACAGGGTTCCCACAGATCCGGAAGAATTCTGGGAATTTTAACTTGAAATTTCCCGCCTGGGAAAGCCGGGAAATCCGATGAATAGTCTGGAATTCTTTTCATCCCCCAAATATCTCGAGGATTTGGGCTAAGCATGAGCCTAGCATAATGTACTCTCTCCAGTTCTGGTGGTTAGAGTTAAGGTCACAGAAGTAGTCTCACAGTATTGGTGGTTAGAGTTAAGGTCACAGAAGTAGTCTCACAGTGTTGGTGGTTAGAGTTAAGGTCACAGAAGTAGTCTCACAGTATTGGTGGTTAGAGTTAAGGTCACAGAAGTAGTCTCACAGTATTGGTGGTTAGAGTTAAGGTCACAGAAGTAGTCTATGTGTTGGTGGTTAGAGTTAAGGTCACAGAAGTAGTCTCACAGTGTTGGTGGTTAGAGTTAAGGTCACAGAAGTAGTCTCACAGTATTGGTGGTTAGAGTTAAGGTCACAGAAGTAGTCTATGTGTTGGTGGTTAGAGTTAAGGTCACAGAAGTAGTCTCAGTTCTGGTGGTTAGAGTTAAGGTCACAGAAGTAGTCTCACAGTGTTGGTGGTTAGAGTTAAGGTCACAGAAGTAGTCTCACAGTGTTGGTGGTTAGAGTTAAGGTCACAGAAGTAGTCTCACAGTATTGGTGGTTAGAGTTAAGGTCACAGAAGTAGTCTCACAGTGTTGGTGGTTAGAGTTAAGGTCACAGAAGTAGTCTCAGTTCTGGTGGTTAGAGTTAAGGTCACAGAAGTAGTCTATGTGTTGGTGGTTAGAGTTAAGGTCACAGAAGTAGTCTCACAGTGTTGGTGGTTAGAGTTAAGGTCACAGAAGTAGTCTCACAGTATTGGTGGTTAGAGTTAAGGTCACAGAAGTAGTCTCACAGTGTTGGTGGTTAGAGTTAAGGTCATAGAAGTAGTCTCACAGTATTGGTGGTTAGAGTTAAGGTCACAGAAGTAGTCTCACAGTGTTGGTGGTTAGAGTTAAGGTCACAGAAGTAGTCTCACAGTGTTGGTGGTTAGATTTAAGGTCACAGAAGTAGTCTCACAGTGTTGGTGGTTAGAGTTAAGGTCACAGAAGTAGTCTCACAGTGTTGGTGGTTAGAGTTAAGGTCACAGAAGTCTCACAGTATTGGTGGTTAGAGTTAAGGTCACAGAAGTAGTCTATGTGTTGGTGGTTAGAGTTAAGGTCACAGAAGTAGTCTCACAGTGTTGGTGGTTAGAGTTAAGGTCACAGAAGTAGTTTCACAGTGTTGGTGGTTAGAGTTAAGGTCACAGAAGTAGTCTCACAGTATTGGTGGTTAGAGTTAAGGTCACAGAAGTAGTCTCACAGTGTTGGTGGTTAGAGTTAAGGTCACAGAAGTAGTCTCACAGTGTTGGTGGTTAGAGTTAAGGTCACAGAAGTAGTCTCACAGTGTTGGTGGTTAGAGTTAAGGTCACAGAAGTAGTCTCACAGTATTGGTGGTTAGAGTTAAGGTCACAGAAGTAGTCTCACAGTGTTGGTGGTTAGAGTTAAGGTCACAGAAGTAGTCTCACAGTGTTGGTGGTTAGAGTTAAGGTCACAGAAGTAGTCTCACAGTGTTGGTGGTTAGAGTTAAGGTCACAGAAGTAGTCTCACAGTATTGGTGGTTAGAGTTAAGGTCACAGAAGTAGTCTCACAGTGTTGGTGGTTAGAGTTAAGGTCACAGAAGTAGTCTCACAGTGTTGGTGGTTAGAGTTAAGGTCACAGAAGTAGTCTCACAGTATTGGTGGTTAGAGTTAAGGTCACAGAAGTAGTCTCACAGTGTTGGTGGTTAGAGTTAAGGTCACAGAAGTAGTCTCACAGTGTTGGTGGTTAGAGTTAAGGTCACAGAAGTAGTCTCACAGTATTGGTGGTTAGAGTTAAGGTCACAGAAGTAGTCTCACAGTGTTGGTGGTTAGAGTTAAGGTCACAGAAGTAGTCTCACAGTGTTGGTGGTTAGAGTTAAGGTCACAGAAGTAGTCTCACAGTATTGGTGGTTAGAGTTAAGGTCACAGAAGTAGTCTCACAGTGTTGGTGGTTAGAGTTAAGGTCACAGAAGTAGTCTCACAGTGTTGGTGGTTAGAGTTAAGGTCACAGAAGTAGTCTCACAGTGTTGGTGGTTAGAGTTAAGGTCACAGAAGTAGTCTCACAGTATTGGTGGTTAGAGTTAAGGTCACAGAAGTAGTCTCACAGTGTTGGTGGTTAGAGTTAAGGTCACAGAAGTAGTCTCACAGTGTTGGTGGTTAGAGTTAAGGTCACAGAAGTAGTCTCACAGTGTTGGTGGTTAGAGTTAAGGTCACAGAAGTAGTCTCACAGTATTGGTGGTTAGAGTTAAGGTCACAGAAGTAGTCTCACAGTGTTGGTGGTTAGAGTTAAGGTCACAGAAGTAGTCTCACAGTGTTGGTGGTTAGAGTTAAGGTCACAGAAGTAGTCTCACAGTATTGGTGGTTAGAGTTAAGGTCACAGAAGTAGTCTCACAGTGTTGGTGGTTAGAGTTAAGGTCACAGAAGTAGTCTCACAGTGTTGGTGGTTAGAGTTAAGGTCACAGAAGTAGTCTCACAGTATTGGTGGTTAGAGTTAAGGTCACAGAAGTAGTCTCACAGTGTTGGTGGTTAGAGTTAAGGTCACAGAAGTAGTCTCACAGTGTTGGTGGTTAGAGTTAAGGTCACAGAAGTAGTCTCACAGTATTGGTGGTTAGAGTTAAGGTCACAGAAGTAGTCTCACAGTGTTGGTGGTTAGAGTTAAGGTCACAGAAGTAGTCTCACAGTGTTGGTGGTTAGAGTTAAGGTCACAGAAGTAGTCTCACAGTGTTGGTGGTTAGAGTTAAGGTCACAGAAGTAGTCTCACAGTGTTGGTGGTTAGAGTTAAGGTCACAGAAGTAGTCTCACAGTGTTGGTGGTTAGAGTTAAGGTCACAGAAGTAGTCTCACAGTATTGGTGGTTAGAGTTAAGGTCACAGAAGTAGTCTCACAGTGTTGGTGGTTAGAGTTAAGGTCACAGAAGTAGTCTCACAGTGTTGGTGGTTAGAGTTAAGGTCACAGAAGTAGTCTCACAGTGTTGGTGGTTAGAGTTAAGGTCACAGAAGTAGTCTCACAGTGTTGGTGGTTAGAGTTAAGGTCACAGAAGTAGTCTCACAGTGTTGGTGGTTAGAGTTAAGGTCACAGAAGTAGTCTCACAGTATTGGTGGTTAGAGTTAAGGTCACAGAAGTAGTCTCACAGTGTTGGTGGTTAGAGTTAAGGTCACAGAAGTAGTCTCACAGTGTTGGTGGTTAGAGTTAAGGTCACAGAAGTAGTCTCACAGTGTTGGTGGTTAGAGTTAAGGTCACAGAAGTAGTTTCACAGTGTTGGTGGTTAGAGTTAAGGTCACAGAAGTAGTCTCACAGTATTGGTGGTTAGAGTTAAGGTCACAGAAGTAGTCTCACAGTGTTGGTGGTTAGAGTTAAGGTCACAGAAGTAGTCTCACAGTGTTGGTGGTTAGAGTTAAGGTCACAGAAGTCTCACAGTATTGGTGGTTAGAGTTAAGGTCACAGAAGTAGTCTATGTGTTGGTGGTTAGAGTTAAGGTCACAGAAGTAGTCTCACAGTGTTGGTGGTTAGAGTTAAGGTCACAGAAGTAGTCTCACAGTGTTGGTGGTTAGAGTTAAGGTCACAGAAGTAGTCTCACAGTGTTGGTGGTTAGAGTTAAGGTCACAGAAGTAGTCTCACAGTGTTGGTGGTTAGAGTTAAGGTCACAGAAGTAGTCTCACTGTATTGGTGGTTAGAGTTAAGGTCACAGAAGTAGTCTCACAGTGTTGGTGGTTAGAGTTAAGGTCACAGAAGTAGTCTCACAGTGTTGGTGGTTAGAGTTAAGGTCACAGAAGTAGTCTCACAGTGTTGGTGGTTAGAGTTAAGGTCACAGAAGTAGTCTCACAGTGTTGGTGGTTAGAGTTAAGGTCACAGAAGTAGTCTCACAGTGTTGGAGCAAACTAAAATCAACCACAATTTGCGATCGTTGCTACAATTTTTTTCAGGGGTGACACTTTTCCGAATTATCCCTTTCTGGGATAGTACAATTTGAGTTTTAAAATGCCTGGGTTTGAAGTTAGAAAAGCAAAACAAGACTTTTGACATGATTCTAGAAATTGTTTTTATTATTAAGACTCTGGAGCCTGTTTACTGTTGATATGATTTCTGCCCATCACGATGCGTATATGGTACATCTACTGCTATGCTAGCATAAGGTTACTCAACATTGGCGAGACTTCATTTTTTTCCCATTTGTTTTTGTTTTTAGGATTGGTATCAAATTTAGTTTAGACTACTCATGATTTTTTAGGCTTATCTGAACTTGCCGTGTAGTATATAGGTGGACCTAACTAAACCTCTCCACAGTGTCTAGTTGATGAGCGGGGGGGGGGGGGGGGGGAGATGCCATAGTGTCAATTTTTAATAGTCCAAGACTATTTGAAAAGCATACATATTATTGATGTCTTGCCTATTATTATAGGCCTGCTTGGCTCAGTTGTTTTTTATTCAAGTATTTTTCCAGAATTTACTTGAAATAAAAAAGTAGGCCTTAGAATCTGAGCTGGTTGATCTCAGTGTCAATCTCAAATGTTAACATTACAATTAGGCTCATTTTTTAAAGGAATTAATTTTTTTAAATTAATACAGGTACCTCTAAGAAATGGCATAAATATTGAAAACAGTGCAAATGATAATTATAGTTTAAATAAGTTCAATTTTGAAAAAAAAAAGAATTTAGATATTAGCTATACCGAGGAATTAAATATAAATAGTACAATAATAGATTGAGGTGGATTTTTCAAACTTCTTGTCTTTATTTAAGCAAAATATTTGCTATTTACAGTTTGTTGTTTGTGTGAATTACTATTAAGTACACAGTTTTGGCTAACTATATACTTTATTAAACTCAATATAGGAAGTGCTAAAATTAAATACTTAGATATGTTACAAACTGCAGTGTACATTTCTACAACTCTTTAGATTAGGTTTCAAAGTGTGAATGAATTTATACTTGAAATAGCATGGAATTTTCTGGTTGAAAAATTGTGGGAACCCTGATGATAGAAAAAGTTTTCTTTCTTCGGAGTTTCACTCTGAAGAAACATTTCAATTCTATTTATTCTAGGCTTACACCCACATATAAGCTTTGAATTTGATTTAAAGTTTTCACCATTTTTAAATGTTCTTACTTCATTTGAAATTAGTTTTTTATGTTAACTTTATTTTTTGATGCATGAGTGATTAGACCACTTTCTTGAAAATGTTATCTTCAGAAGCAGGACAAAAAGAGATCAGGTTTACTAAAGAACACTGGCTTCAAAGATGGGAAGAAATCAGGCCACTAATAGTAAAGGTAGCCATTTTTACATTAACTACTAGCTTTCTAGAGCTGTTCTGGTCAACTTTTTAAAATATATTTTACTCTTGTCATTACAGACATATAAGCGGAAACATAAAGATGCTTTAAAGAATCATTGTTCTCAGAGGGAAACCAAGAGAAAAAAAGAATTCTTGAAAAATTCTAATGGACTGTGGAATCGAAAGAAAAAAATATGATTTTATTTCTTGAGAATTGTAAATAAATCCTATTAATTTTTAAAGATTTTTATAAGCTTTTATTACACTCACTTCCTCATCAGTCTGTCTGTCTAGATCGAAACGCCGGAGAGATAATTCGGACACTTCTAACTGACAGATACGGTTCGTAATTGGTACGTGGGTCAAGACATGAAGACAATGCATTATGACATTAAATTTGACTTAATTGGATGCCTAGTTAGTTTTTTATGAATTAATTAAAATTTGGACCGAATTAGTAGGCAGTTCTATCCACACACGTCATGACGGCCGTGCAGCAAGGGAGGGCTCTACAACAAAAGCGTGTCATCACGTTCAATGGGAGCGCGATGGTTTTTATAGTTGGGTCAGCAGTCTAGTTCTTTACCACTAGACTATGCCATCCCATAATATTTTACCGAAACTTTAGCTATAAACTTGACATTGACAATGGTTTTTAGTCATATAACTATTGTAAATAAAACATGTAAAGTACTGAAAAAAAATTCATTAAAAACTTTAATAACAAGCTTTTATGTAATATTACACTAAAAAGTAGAAAATAAATCATACACTACTATTTAAATAACTATAAAGAAAAGCGTGGGTCACTAAGAGACCCACGCTTTTCTTTATAGTTATTTAAATAGTACTGAAGTAGTGTATTATTTATTTTCTACTTTTTAGTGCAATATTACATAAAAGCTTGTTAATAAAACGTTTTGTATGATTTTGTCTCTGAGTGGAAAAGTATGGACTGATCAATAAATTACAAAATCTAGACTACACTGCCAAGTTATGCCAAATTAGCATTAAACAAACTGTGTGGCAGTGATCAAGATGTCATAGTGATGTGGAGTAGATTAAATAAGACATTCATAAATGCTTAGTCGTGCAAAATGGTACCCTGCTAAAAATGTCTTGTACAAAAACTAATGCATTCAAACTAGTCTATCCCAGTCTGTCACTGTATTTGTGCTTTACTTTAAGTGTTAATTTAAGTGTTATGTTCTTGTACCATCTAACCTTGCATGCCTGGCAGAAAATAGATAAAAGTAAATTGGCTTCTGAGTCTTCATGGCAAAAATAAATTTCTAGAACTGCTAATTTGCAGAGGGTGATCATCAAAGTGGCAAATCTGGAAAGCACCAGCAACAATCACAATCATGGGTGAAGTGCCTTTTTTATTGCTTGTGCCAGTACCAGAGACTTTAATCTAGACCATGAGTACTGGCGAGACCAGTCCAAATCTCACAGTAGATTATTCAAGGTTCATGCTCAAAGGTTAAAATAAAATTCCAGGAGTTCTAAAAAAATTCCAGGAGATTTAAAAAAAAAAAAAAAAAAGCCCAAATTGTATAAAAAATAAAAAAGCTTACCTAATAATACATTATATCAAACCGCTGACTATTCACATTTTGTATTTACACCATGTACAGTGTTAATATATACAAATATATAGATTCTACATGAGGACATAGCCATCTTGCACATTCTTTATTGTGATTTTAAGCAGATCTTGAAAATGTGGACCAAGGCCAAATGATATTTATTTCTTGCAAGCCACATGAAACTCTTGAAGTACCACTTTCAGTGGCCATAACACTTCAGCAGTGATGGTGTCGTCATTGGTAATATGTGCTTCTTGATTGAAGCTTGGACAGGTCTGGACAGTCCAGATTCATGCTCATTTACAGACTGCGATTCTGGCACCAAATATGTTGAAGGGGATGGAGCATCCCTCTTTCTTACAACAGAAAATGACATTATAGAGATGAAACCCAATGAAGTAGCATGCTGAGAATGCTTCTACAATTTTGCATGCAACTTTACAGCTGCTTTTCCTGTGTTTGTGACATCGATGGATTTCTTGCAAATTTGCAATAGCCCTTCTTATCACTAATAGAGTCTTGCAGAAGCCATGATTTGTAGTTGATATTATCCAGCTCACAGTGTTCAATGAACAAGTGTACTTTGGGCATTTTCCACTCGAATTGATGCAGCTCTAGTCTAGATTAAATCTAAATTTAGCAGTAACACAAGAAGAAATTAAGCCAAAAACAAAAAATCACGATAGTAGAAAAGATGATATCATACTCCAAACGTTGCAAAAACTATTTGAAAGAACGATAGATCTAGTTCTATATCAAATTTTGTGTCTACCTATATATTGATAAATTTACGGAAGCTGGATACGCACAGATGCAGTAATGTAGATACACGTATCACTTACGCTCGCCCATCATAAAACTATTATTCAGTGATTGGCGGAACAAAATCAAATAATTTCAATAGGGTTTTGCACTGGTAATGAGATTTCATGACAATTTTCAAAATGTCATTATTATTCGAGGAGATTTTTAATTATTTTTTTTTCATGAGTATTCCAGGAGGTTTTTACAGTTTTTAAGATTTCATGAGTTTTTCAGGATTTCCTGGAATTTCAGGAGGCAGCACAAACCCTGATTATTACATCATATTATAAAAAATTTCCAAACCATCAGATTTCCCGGCAGAGAAATTTTATTTCGAAATTCCCACCAGCTTGACAATGGACGCGAGCGAGAAGGTATTCGAGAGGCCCATTAATTAAAAAATCATGCACGGCGTAGTTACAATTAATATGGTTATAAAATCCTGTCTGGTTTTTTTCGGACTTTACTAAAGGTTGGATGTATTTGATGTTTTTAATATTTTCGGTAACTAAACAAAAATTTAAAAAAAAGCATAAACAATTTGGTTTTCACGTGTAATGGCAACATAAACAATGGCATCCTGCTATTTGATAGGCTGCCATAAATTTTACTGTACACATTGTAAGCAAAAAAAATGGAAAACTAGGTCATGGGGTTTAAATTTGCATTGTTATCTGCAAAGTTTTGCAAAGAAATAGTTATTGATCACTGAGTTACTGTACAGCCAATTAATATTTGTCTTACAGAAGTGAAACATCTGGTTATAACTTAGGCTTGATGAAAATAAATAGAAATGTAGCCTTAAACTCAACAAATCATTTTCAAGTTCTCTGGATTTGCAACTTTTATAGCATTTATTTGATTGATTTATTCTAAAAATATAAAATTTCTAAATTAGTTTAAGGCGCAAGTTTTTATTTTTTTTATTATTTTTACAATCTAAATCTAAAAAGGCATGTCTTATTCCATGTCAACAACATGATGGAAGGATTTTTGTCAACTCACTCGCCTCCATTACCAGGTTAGCAATAACAAAATCTGAGATGATAAATCCGATCTAAGCTTGAAACAAGTTTTTGTTACCAAATGTGTATAGGAAAACAATTACTGACATAATGTGTGCACTAGTACTATATCTGATGTCACACAAGACTAATCACCAGAGCAACTAATACAAATCTATTAACAAGTTTTACATACATTCTATTCTAAAGAGACAAAAATTGAGAAATGTCATAATTTTCTTAAGTTCATAATTTATTTGTGTCTAAATCCAGTCTTTTTGTAAACAAAATTCAGTTAAAATACATCAATAAACATCTTCTGAAGAAATGGGCTAAGATCCCAAATCTCTAGAAACCAATCTACAATAGATGTTTGTTGCCACTATTGCTCCAGTAGAACAAACATCCCATTCAAACAAACTTTTTAATTAAGATAGCCACCATCAATTAGCTCATGGCAAGTGAGAAAACTACAATTAAAGAGCAGCTGCTCCAGAAATAATTTCAATAAGCTCCCTTGTGATGACAGCTTGCCGAGTTCTGTTAAAAGTCAGGGTCAACTTGCCAATCATTTCACCTGGTGAGATACAGGTACAAATATTCAAGTTACAAACCTCCCAGTTCTAGAGCTGCAATTCACCCAGTACTTCATTCATACCAATCAACCATTGCACTCAGTGCCTAATTCAAAATTTATCAATCAATCATTGCACTCAGTTCCTAATTCAAAAGTTACTGATCTCAATCATTGCACTCAGTTCCTAATTCAAAAGTTACTGATCTCAATCATTGCACTCAGTGCCTGATTCAGAAGTTACTGATCTCAATCATTGACAAGTCCTGTTAGCTTACCTGCATTTTTGCTGGCAGCGTCCATAGCTGTCATTCTGGAACTCTGCTCACTACAAGCACCTTCTTTCATGGCAAAAAGAATTAAGCTGGCCAATGAGAACTCATTGTAACTCCTCAGTACTTCATCATCGATGCTGTCATACAAGTTAAACTTCTGAGCACTTTGAACTGCATCAGGATTGTACAGTGGCAGCTCAGTGGTGATGTATGAAATCACACTCCTGTAATGGACAACAGTTTACTTGTGTGCTCAAACAATTCAATACTTTACCATAAACAAAGCAAGAGCGTGACTTACTTGAAAGTGTTGAAAACAAGCGCAGCTCTATCATACTTATAATCAAGGTTCATGATCATATTTGCAACCAATGCAGCATCACTAAAAGTTGGAGGTCTCTTGCCATAGTCATTAAAGCTGTACAGTATATTTGATGATAAAGTCCTAAAACAGAACAAGCCATAAAGTTAGTGTGTCCAACCAGAAGGAGAGACAAACATTATATACAAGGAGATTTTGTCAACTCTTCACCTTTGTAAAATTCCTTTAGCTTTGTCTCCCACAACAATAAATTTGGTTTCTATCCCAGATCCACCTTCTTCAATTTTTGCCTTGACATACTTGACTACAGAGGAGTGAATACCACCACAAAGACCTCTGTCAGAGGACATCACTACTAGTAGTTGGTGAGGCTTGTTTTTCTCATCAGCAACCTCTGCCTTCTGGTAAAAAGCTGAGGAACAAGTCAGATAAGAAATGTGACAAGTCCCTGTCAATGAAACCTTGTGTTCCAAGTAAACATTGGCTGCACCAACTGTACGCAATACACTCAGACAGACCTCATAGTAAATGCACCTATAATCCTGTTCATCTCTCTTTTTGTTAAAGTTTACCACCAGATTTTTAAAATTAAAATCTTGTACAAATAATAACCTTAAAAAAAATGTTTTAAACAATTTAAGCCCATAAAATCCATCATGAGTGAATGTGTTTTTTAATTATATTTTGTTTCGATATAAGTGATGCTGAGCATTTATTTATTTTCTGTAGTTCAAATAGCTATAATGCGAGTGTTTTCATCACTTATTTACCAAGGATGTATGTCTTTTCATGTGCAAATAGATATGCCCATCAAAGCTCAATCTGAAGATAAGCTGTTAAATGTAAATAAATCTCCCCCCTCCTCAGTCAAGTTGGCCTTCATTAGACCTTTCTTTCTTTCCCTCCCCATAAGGACATCATTTATTAAGATTCCTTAGCTCCCTTAATCATAGTCTAGAATGACCAAGTCGGTATTGGGATGATCTAGGTCTAGACAGGTTTCTCAAATGGTGCAAACCACTTCATCTTTTAAATTCTCAAGTATTACTTCATATGCCCTACCAAATGTCAGGTGTGAAAGACAAAGTATTACTGCCAAGTGTAAGAGACAAAACATCATTTTATATGGGGCCATAAGAAATCTGATGTATAAAAGACAAAGTATTACTTTATATGCCTTAAAACTGACAAAAAAGGATACAACACTTTTTTAAAAAAAATTATGTATGAATAATTTTTTTCTGCATACTAGTTTCTAACAATGAGTAAAGAAATACTAGAATCATCCAAAGTACCTTTAGCACCAATACCATATTGACGTGCAGGTTTCAACTCTCTCTCAGCCTTGGCATATTTAGCAGCTGACACCATCTTCATGGATTTTGTAATTTTCTGAATATTGGTTACTGACTTCAGGCGCAGACGAACTGTAATATAAAATTAATGTTAGCTAAGAAACAAAAATAGTTTAGGCTAAGGTTACTAACAGTAAACTAAAATGCTAATAGAGTTTTACTTAAGAAGGCAATAGACTTACTTTCTTTCAGTGTCGCCATACCACGAGTCTGTATTTGGCCACTAAAAATATAATTGTATCACTTATTAATTTTTGGACACATTTTCAAATTTAAAAAATAGAAATAGAAATATTTTCCACATGCCATCATAATAAATAATCAAAGAGTTCTCAAAATTGAATTAATCAGTGATGTTTAAAGATCATTGCTCAAGTATAATAGAAATAGTTTATTTAGATAATGATAGCATTTTCATTTTTCTGACATTAAAATTTCTAGAGGCATCATTCTGGTATATATTGATACTAACATGTAAAGCTATGTTTGTGAAAACTTAATAAGCAATATTTTTGCTAACTGTTATCAGCTTGAGACATGAATATTAATAACTAATCATGGGACTGAGTGGTCTAGCTAAACAGCAAGTCTCGAGTTCATATCCAGGGTTCGTCAGTAGACTGTCTCTGAATTCACCCAGCTCTGATGGGTACCTAACTCATGTTATGGAAAGTAAAGGTGGCTGCTTTCTTGAGGGGGTGTAACCTGGTTGTGGCACATCGCATTTGGAACTTTAAATTTCTGTGTTTTGTGAATATATTTATACACAACCAGCATGCTATGCTTTTGAAAATTGATAAAGGATAAGCATACCAAGTTACAAAACCTGCAATCTAACTAATAATTCATAATTTTAGTTTAAAAAACAATAAAAATGATCATCAATGAAGAAAGCGTAAAAATTTTATTTTTAGGCATGACATAAAAAAGTCATAAATCTAGCCAAATGATTGGATTCACTTTTTCCTGCGCCTCGTTTTCACCAAAAAAGGTTTTTAATAAAATGGCATTATTGAGGGGTGATAATTACCACAAACACATCTCATAAACCCCATAAATTATTACCAGTTAATTGTAATGTGTGTTAAAGTGTTAAATTAATACTTTACAGTTTATGATGCACATATTCTGGTTTACGATTTAAGCAATATTTCAGAGTTATTTGATTTAAAAGACAAGAATACATAGAGCTATTTTCACTTACGCGCCGCTTGCGAGAAAAAGAAATTATGTCAAAAGTACATATGGGAATTCTTAAATAAAAGACTGAAATAGAAACGGATAGTTCAATTTTCTAAAATTAACGATGGCATAGTAATCAATAGTTTTATCCCTCTACTGTTCAGTGAAAGCAAAACTGGTCGCCATTTTAGTAAGCGCATGAGCCGTGAGATGCCACAAAAATGACAAACCCAGAAACGTTGAATCAAACTACCTACATAAATGAAACTTTGAAACATTTTTGTAAATTTCAAACATAAATCCTCCTACAAATGTGAAATAATTATTAAAATTTAAGACGTCACCTGTTTTTCGCATTACTAGTTGCGATAGATTACCCTACTAATTTCTAACCATAGAACTAGTCCAGATTACAATACTACTAACAACCCAACACACCTATTTTATGGAAGAGTCGGTAATCTAACGTTTTAGGTACGTAAAATCGCCAGTGGCTAGAAATGTACGAAAAAGTTACCTCATTGTCAAGGCTTTAATAGAAGTATATTGTGATATATTTTTGTCAAATATTATAGATAAATGAATAATAAACCTAAATCAATGGCTAAATATATCAATATAGGCAAGAAATTAACTTTAAACAGCAGTGTTTGCGAGCAGGATTTGCTATATAAAAAGCGGCCATCTGTAAGTTAGAGTGGCTTCCCCTGAATCTTGCGCTATAAGTTTACAATAAAAAAAAAACATGGCTGCCGTAGTAAACGAGCATTGTTGCATCTGTTGGAAACATCGCTAGTCTTCATTTATTACTGAAATGTTTTAATTCAATTGTTTAAAAACAGGTAGAGTAGATTTCCTCTGCACGGTCAAGCCTTGTAGCGGTCATCGTCTGTTTATTGCTTCGTATAATAATTGTTTGGATGTTTTATATGAAACTACCGGTATCTGCTGTACGCATGTCCATTTCTAAATATGTCCAGGTCAAATTCTTTTGTTTTCCCTTCTGGAAGACAAGTTTTTAAATTTTAAAGTTGAGGTATGACGTCAGCCGGTGATCCCAGTTCCCCGGATGAAAACACTAGGTCCGGGATGAGACGAATAAAACCAACCAATCAAAGCTGTTTATAATTAGGTTAAGTATAAATAGCTTCTACATATGTGCGGGACACTGTAAATACTATAGCTAAGGCTACTAAAGCAACCTGAGAAGTCAAATGGGGGTGACCGCAGATTGGCTAACGATTCGGGTCGTTTATCCTCGCCGCTTAACCAATGACTTGAGCTAGAGTAGCCTAGATTTGGACGCTCTATATTTCAAGCTAAGTCTAGAATCTGTATAGTTTATACATTTTTCTGTTGTTTTAAATTATTTCGATCATCTACTTCTTCTTCTAGAACTAGTTTGTGTGTCCACATACAAGCATGTCTAAGCAAATGTTAGGTGTTGTCTTGTTAGTAATTGTTACGTCCCTTTGTTATGATTATTAAAGTTGCGTCCCTTGAGTTATCACTGGGTCATCCGTGATGTGTAGTTAATAAATTTAATTAAAGTGTTTTTTATTTGGTGTTGCAGTCTATTAATTAATAATACAATCAACAACACGTTTAAAGGTGTAAATTATTTATTTTAGCTATTAAAATTGGATTAAGATGTATAAATTACGATCGTTACGTGAGCAGGAAAAGGTGACCGCGGGCAAGAAAAAAAGGGGAAAAAAATATCGCAAGAAGGCTTGTCACTAAAACATGAATATCTCAAATACTATGCGTAGGAATACAAAATGACTCATACATATTAGAGAATATTATTAGAATAATATGACACTTTCAGTTTGTTTCTGGGTGAAACGGTTACAAAATAGCGCCCGATGAAAATCGGGAGTTCGGAACTTTTTTGCTATGTGTGACCGCGTTTGGAAATCTACTCTAGATAGGCCTAAATGAAACAAGGAAACATTTTTGTATTTTTCAAAACATAAATCCTCAAAATGTGGAATTATTAAAATTTAAGGAGTCACCTGTTTTTCACATTACTAGTCGCGGGTGATTTTACGTAGAATCTACCTAAAACGATAGATTACCAATTATTAAATTTAAGGAGTCACCTGTTTTTCACATTACTAGTCGCGGGCGATTTTACGTAGGTAGGGTTGTCGGCATCCGCCGAGTTCGCGGTAAAAACATGACCCGAAATCGCCCATTACTTTCTGATACCGGACCCACGAGATTTGGTTTTGCATACTAATAAGGTTTAAATTTATGGTAATTAATTAAGTTTAAAAGGTCATTTCCTAAGGTTAATTAAGAAGTAGAGTGGTTGTCCCTTAGTTTTAATGGCTTTGCGACCTGATTGCATGCTGTCTCTGCTTTGGTCTTCCCCCTGTATCAAGGTTAGTTTCAAATACGTTGGAATCTCGATTTTTTAAAAGATTCCTCTAGATGAGAGTAGATTACTGATCAGACATATCTTAAGTAATTGGAAATGAAATTTGTTTTTGGATATTTTGACTCCGACATTAGTTATACCCCTCCGAACGTAGTCACTGTATGTAGGTCACGCTGCCACCATTGTTATATTTTTTCATCCCGATCTTCCTGCCTTTAAGTTTGATCAACTAATAACAGCAATCTTATGGCATGTGCAAACAAATCTAATTTTTTATTTCAAAATATATTTACATACCCATCTTTAATTTTTTCAGCTCTAGTTCTAGTTTTCTAGAATATGTTTTTCCTAAACATCCAATTTTGTCAGACTAGACTCTAGACTGACAAGAGTCAGACCTAGATCTAGGTTACCTGTCTGTTGCTATACACTAACATTGTGCTAACTGTAATTTTAAGTGTTCAAGTTCTACTCACCCTTAGATATAGTTATATGCTGAAAATCAGAATCTATACACAATACACACATAAAAACATTGATCTGATAACTTCATTTCACTTATTACAAAATGACTTTTATATGGACTCTACTTCACCTGCCCAAAATAACAAGGCAGTTATAGACACATTACAGTGTTCATGTCATTTACTTTCATTCACTGTATTTATATAAAATATTGCTTTAGAAACATTTTCATATTTGCGCAGCAGTTTTATAACAAAATGGCTTAAAGATGGACTCTACTTCACCTGCCCAAAATAATGAGGCAATTATATGCACATAACAGTGTTCAAGTCATTTACTTTAGATTTCTAACTTTGTAGTTCTTTCATTTGCTGTATTTATATAAAATATGGCTTTAGAAACATTTTCATATTTGCGCAGCACAGTTTTTTGGGGTTATGGGAGGAAGCCAACACAAAAATATAAGTTCTGTATTATTTTTATTAATTTCAACAGCATTTACAAGTTCTATATATCATTCTAGTTAAACTCTGCAAATATGAACAAAATACAACTGCAAGTAAAATAACTATGCTCAATTTATTCAGGTATACCATGACTTGTCACAATTGGCCAATGCAAAAGCAAGGGGATTCCACCCCTCACAAAAAAATTTGCCAAAAAAAAACTATTTGAGCTAGACAGAAAATCTTTTTTGTTTTGTTTTCATATAGTTGAGCTCTACAAGAATATGTAATTTTTATTTTTATATGATGATTAGTGTTTTTTTACCTAAATCCCTAACGTAGGCCTACCTAAAACGATAGATTAGTAGATTACCGAAGGGTCTATCATCGGACACCGGTATCTAGATCTATAAACATCCAAAACTTAATCTAGATCTAGATCTAGATCTATATATTTATAAATATGATTTTTAATAGCGAATGAAACAAAATACCATTGTGGCACAAGTAAAGGTGCTGCCCTTGACAAGATCGCCTCCATCTTGGTTGCAGAAGACCCGGTAGAGAAGTACTAAAGTAAATGCCGAAAGTAACCCAAAAGAAAAAAGAAAATAGTCGATTCTTAGTAAACGGTAAAAAAAGAGTTTTTATAGGCCTAATTATTTTTTAAATAAGCGTTTTTTATATGCACTCAAAATAAGAAAATCAATCGATTTTTCTTAAAATATATAATAAATAATGTACCACAATACAAATAAAGAAAAGCGTAGGTCTTTCGTAAAATATTTTAGTAGGGCTGGGCTATTCAGTGCAGATCTCACTCAGCCGTTCATATCTCACATTAAATTAAAAGTCATTTTAATGGAATAATTTCGTCTTTACAGTCAAGTACTTAGCCTAAACTTTATCTATTTAAACATCGGTCATTTTTCTTTTAAATTACTATAAAGATAGACTGAATATTATGATTAACAGTCACAATACAGTATTATTATTAAGACACAATACTTTTTATTCCCCCTCCCCCCAGCCCCCCCCCCCCCTCCACCACCACCACCACCACACTTGACATCAGTGCATCGGCCCCAGAAGTCAATGCGAAGAAAGGAGTGAAGAAAGGGTGAACGGAAAAAAAAGTCACATAAAAAAAAATACAGAAAAAAACGCCAGCTTTTTCTAGGAAACAAAGTCACCCAAAAAATTCACAAAATCGGCCTTGTCCGTCCAAAGGTAAAACTGATACCGCACGACAACTGCTACTGCTTTGTTACTTTGTTCAACCTAGATAATAATTTAAAACTGCAATACTAGTATCGAAATGTTCTAAAGACACGACCAAAAGTAGACCAAATAAGTTTGCACCTTCTACAAAATACACGCAAACGCAAACACAAACACAAAAGCAAACGCTAACACAAACACAATGCAAACGCAACACAAACACAAACAGAAACGCAAAAAAAAAACGAAAACACAAACACAGTCTAACCCGGGCCGCCAAATCGGACCCTGCACGGGCGCCGGAAGGACGCCCTGGTTTCACATTCGTTTGTTGGCGTATGCGAAAGAGGAAACACTTTACCGACGATCGGGGGCGGAACTACAGTGCCGCCAGACCCTGCAATGCGGGGGGGGGGGGGGGGGGGGGGGGCAGGCCGACAGCCGACCATAATCAATTTTTTTATAGTTAAAAAAAAATTCTTTCATTTTTGACTTGATGGTTGTTTTGTAAAAAGAATACTGTAGCTGTGGTTGGATTACTTTTACTCTATAGACACCATCCCGAGTCCTTTTTTCTCCTACAATCAAACACACGTTGTTGTCGGCAAAATTCTTTTGAAAATAAATCAAAGTCCATCGCGCGAGAGGACGCTAGATATTAAGACGACTTTTGCTTGTTTATAGCATTGTTTACGGCCCACAATCCAATGTGATTTTATTTTACTAATTTTCTTCTCTCTTAAATTTTTGGCAAAGAGTGTCGCTTTCCACCCACCCGCTCGGACAGTCTGCTATCTTACTGATCGGATAGCGATACAAGAATACGTGATATTTAGTTCTCTTTAAATGCAGTGATCCAGGTAAGATGTAACGCAATCAAGTAAAAGTATCTGATATCTCACGCTGAAGTTGAGAGAATCGCAAGAATCGTACAAAGAATTACTAAAATTCGCGTCATTTCTTAGCTAAACTGGGTAGTTAAATCGTAAATTAAGTGTTAATACAATTGGTTTCTTTTGTAAGTGTTAAAAAAGTTATCTACTCATCGATCCAGTACAAATCCTTTGGTTTTTGTTGATGAAAAAGCGCCCGCCCCCTCCCCACTATCTTGGACAAAGTTGATAGAGCGGATGTTTATACGTCACTAACCCTTTTTTAAAATGTTATACAATCGTAAAATACGCTTTAGTACAATGGGTTTCTTTTCTAAGTGATAACAGTTATCTATTCACTAATCCAGTGTAAAATTTTCCGATTTTTGTATTCGAAAAAGCGACCCCCCCCCCCCTATCTAGGAAAATCTGGAAAGCGGTTTTTCCGGTCACTGTTTCTTAAGGGTATATGTTTTCCGGTTACATATTCAAGGTAAAAAACAGTTAAATCCGTATGCAAAGGTTCCTAGCCGTTTAAATTTCTTAATTTTGACTGTTTATAATTCAAAACTGCAGCTTAAATTGAGCTTTTAATTATTTTTTCTATCCCTTTTGGCGCTCCCCTAGGGTCGGCGCCCGGGGGGGGGGGCGCCATCCCCCCCCCTCTGCTAGATCTAGATCTAATCTAGTTCTAATCTAGATCTAGATCTAGTATTTTTTAAATTTTTCGCATAATTTGAAATTGTTTCTTTTCAACTGATTGATCTGGCAATCTTTCCAAGTCTATGTTGAGGACTGAGGATGTGTTGTTTACGTTTTGAAGTTATAAAAACACCACTTTTATTTTTGTTTACCTTTACTTTTTAATTTAGAGCTACTCAGCTAGATCTAGATCTAGATCTCTACTTTTTATACTTTAACTAGAATCTATAGTGAATAGTAACTTGTTGTTCTAATAATATTAATAATTAATAATTATTAAATTTTATTAGGCCTAGATCTAGTAGTAGGAGAGTTATTTTTGGTAATCTATCGTTTTGGGTACGTAAAATCGCCCGCGACTTGTAATGTGAAAAACAGGTGACTCCTTACATTTTGATAATTATTTCACATTTTGAGGAGGATTTATGTTTTGAAAAATACAAAAATATTTCCTTGTTTCTTTTATGTACCTGTATTTAAACAATTGAATTAAAACTTTTTAGTAATAAATGAACACCAGCGATGTTTCCAACAGATGCAACCATGCTCATTTACTATAGCAGCCATCTTGTTAAAGTTTTATTTTTATAGACTTATAGTGCACGATTCAGGCGGAAGTCACTCTATTTTACAAATGGCTGCTGTTTATATAGCAAATCTTGCTTGCAGACACTGCTGTTTAAAGTTAATTTCTGGCCTATATTGATATATTTAGCCATTGATTTAGGTTTATTATCCATTTATCTATAATATTTGACACAAACATATCACAATATACTTCTATTACAGCCTTGACAATGAGGTAACGTTTTCGTACATTAATAGCCGCGGCCGATTTTTTTACGTACCCAAAACGATAGATTACCAGTTATTTTATCTAGCCTACTATTTTATATTTTTTAATTTTTAGTATCTACACTAGTCTAGAGAGAGTAGATAAGATAGTTTTCTTAGTAGTTAACAAAAAGTTAAGTTACCAACTAACTACTAGATTCTAGATCTAGTAGTTAGTACAAGTACAATAGATCTATAATTTTTTAACTATAAGTAATAAGTAAACAGTAAAATAACTATCATTTTATACTTATAGTTATAACTTATAAGTTATAGATCTAGCTAGATTATTCTAGATATCAGATATAGTCTATAGTCTATGAATGATTCATTCAATTCATGGATGTTCAAGATATGTTTTATGCTTGTAAAAGCGGAGATTTACAACGCCTTCAGTAAGTTTATTTTATAGGTCTAATAACCAGAGGCGCAGCTATGGGTTGGGGAGTGTACGACCCTAGGGGTGTGGCTAAAAGGGTAGGAAAAGAAAATTAAAAGCTCATTTTTAAGCTGCAATTTTGAATTATAAACTACAAGCCTTTGCATACTAATTTAACTTAAACCAGCGAAAACCACATTCCATTTTTTTCTCGATGGGGTGGGTGGGCGGGGGGGGGGGGGGGGGGGGGCTTTTTCACGGACTAAAATTGGAAGAATTTACACTGGATTGGTGAGTAGATAACCTTTATCACTTATAAAAGAAACCAATTGTATCAAAGCACATTGTACTATTGTGTAACCGTGAAAAAATGTTAGTGACGTTACAACCCGCTCTACTAATTTTGTTGAAGATGGTGTTGGTGGTGGGGGGAGAGGGTTTTTTTTGCAAACAAAAATCACAAGAATTTGCACTTGATTGGTGAGTAGATAACTCTTTTAACATTTAGAAAAGAAATCAATTGTATTAAAGCGTATTGTGTAACAGTAACATAAGAAAAAGTTGGTGGTGGGGGATGCTTTTTCGCCAATGTAAATAGGAAGGATATACACGGAACAGTGAGTAGATAAATAGTTTATACTTAATATACTTTGAATAGAAACCATTTGTATTAACGCGTAATGTACAAATTCACTAGCCGTTTTTTTAACAAATGACGCAACTAGTTTTTTGTACGATTCTTAGGATTCTCTCAACTTCAACATGAGAGATCAGATACTTTAATTTGATTGCGTTACCTCTTGCCTGGATCCACTGTATTAAAGAGAAATAAATATAACAGATTCTTGTGTCACTTTATGATCAGTAATATAGCATGCTGTCGGAGCAGGTGGGTGAAGGCGATAATCTTTAGATGAAATTTTAAGAACTAAGAAAAATAAACACAGCTTTCTATATTTAAAATGACTTAATAAACCTGTTTACTAGAAAATTAGTATATTGTACCAAATAGATCATTTTTTTTTATTGCTGGTTTCATAAGAAGTCTAATACTGCAGTTTTCAAATAGTTAACTAAGGTAAATTTGTACAACACAATGATTACCTAACTGATAATTTAAAACCGTGATGTACTAGTATCAAAATTTTTCTAAAGACACGTCCGAAACTGGACCTTTTACAAATTACACTCTACTATAGCAGTGTTAACTTTTTGGAGGTAACGAACCCCATAGATTTCATATATACATTCACCTAACCCTTCTTAACAGTTCTATTGTCCACACTTACAAAATCAAATAGTGAAGTCTGGTGTGTGTCTTGACCTTCACCGAAGCCCTGAGACTGACTCATCTAACCTCCGTGGTTCGAACTGAACCCAGGTTAAGAATCATTGCTCTAACCTCTTCTGATTTTCTTCTTTTTATTCTTTTGACTTCCTACAGAAGTGGGCAACACATCCTCAACTCACTTAATTTTTATGAAGATAGAACCCTAATAATCCAGCCTCCCACATCTCTATTCAAACAAATTCCTTCATGATTTTATTGGTCTCCTTCTCTTCCTTTCTCCCCATGGACTTTACACCAGCACCTACTTAGTGATGTTATTTACTGTCTTTCTGATAAACACCACCTTTTTGTTTCTCTTATTTCATTCTCCACTGTCTGTAACCACCTAGCTCTGAGACTTACAGTAAAACAGACATCATATTCTGCTGATTCTAATCTGTATGTCATGCCACAATCATTAAATGGGTTATTACTGCTTCTTCAACCAGTTTAATTTGTTCTGCATTTGTTGACTATGTGCCAAAAGGCAGCGCACATCTGCAAAATCCAAGGCTTCGCAAAATGTTGTGTCAGTTTCATCTAGCTTGAATCATTATACTATCAACTAGTCAAGAAAATACCCATGTCATATTCCAATGTGTATAATAAATTTTTCTGATAATTTGCTATTGTGTATCACTTGTATGACCGTATTCTAACTAACGTATAATACAACAATGTAACATATCATAACAGACTGCTCCAAAGATAGAACATAAAAGACTGGCCTAAACAAATTAGCGCATGCTACAAACTACAGTTTACACCCAGATCAGGCTTTTTAAAATGACATTATCAATCTTTTTTTAAAAGGATTACGCATCTTAAGGGTAATTTAATTGGCATCTCAAGTAAAGTTTTAGGGAACGAAAATCATACACGGGGGGTCTGCATGGTCGAGTCGGTAAAGCTTATGGTTGCTAAACCGAAAAGTCTCGCGTTAGAACCCTTGGGCAGTTGAGGCTTGTTAGCTGGGGACAGCCACTCTTCTAGATATATATATATATATATATATATATATATATATATATATATATATATATATATATATATATATATATATATATATATATATATATATATATATATAAAGCAATGTGTGTGTGTGTGAGTCTGCCTGTCTTTTATGCATTATTACACCTTTCATCAGACCACCATGAAATTTGGGGAGTTGATTGTAACACTACAGGGAAGGGATCTGCTAAAAAATCTTTTTTAATTTTGCAAGGGCGGCGCCCCCGGAGGGTGCGATTTTTCTTTATATATTGTTTATAAAATAAATAAAAGTCAGATACGGTTCGACACCATTTATCCGAGTGCCATGAAACTTTGGGGGGTTGATGAGAATACTCCCGAGAAGGTTTCTGTGAACAAAATAATTAAAATTTTATATGGGAGGCGTCCAGGAGATAGCAATTTTTGCCAATAAACAATTTGGCGCCCACAGTTCCAGAGCGGTTATGTTAGCAGTTGGCATCCGTTAATCGTGTGCCCTGTATAGCGGGTAAGAGGTACTACTATATTCAGCGGGTAAGAGGTACTACTATATTCAGCGTTAAAACTTTGACAGGCCAACCCCGGGCTCCCCTGCAAGCACTATGGCACCTACATTCATTTAAAATTAAAAAAAGGCTATACACTATATTGACCCAGGCGCGTCCCCTGCCGCCCCTGCAGGGTTTGATTTGGCTGCAAAAAAAAATTTTTAGTTTCTGCCCCCAAAGGCTCACATGGGCTGCTGAGGGCCAAGTAATACATTTATTTTAATAATCAGAAAAATCAACCAAGGTTAGATTATTAACTGGGTTGTTTCCTTTTGTCCGTAAAAAAATTCAAACAATTCCAAACAGTTCTTGAAATAATGAAAATATTTCTGTAAAAATTAAGTTTCAATATTTCTGTAAAAATTAAGTTTCGGAGGGCCACTCAAGTAAAAAATAAAAGTCACACTTCTAAATATAACTTTGTAATGTGCGGAAATCCTTCGTATAGTTTCATCACATTGCGAATGATGCAATTAGCATCTATTTTTAGACGATCCAATCAGAAATTGAGGTCGAGCTTAGTAGTAACGCTAACAAATTTCATCAGTCACACTGGTGTTTAACCTGTTGATTTGTGTCACTTAAGTGAATGACACAATCTGCACTATGTTTCATTTAAGGACCATTTAAATACCTCAGCTTTAAAAAACAAGGTCACGCATCTAAGAATATATGATTGCAAACACATTGTGAAACCCTTCTTATATTCCAGCGGCAAAGCGCAAGGACGGGTACGCTAATATATATATATATATATATATATATATATATATATATATATATATATATATATATATATATATATATATATATCTGGGTAAACACAAAGATTAAAATAGACTAAATTTTCTTTGATTTTCTATTTTCTAATTGAAGGTACCTTGTGGACATCAAAGAAGTGGAGATTGATCTGAGGGATAAATGGGATAGCACACCATTGTAAGTTAGGTGAAAACCTCAGTGTCTAGTAGGATAGCACACCATTGAAAGTTTGGTGAAAACCTCAGTCTCTAGTAGGATAGCACACAATTGTAAGTTTGGTGAAAACCTCAGTCTCTAGTAGGATAGCACACCATTGTAAGTTTGGTGAAAACCTCAGTCTCTAGTAGGATAGCACACAATTGTAAGTTTGGTGAAAACCTCAGTCTCTAGTAGGATAGCACACCATTGTAAGTTTGGTGAAAACCTCAGTCTCTAGTAGGATAGCACACAATTGTAAGTTTGGTGAAAACCTCAGTCTCTAGTAGGATAGCACACAATTGTAAGTTTGGTGAAAACCTCAGTCTCTAGTAGGATAGCTCACAATTTTATTCCAGGTACTATGGTGTAAAACAAATACAATTTTATTCCAGGTACTATGGTGTAAAACAAATACAATTTTATTCCAGGTACTATGCATGCCTGTGTGGGCACAGAGATATAGTAGAATATTTACTAGAAAGAGGTAAGTTAATTAAGGGAATCTGTAACATGTAGTTTTTCATTGGATTATAAAATTAGATTTAAAAATTTTGATTAAAATAATTGGATTAAAAAATTTTGATTAAAAAAATTGGATTAAAAAATAAGACTAAAAAATATACAAATAATGCAGGTTTTTAATATGTTCTGTATATGGAGTAAATCCAAAAAACTCCCTGAAATCAGCTTTATACTTTTATATGTTTTGCTTTGGGACAGGAGCCAAGTGTGAAGCCAACACATTTGATGGCGAGCGATGTTTGTACGGTGCTCTGACAGATGACATACGCAACCTTTTACGGAGCTATCATGTTATTTCTTCTAGAACTATACGAAGAGACCTGTATGAGGAGTTTATGCGCAGGTTTAAAATAGTTTACTTTCTACCTAAAAAATTGTACTGTTATGTTTTTATATTTTATTTAGTTTTCTAAACAGATTTTATATTTTAACTTTTCTAATCAAATTAGTTTTTAACTTTCCTAATCAAATTAGTTTTAGAAAATGTTGTTTCAGCAGTTTGTTATTTGAAAAAAATATTTGGACAGGCTGTACAGTGATGTGTTTTAAATGTTTCACCCAACAGGCTGTACAGTGATGTGTTTTAAATGTTTCACCCAACAGGCTGTACAGTGATGTGTTTTAAATGTTTCACCCAACAGGCTGTACAGTGATGTGTTTTAAATGTTTCACCCAACAGGCTGTACAGTGATGTGTTTTAAATGTTTCATCCAACAGGCTGTACAGTGATGTGTTTTAAATGTTTCACCCAACAGGCTGTACAGTGATGTGTTTTAAATGTTTCACCAACAGGCTGTACAGTGATGTGTTTTAAATGTTTCACCAACAGGCTGTACAGTGATGTGTTTTAAATGTTTCACCCAGCAGGCTGTACAGTGATGTGTTTTAAATGTTTCACCAACAGGCTGTACAGTGATGTGTTTTAAATGTTTCACCCAGCAGGCTGTACAGTGATGTGTTTTAAATGTTTCACCAACAGGCTGTACAGTGATGTGTTTTAAATGTTTCACCCAGCAGGCTGTACAGTGATGTGTTTTAAATGTTTCACCAACAGGCTGTACAGTGATGTGTTTTAAATGTTTCACCCAACAGGCTGTACAGTGATGTGTTTTAAATGTTTCACCCAGCAGGCTGTACAGTGATGTGTTTTAAATGTTTCACCCAACAGGCTGTACAGTGATGTGTTTTAAATGTTTCACCCAACAGGCTGTACAGTGATGTGTTTTAAATGTTTCACCCAACAGGCTGTACAGTGATGTGTTTTAAATGTTTCACCCAACAGGCTGTACAGTGATGTGTTTTAAATGTTTCACCCAACAGGCTGTACAGTGATGTGTTTTAAATGTTTCACCCAACAGGCTGTACAGTGATGTGTTTTAAATGTTTCACCCAACAGGCTGTACAGTGATGTGTTTTAAATGTTTCACCCAACAGGCTGTACAGTGATGTGTTTTAAATGTTTCACCCAACAGGCTGTACAGTGATGTGTTTTAAATGTTTCACCCAACAGGCTGTACAGTGATGTGTTTTAAATGTTTCACCCAACAGGCTGTACAGTGATGTGTTTTAAATGTTTCACCCAACAGGCTGTACAGTGATGTGTTTTAAATGTTTCACCCAACAGGCTGTACAGTGATGTGTTTTAAATGCTTCACCCAACAGGCTGTACAGTGATGTGTTTTAAATGTTTCACCCAACAGGCTGCTAGAAAACAGGCTGTACAGTGATGTGCTGTTTAGTGTCCATGGAGAAGAATTATCTGCCCACCGCTGCATACTGAGTGCGCGTTCTCTTTTCTTTGCCCGGATGTTTAAAACCAAGTGGCAGGATAGAAGGGTTATAGAACTCAATCACTCGCAGGTAGGCAGGATAGAAGGGTTATAGAACTCAATCACTCGCAGGTAGGCAGGATAGAAGGGTTATAGAACTCAATAACTCGCAGGTAGGCAGGATAGAAGGGTTATAGAACTCAATCACTGGCAGGTAGGCAGGATAGAAGGGTTATAGAACTCAATCACTGGCAGGTAGGCAGGATAGAAGGGTTATAGATCTCAATCACTGGCAAGTAGGCAGGATAGAAGGGTTATAGAAATCAATCACTCGCAGGATAGAAGGGTTATAGAACTCAATCACTTGCAGGTAGGCAGGATAGAAGGGTTATAGAACTCAATAACTCACAGGTAGGCAGGATAGAAGGGTTATAGAACTCAATCACTGGCAGGTAGGCAGGATAGAAGGGTTATAGAACTCAATCACTCGCAGGATAGAAGGGTTATAGAACTCAATCACTTGCAGGTAGGCAGGATAGAAGGGTTATAGATCTCAATAACTCACAGGTAGGCAGGATAGAAGGGTTATAGAACTCAATCACTGGCAGGTAGGCAGGATAGAAGGGTTATAGAACTCAATCACTGGCAGGTAGGCAGGATAGAAGGGTTATAGAACTCAATCACTGGCAGGTAGGCAGGATAGAAGGGTTATAGAACTCAATCACTCGCAGGATAGAAGGGTTATAGAACTCAATCACTGGCAGGGAGGCAGGATAGAAGGGTTATAGAACTCAATCACTCGCAGGTAGGCAGGATAGAAGGGTTATAGAACTCAATCACTGGCAGGTAGGCAGGATAGAAGGGTTAAAGAACTCAATAACTCACAGGTAGGCAGGATAGAAGGGTTATAGAACTCAATCACTGGCAGGTAGGCAGGATAGAAGGGTTATAGAACTCAATCACTCGCAGGATAGAAGGGTTATAGAACTCAATCACTGGCAGGGAGGCAGGATAGAAGGGTTATAGAACTCAATCACTCGCAGGTAGGCAGGATAGAAGGGTTATAGAACTCAATCACTGGCAGGTAGGCAGGATAGAAGGGTTATAGAACTCAATCACTGGCAGGTAGGCAGGATAGAAGGGTTATAGAACTCAATCACTCGCAGGATAGAAGGGTTATAGAACTCAATCACTGGCAGGGAGGCAGGATAGAAGGGTTATAGAACTCAATCACTCGCAGGTAGGCAGGATAGAAGGGTTATAGAACTCAATCACTGGCAGGTAGGCAGGATAGAAGGGTTAAAGAACTCAATAACTCACAGGTAGGCAGGATAGAAGGGTTATAGAACTCAATCACTGGCAGGTAGGCAGGATAGAAGGGTTATAGAACTCAATCACTCGCAGGATAGAAGGGTTATAGAACTCAATCACTGGCAGGGAGGCAGGATAGAAGGGTTATAGAACTCAATCACTCGCAGGTAGGCAGGATAGAAGGGTTATAGAACTCAATCACTGGCAGGTAGGCAGGATAGAAGGGTTATAGAACTCAATCACTGGCAGGTAGGCAGGATAGTAGGGTTATAGAACTCAATCACTCGCAGGATAGAAGGGTTATAGAACTCAATCACTTGCAGGTAGGCAGGATAGTAGGGTTATAGAACTCAATCACTCGCAGGATAGAAGGGTTATAGAACTCAATCACTGGCAGGTAGGCAGGATAGTAGGGTTATAGAACTCAATCACTCGCAGGATAGAAGGGTTATAGAACTCAATCACTGGCAGGTAGGCAGGATAGTAGGGTTATAGAACTCAATCACTCGCAGGATAGAAGGGTTATAGAACTCAATCACTGGCAGGTAGGCAGGATAGTAGGGTTATAGAACTCAATCACTCGCAGGATAGAAGGGTTATAGAACTCAATCACTGGCAGGTAGGCAGGATAGAAGGGTTATAGAACTCAATCACTTGCAGGTAGGCAGGATAGAAGGGTTATAGAACTCAATCACTGGCAGGTAGGCAGGATAGAAGGGTTATAGAACTCAATCACTCACAGGTAGGCAGGATAGAAGGGTTATAGAACTCAATCACTGGCAGGTAGGCAGGATAGAAGGGTTATAGAACTCAATCACTGGCAGGTAGGCAGGATAGAAGGGTTATAGAACTCAATAACTCGCAGGTAGGCAGGATAGAAGGGTTATAGAACTCAATCACTCGCAGGATAGAAGGGTTATAGAACTCAATCACTCGCAGGTAGGCAGGATAGAAGGGTTATAGAACTCAATCATTGGCAGGTAGGCAGGATAGTAGGGTTATAGAACTCAATCACTCGCAGGATAGAAGGGTTATAGAACTCAATCACTGGCAGGTAGGCAGGATAGAAGGGTTATAGAACTCAATCACTGGCAGGTAGGCAGGATAGAAGGGTTATAGAACTCAATCACTGGCAGGTAGGCAGGATAGAAGGGTTATAGAACTCAATCACTCGCAGGTAGGCAGGATAGAAGGGTTATAGAACTCAATCACTCGCAGGATAGAAGGGTTATAGAACTCAATCATTCGCAGGTAGGCAGGATAGAAGGGTTATAGAACTCAATCACTGGCAGGTAGGCAGGATAGTAGGGTTATAGAACTCAATCACTCACAGGTAGGCAGGATAGAAGGGTTATAGAACTCAATCACTGGCAGGTAGGCAGGATAGTAGGGTTATAGAACTCAATCACTCACAGGTAGGCAGGATAGAAAGGTTATAGAACTCAATCACTGGCAGGTAGGCAGGATAGAAGGGTTATAGAACTCAATCACTCACAGGTAGGCAGGATAGAAGGGTTATAGAACTCAATCACTGGCAGGTAGGCAGGATAGAAGGGTTATAGAACTCAATCACTGGCAGGGAGGCAGGATAGAAGGGTTATAGAACTCAATCACTGGCAGGTAGGCAGGATAGAAGGGTTATAGAACTCAATCACTTGCAGGTAGGCAGGATAATAGGGTTATAGAACTCAATCACTGGCAGGTAGGCAGGATAGTAGGGTTATAGAACTCAATCACTCGCAGGATAGAAGGGTTATAGAACTCAATCACTTGCAGGTAGGCAGGATAGTAGGGTTATAGAACTCAATCACTCGCAGGATAGAAGGGTTATAGAACTCAATCACTGGCAGGTAGGCAGGATAGTAGGGTTATAGAACTCAATCACTCGCAGGATAGAAGGGTTATAGAACTCAATCACTCGCAGGATAGAAGGGTTATAGAACTCAATCACTGGCAGGTAGGCAGGATAGTAGGGTTATAGAACTCAATCACTCGCAGGATAGAAGGGTTATAGAACTCAATCACTGGCAGGTAGGCAGGATAGAAGGGTTATAGAACTCAATCACTCACAGGTAGGCAGGATAGAAGGGTTATAGAACTCAATCACTGGCAGGTAGGCAGGATAGAAGGGTTATAGAACTCAATCACTTGCAGGTAGGCAGGATAGAAGGGTTATAGAACTCAATCACTGGCAGGTAGGCAGGATAGAAGGGTTATAGAAATCAATCACTCACAGGTAGGCAGGATAGAAGGGTTATAGAACTCAATCACTGGCAGGTAGGCAGGATAGAAGGGTTATAGAACTCAATCACTGGCAGGTAGGCAGGATAGAAGGGTTATAGAACTCAATAACTCGCAGGTAGGCAGGATAGAAGGGTTATAGAACTCAATCACTCGCAGGATAGAAGGGTTATAGAACTCAATCACTCGCAGGTAGGCAGGATAGAAGGGTTATAGAACTCAATCACTGGCAGGTAGGCAGGATAGTAGGGTTATAGAACTCAATCACTCGCAGGATAGAAGGGTTATAGAACTCAATCACTGGCAGGTAGGCAGGATAGAAGGGTTATAGAACTCAATCACTGGCAAGTAGGCAGGATAGAAGGGTTATAGAACTCAATCACTGGCAGGTAGGCAGGATAGAAGGGTTATAGAACTCAATCACTGGCAGGTAGGCAGGATAGAAGGGTTATAGAACTCAATCACTGGCAGGTAGGCAGGATAGAAGGGTTATAGAACTCAATCACTGGCAGGTAGGCAGGATAGAAGGGTTATAGAACTCAATCACTGGCAGGTAGGCAGGATAGAAGGGTTATAGAACTCAATCACTCACAGGTAGGCAGGATAGAAGGGTTATAGAACTCAATCACTGGCAGGTAGGCAGGATAGTAGGGTTATAGAACTCAATCACTCGCAGGTAGGCAGGATAGAAGGGTTATAGAACTCAATCACTGGCAGGTAGGCAGGATAGAAGGGTTATAGAACTCAATCACTCGCAGGATAGAAGGGTTATAGAACTCAATCACTGGCAGGGAGGCAGGATAGAAGGGTTATAGAACTCAATCACTGGCAGGTAGGCAGGATAGAAGGGTTATAGAACTCAATCACTGGCAGGTAGGCAGGATAGAAGGGTTATAGAACTCAATCACTTGCAGGATAGAAGGGTTATAGAACTCAATCACTGGCAGGTAGGCAGGATAGAAGGGTTATAGAACTCAATCACTGGCAGGTAGGCAGGATAGAAGGGTTATAGAACTCAATCACTGGCAGGTAGGCAGGATAGAAGGGTTATAGAACTCAATAACTCACAGGTAGGCAGGATAGAAGGGTTATAGAACTCAATCACTCGCAGGATAGAAGGGTTATAGAACTCAATCACTGGCAGGTAGGCAGGATAGAAGGGTTATAGAACTCAATCACTCGCAGGTAGGCACGAAATAGTCTGCTCTTTAAAACCCAAGTCATAAATAGTTTTTTTTTATTCTATGAAGGTTATAAGTCAAATATTTTCGACATATTTTCACCAAAAAACTATCAAACAGTCAAACTTGTATATCAATAAACCCCAATGCCAAAACCCTCCCACCTCCCTAAAGTATATCTAGATCTCCAATTTTTTATTCATATCTAGATCTCCAATTTTTTATTCATATCTAGATCTCCAATTTTTTATTCATATCTAGATCTCCAATTTTTTATTCATATCTAGATCTCCAATTTTTTATTCATATCTAGATCTCCAATTTTTTATTCATATCTAGATCTCCAATTTTTTATTCATATCTAGATCTCCAATTTTTTATTCATATCTAGATCTCCAATTTTTTATTCATATCTAGATCTCCAATTTTTTATTCATATCTAGATCTCCAATTTTTTATTCATATCTAGATCTCCAATTTTTTATTCATATCTAGATCTCCAATTTTTTATTCATATCTAGATCTCCAATTTTTTATTCATATCTAGATCTCCAATTTTTTATTCATATCTAGATCTCCAATTTTTTATTCATATCTAGATCTCCAATTTTTTATTCATATCTAGATCTCCAATTTTTTATTCATATCTAGATCTCCAATTTTTTATTCATATCTAGATCTCCAATTTTTTATTCATATCTAGATCTCCAATTTTTTATTCATATCTAGATCTCCAATTTTTTATTCATATCTAGATCTCCAATTTTTTATTCATATCTAGATCTCCAATTTTTTATTCATATCTAGATCTCCAATTTTTTATTCATATCTAGATCTCCAATTTTTTATTCATATCTAGATCTCCAATTTTTTATTCATATCTAGATCTCCAATTTTTTATTCATATCTAGATCTCCAATTTTTTATTCATATCTAGATCTCCAATTTTTTATTCATATCTAGATCTCCAATTTTTTATTCATATCTAGATCTCCAATTTTTTATTCATATCTAGATCTCCAATTTTTTATTCATATCTAGATCTCCAATTTTTTATTCATATCTAGATCTCCAATTTTTTATTCATATCTAGATCTCCAATTTTTTATTCATATCTAGATCTCCAATTTTTTATTCATATCTAGATCTCCAATTTTTTATTCATATCTAGATCTCCAATTTTTTATTCATATCTAGATCTCCAATTTTTTATTCATATCTAGATCTCCAATTTTTTATTCATATCTAGATCTCCAATTTTTTATTCATATCTAGATCTCCAATTTTTTATTCATATCTAGATCTCCAATTTTTTATTCATATCTAGATCTCCAATTTTTTATTCATATCTAGATCTCCAATTTTTTATTCATATCTAGATCTCCAATTTTTTATTCATATCTAGATCTCCAATTTTTTATTCATATCTAGATCTCCAATTTTTTATTCATATCTGGATCTCCAATTTTTTATTCATATCTGGATCTCCAATTTTTTATTCATATCTGGATATCCAATTTTTTATTCATATCTAGATCTAGATCTCCAATTTTTTATATTTTTTATTCTCTTTCAGATGTCACAAGGAGCATTTAAATCCATCTTGCAATATATTTATACAGGTAACAGCTTGTTCAGTTACAGGGGCAGTTAACCCATCTCAACCAATGCCCAAGAAGGTTATTAGTCTAATTAATCAACCCAATCAAATGATGCTAGTTAGGTTTGAAATTTTTGTTTTCTACATGAGATGATGACCTAGTTTTGATGTGTGTAATGACCTCCACAGGTCACATGGAAGTGTCCATTGACCTAGTTTTGATGTGTGTAATGACCTCTGCAGGTCACATGGAAGTGTCCATTGACCTAGTTTTGATGTGTGTAATGACCTCCGCAGGTCACATGGAAGTGTCCATTGACCTAGTTTTGATGTGTGTAATGACCTCTGCAGGTCACATTGAAGTGTCCATTGACCTAGTTTTGATGTGTGTAATGACCTCCACAGGTCACATGGAAGTCCATTGACCTAGTTTTGATGTGTGTAATGACCTCTGCAGGTCACATGGAAGTGTCCATTGACCTAGTTTTGAAGTGTGTAATGACCTCCACAGGTCACATGGAAGTCCATTGACCTAGTTTTGATGTGTGTAATGACCTCTGCAGGTCACATGGAAGTGTCCATTGACCTAGTTTTGAAGTGTGTAATGACCTCCACAGGTCACATGGAAGTCCATTGACCTAGTTTTGATGTGTGTAATGACCTCCGCAGGTCACATGGAAGTGTCCATTGACCTAGTTGGAGACTGTGTCCGATTGGCCAGGCACTGTCAACTAGACCAGCTGGTGACCCAGATAGAAGACAAGATGAAAAAAACACAGTCCTGGGGTTTGTTATTCTTGTTATACATCCACGTAAACTTGAGTTTGTCTGATCTAGAATGTGCAACTGAAATGGGTGATGTTTGTTTCTGCTAGAAAGTTTATCTGATCTAGAATGTAAGAATGTGCTACTGAAATGGGTGATGTTTGTTTCTGCTAGAAAGTTTATCTGATCTAGAATGTGCAACTGAAATGGCTGACATTTGTTTCTAGAAAGTTCCAAGCCTGGTGTTAGAGTGACCACCCTTGTTCTGGATCCAACCAATGGCAGCGACTCGCTTCAACAAGACCTGGCCCAGCTGGCACAAGCAGCTCTGCCTGATGGGCTGTCATCTTGGGTGGGTGTCATATGTCACTTGACATCTTGGCTGGGTGTCATATGTCACTTGACATCTTGGGTGGGTGTCATATGTCACTTGACATCTTGGCTGGGTGTCATATGTCACTTGACATCTTGGGTGGGTGTCATATGTCACTTGACATCTTGGCTGGGTGTCATATGTCACTTGACATCTTGGCTGGGTGTCATATGTCACTTGACATCTTGGCTGGGTACCTATGTCATTTGTCATCATGTCTGAATGTTGTGAAGTCACATAGATACAGGGATGTGACTTTTCTGATTTTTAGCAGAAATGCGATTTTTCCATTTCAGCTGAAACTTTCCTCCGTTAATTTTATTTTCTTCGAATTTTCCTGCCGATTTCCGATTGCTGCTAATTTTTTGCTGAGGTTTAAAAATTAGGAAAAAAAAATGGAAATTGACTTTTGGAAACCGACCACATGCTCATTCCACATATTCCTACTTAAATTGTGTATTACACTTGGCCTGCAGTGCATATATCAGGTGAAAGAGACAATCGAATATGCACATTTCTTTTCAATTGGACGATTGCGTTGGGTATGATGTAGCTAGATTAAGATTTAATGTAGATCAGAATTCAGAATTTCAATGGATTTCTCAAGTTTACTTTTAGTTCTGATTTTCTGCTGATATTTTCAGTCAAATTTTATCTAAAATACGGAAAATAGTAATCTAAAATGTCGCTGCTCTTTCAATGAAAAGTACATCTCCCTAACTACAATTCTTGACTGTAAATCTGGCATGTGTGTTAGTCTAGCTATAGCCTAATTTATCTTCTGGTATTTTAACTCACTCTGTTTATAAAGCTACCCAGATCTACAGTGTTCCCATCCTCATCACAAGTTTATAGATGGAGTGTTAGTAATAGAAGTAGTCATCATATAGATCATATTTAACGCATACAATTCCTCAATCACACTTAGAATTTTATTTTTAAAAATTCACATTCAGATTAATTTTGAATAAAGATAGTTAATAAAAAAATTCCTAAGAATTAATATTAGGATAAAGTTAAGAGTAACCTACATTAATCAGGACCTATTCATCTTTTGGATTTTGTTCTTCAGGTTTTAGGAGAGCTTCCATTTGATCCAGAGAGTTTGAGTTATGCAGATGTGTGTTTTGTGGTGGAGGAACAAAAGTTTATGTGCCACAAGGTTTGATAGTACTTAAGTACCACGTCATTGTCATCAATAAACTTGTACCACGTCACTGTCATCAATAAACTTGTACCACCTCACTGTCATCAATAAACTTGTACCACCTCACTGTCATCAATAAACTTGTACCACCTCACTGTCATCAAGAAACTTGTACCACCTCACTGTCATCAATAAACTTGTACCACCTCACTGTCATCAATAAACTTGTACCACCTCACTGTCATCAATAACACCTCACTGTCATCAATAAACTTGTACCACGTCACTGTCATCAATAAACTTGTACCACCTCACTGTCATCAATAAACTTGTACCACCTCACTATCATCAATAACACCTCACTGTCATCAATAAACTTGTACCACGTAACTCTCATAATTTTACTTGGACTATTTAATTGTCACTTGTAATTTATCATTTACTAAATTACAATGAAACAATTATCCCTGACTATTTACATGTATAATTGTGTAAAGCTGGTCTCTTGTATAATGTGTCTCTTGTCTGCAGGCATTCTTCTGTGGTCGTAGTGACTATTTTAAAGCTCTACTTGAGGACCATTTTGGTGAGAATAAATGCAGTGAAAATGTGCCAATCATCTACCTGCATCAAGTCGCTGCAGATATTTTCATTCGGATACTAACATACATCTATTCTGACTCTTGTGAAGTAAGTTCCTTTGTATTGTCTAGGATACTAACATACATCTATTCTGACTCTTGTGAAGTAAGTTCCTTTGTATTGTCTAGGATACTAACATACATCTATTCTGACTCTTGTGAAGTAAGTTCCTTTGTATTGTCTAGGATACTAACATACATCTATTCTGACTCTTGTGAAGTAAGTTCCTTTGTATTGTCTAGGATACTAACATACATCTATTCTGACTCTTGTGAAGTAAGTTCCTTTGTATTGTCTAGGATACTAACATACATCTATTCTGACTCTTGTGAAGTAAGTTCCTTTGTATTGTCTAGGATACTAACATACATCTATTCTGACTCTTGTGAAGTAAGTTCCTTTGTATTGTCTAGGATACTAACATACATCTATTCTGACTCTTGTGAAGTAAGAGTTCCTTTGTATTGTCTAGGATACTAACATACATCTATTCTGACTCTTGTGAAGTAAGTTCCTTTGTATTGTCTAGGATACTAACATACATCTATTCTGACTCTTGTGAAGTAAGAGTTCCTTTGTATTGTCTAGGATACTAACATACATCTATTCTGACTCTTGTGAAGTAAGTTCCTTTGTATTGTCTAGGATACTAACATACATCTATTCTGACTCTTGTGAAGTAAGAGTTCCTTTGTATTGTCTAGGATACTAACATACATCTATTCTGACTCTTGTGAAGTAAGTTCCTTTGTATTGTCTAGGATACTAACATACATCTATTCTGACTCTTGTGAAGTAAGAGTTCCTTTGTATTGTCTAGGATACTAACATACATCTATTCTGACTCTTGTGAAGTAAGTTCCTTTGTATTGTCTAAGATACTAACATACATCTATTCTGACTCTTGTGAAGTAAGTTCCTTTGTATTGTCTAGGATACTAACATACATCTATTCTGACTCATGTGAAGTAAGTTCCTTTGTATTGTCTAGCACATGGGTCATGTAAGATTTGAAGGCATGAGATGTCAATAATTTGAAAGTTGCATTTCTCTATCAATTCTGTTTATTCTAAATTACTAAGGAGTATTAGACTTCAGTAGTCACATGATTTGCAGCAACTTGCATGATTTACAGCAAGTCCCATGATTTACAGCAAGTCCCATGATTTACAGCAGGTCCCATGATTTACAGCAAGTCCCATGATTTACAGCAAGTCCCATTATTTGCAGCAAGTCCCATGATTTGCAGCTAGTCCCATGATTTGCAGCAAGTCCCATGATTTGCAGCAAGTCCCATTATTTGCAGCAAGTCCCATGATTTGCAGCAAGTCCCATGATTTGCAGCAAGTCCCATGATTTGCAGCAAGTCCCATGATTTGCAGCAAGTCCCATGATTTACAGCAAGTCCCATGATTTGCAGCAAGTCCCATGATTTACAGCAAGTCCCATGATTGTCAGCAAGTCCCATGATTTGCAGCAAGTCCCATTATTTGCAGCAAGTCCCATGATTTGCAGCAAGTCCCATGATTTGCAGCAAGTCCCATGATTTGCAGCAAGTCCCATGATTTGCAGCAAGTCCCATGATTTACAGCAAAGTCCCATGATTTACAGCAAGTCCCATGATTTGCAGCAAGTCCCATGATTTACAGCAAGTCCCATGATTGTCAGCAAGTCCCATGATTTGCAGCAAGTCCCATGATTTGCAGCAAGTCCCATGATTTACAGCAAGTCCCATGATTTGCAGCAAGTCCCATGATTTACAGCAAGTCCCATGATTGTCAGCAAGTCCCAGGTGTGGTGTGTGATGTGCTGGTGAGTCCCATGATTTGAATGAGACACCAGTAGCTATTGAATATTTCCCAGCTGAGCCCAGGCGTGGTGTGTGATGTGCTGATGGCAGCTGACATGTACCTTCTGGCAGGCCTCAAGCGCCAGTGTGGCACCTCCATGATGGACTTTGTGGAGGAGGCTAACGTTGTCTCAATCATCAGGACCTCCAGGCTCTTTGGACTCCCTAGGCTGGAATCACACTGTGCTCAATTCATAGCCAACCACCTCTCCAAGGTGAAGGTCATGCTGGTACCAAATAATAGATTTTCTATGTTAAACCTCAATTTGTCTTAAAACTGGGATTAATTTAGACACAGGTGGCTAATACAAGCAGTTTGTGATGGTTGTTTGTATGTTGTGATGGTTGTTTGTATGTTGTGATGGTTGTTTGTATGTTGTGATGGTTGTTTGTATGTTGTGATGGTTGTTTGTATGTTGTGATGGTTGTTTGTATGTTGTGATGGCTGTTTGCATGTTGTGATGGTTGTTTGCATGTTGTGATGGTTGTTTGTATGTTGTGATGGTTGTTGGTATGTTGTGATGGTTGTTTGTATGTTGTGATGGTTGTTTGTATGTTGTGATGGTTGTTTGTATGTTGTGATGGTTGTTTGTATGTTGTGATGGTTGTTTGTATGTTGTGATGGCTGTTTGCATGTTGTGATGGTTGTTTGTATGTTGTGATGGCTGTTGGTATGTTGTGATGGTTGTTTGTATGTTGTGATGGTTGTTTGTATGTTGTGATGGTTGTTTGTATGTTGTGATGGTTGTTTGTATGTTGTGATGGTTGTTTGTATGTTGTGATGGTTGTTTGTATGTTGTGATGGTTGTTTGTATGTTTTAGATCATCGTCCAGGAAGACTTTCACCAACTGGTTCTAGAGGATGCCGGAAATGTTCAGGCCAGGGAGGAGACAGACAGCATCGACATTGTGGATGAAATACGCTACTACATAACCAGCTTTGTTTTGACCTACAGCGAAATGGAGGAAGCCAATGAAAAACTGAGACTCATTGACAACCTCCTGGAAGAGCTGGATGTAGAGGGTTGAGGACGGGACAACCCTCAAGGTTGAGGACATGGTCCTTACAACCCTCAAGGCCACTGACCTAAAGTTTGTTGTTGCTGTGTTGTTTTACTCCTGGTTATGTGTAGCTGTGATGTACTATTCCTGGTGTACATGTATTTGGCCATAGTGTGATGATTAGAATGGATTTTTTTGCTTAGGTCACTATGTCTATGGGCTTGTGAGCACTCAAGAATATCAAATTTTCAATCTAAGATATTGAATTAGTCATTAAAAATTAATTAAAAAATGTTTATATTCAATAACGAAGGGGGAGATGACAAGAGGGTAGTTAAATAGTAGAGGCTGCAACAGGTTTTTGATGGTTGTATGTTTTATATGGTTGTTTGTATGTTTTATATGGTTGTTTGTATGTTTTATATGGTTGTTTGTATGTTTTAGATCATCCACCTGGAATATTTACATTGATGATAGTCAGTCATATGAGCGGAGTCAATGGATCTTCTAATGCATAATTAGAGGCAGATAATAATCATTTAGAGCTACTGATCAAGTTTTAACTAATGAACCAAATCAAATCAGCAAAAAAAATTTAAACTTCCATATGGACTTAATGTAGCATCTTTATAACATGTAACACCAAAGTTAGAAAATAAACCTCTATAATAATACTGTTTTTAGTCCAGAAATCTTTTCAATATATTTCAATATATTTTCTTCTTTTATATTTGAAGACAAGTTATGTTTATTCTCTTTTTTAGTTGTTTTATTATTATATAATATAAGCCTACATGATTTAGTTTCCAAGTTTTCTGGCTCAAGTCATTTGAAAAAAATTTCTTGTAATATGTTGACTCAAAACTTACATTGACACAAATTGTAAACACTAAGATCTAAAGCCTGACCTTGACCTTAAATAAAGCTCACTGATGGTGCCCTGTTGACACATCATGTATTCTGATTGGTGGACTAACAAGCCTACATAAATAATGCAACATGATGAGTAAAAATGTATGTATTGTTTATGTAAATATTCTGCCACTGTATTTAATCACCAAGATTTGGGGTGGGGGGATGTTTACATGGATTTTTTTTACCATTTAACACAGGTCTTAACCAAAATTAAAGAGATTTTAACAATCTAATGTTTATTTACTTTCTTTGTTCGTAACTGTAATATAGGATGGGATTTCCAATTGAGTATTGTGTGTCATCTGATTTCGGCCTGCTTTTATTTCTTGCTTTGATGGCCTTTGTCAATATATTGGAACCAAACTACAAGGCTGTTTGATTTTGGAGTTGTCTGTCTCCAGCTATTAAAGTTCTTTTAGATCACCAAAATTAAGGGGAAGGTAACTGTGATTTTTTTTTTAACCAACATTATTTGCTAGAGCAAACAATTCTTCTAAAGTATGCAGTTTCTTTAATTGAAGGGCTTAGGAATTTTTAATTTTAAACCTAAATTATTGATTTGTGGCCAGAGATGATGCTGTCAATATTTGGTAAAGTGAGTTGATGCTCACAATGTATGGACCAGGTGTGTTGATGTATGGACCAGGTGTGTTGATGTATGGACCAGGTGTGTTGATGTATGGACCAGGTGTGTTGATGTATGGACCAGGTGTGTTGATGTATGGACCAGGTGTGTTGATGTATGGACCAGGTGTGTTGATGTATGGACCAGGTGTGTTGATGCTCACAATTTATGGACCAGGTGTGTTGATGTATGGACCAGGTGTGTTGATGTATGGACCAGGTGTGTTGATGTATGGACCAGGTGTGTTGATGCTCACAATGTATGGACCAGGTGTGTTGATGCTCACAATGTATGGACCAGGTGTGTTGGTGCTCACAATGTATGGACCAGGTGTGTTGATGCTCACAATGTATGGACCAGGTGTGTTGATGCTCACAATGTATGGACCAGGTGTGTTGATGTATGGACCAGGTGTGTTGATGCTCACAATGTATGGACCAGGTGTGTTGATGCTCACAATGTATGGACCAGGTGTGTTGATGCTCACAATGTATGGACCAGGTGTGTTGATGTATGGACCAGGTGTGTTGATGCTCACAATGTATGGACCAGGTGTGTTGATGTATGGACCAGGTGTGTTGATGCTCACAATGTATGGACCAGGTGTGTTGGTGCTCACAATGTATGGACCAGGTGTGTTGATGCTCACAATGTATGGACCAGGTGTGTTGATGTATGGACCAGGTGTGTTGATGTATGGACCAGGTGTGTTGATGCTCACAATGTATGGACCAGGTGTGTTGATGTATGGACCAGGTGTGTTGATGTATGGACCAGGTGTGTTGATGCTCACAATGTATGGACCAGGTGTGTTGATGCTCACAATGTATGGACCAGGTGTGTTGATGTATGGACCAGGTGTGTTGATGTATGGACCAGGTGTGTTGATGCTCACAATGTATGGACCAGGTGTGTTGATGTATGGACCAGGTGTGTTGATGTATGGACCAGGTGTGATGATGCTCACAATGTATGGACCAGGTGTGTTGATGTATGGACCAGGTGTGTTGATGCTCACAATGTATGGACCAGGTGTGTTGATGCTCACAATGTATGGACCAGGTGTGTTGATGTATGGACCAGGTGTGTTGATGTATGGACCAGGTGTGTTGATGTATGGACCAGGTGTGTTGATGCTCACAATGTATGGACCAGGTGTGTTGATGCTCACAATGTATGGACCAGGTGTGTTGATGCTCACAATGTATGGACCAGGTGTGTTGATGCTCACAATGTATGGACCAGGTGTGTTGATGCTCACAATGTATGGACCAGGTGTGTTGATGTATGGACCAGGTGTGTTGATGCTCACAATGTATGGACCAGGTGTGTTGATGCTCACAATGTATGGACCAGGTGTGTTGGTGCTCACAATGTATGGACCAGGTGTGTTGATGCTCACAATGTATGGACCAGGTGTGTTGATGCTCACAATGTATGGACCAGGTGTGTTGGTGCTCACAATGTATGGACCAGGTGTGTTGGTGCTCACAATGTATGGACCAGGTGTGTTGATGCTCACAATGTATGGACCAGGTGTGTTGATGCTCACAATGTATGGACCAGGTGTGTTGGTGCTCACAATGTATGGACAGGTGTGTTGATGCTCACAATGTATGGACAGGTGTGTTGATGCTCACAATGTATGGACCAGGTGTGTTGATGTATGGACCAGGTGTGTTGATGCATGGACCAGGTGTGTTGATGTATGGACCAGGTGTGTTGATGCTCACAATGTATGGACCAGGTGTGTTGATGCTCACAATGTATGGACCAGGTGTGTTGATGCTCACAATGTATGGACCAGGTGTGTTGATGTATGGACCAGGTGTGTTGATGTATGGACCAGGTGTGTTGATGCTCACAATGTATGGACCAGGTGTGTTGATGCTCACAATGTATGGACCAGGTGTGTTGATGCTCACAATGTATGGACCAGGTGTGTTGATGTATGGACCAGGTGTGTTGATGCTCACAATGTATGGACCAGGTGTGTTGATGTATGGACCAGGTGTGTTGATGCTCACAATGTATGGACCAGGTGTGTTGGTGCTCACAATGTATGGACCAGGTGTGTTGATGCTCACAATTTGTGGCTTACAGTTATGTGTATAATTGCTAGCGTTTTGTCACATTCAGTAAATTACAGATGAGAATCATGGATAATTGCTTGCTTACAGATCTTATTAATAAGAGAACACACCCAAATTGTATGCCAGAAAAAATAAAAAACTGGCACAAATATTTATTGCTTTGTGTGATGTCACCGGTTGATTCAAACCATATGAAAACATTTGAAATAGAAATGGAAGGACACACATTCAAGGGTTGCTAGAAACTTAGGAAATGGAAGGACACACATTCAAGGGTTGCTACAAACTTAGGAAATGGAAGGACACACATTCAAGGGTTGATACAAACTTAGGAAATGGAAGGACACACATTCAAGGGTTGATACAAACTTAGGAAATGGAAGGACACACATTCAAGGGTTGCTACAAACAAACATGGATGAGCTTATTTAGCCACATGACTTCATTCAAAATTAAAATACTAACATGAAATTCTTAGTTCAAGCAAAAACATTTCTAAAAGAGAATCAAAACGTTTACAAATGAACTAACTGAATTATCTTCTAAAGTATTAAAAACATAGTTAACATAAGTATTCATCTGATTGACCTAAAGAGTTATAGATAGATTAAAAACATAGTTAAAACAATGTTACAAATCATAGGTTAAATACACAGTAATACATTGATGGGCAAGTTTGGCTGACTAGCAATATTCAGCATACATCTTATATGTAGGCATCTAGCCAACATACATCTTATATGTAGGCATCTAGCCAACATACAACATACATCTTATATGTAGGCATCTAGCCTACATCTCACATGTCACAAAGATGGTTCTATGAAATAAATCTATGAAATTAAACAAGCAAACGTATAATCCATCGGAAAACTTTCAAAACATATTTATCATCAGCAATTTTTACCACAAATCTCCATCATAATTAATGGCCACATCTTAGCTTGTATAACGCTTTGGACATGAAAATGCAAAGCAATGAAGCCATTTGGTCTAGAATAAACTGCACTCCAATCAATAATCAATGTGCTTTATACAAAAGGTCCTATTTTTAGTTATCACAGTTCTTCCATATGACCTCACAGGTCAGAAATAATTAGTTAAACATTACTTAACATTGTTTATCAATAGAGAGAGATACATAAACATTATCGTACTTGGAATATGTGATGCTATACACAATGACAATATGAGATAGGGAATATGTGATGCTATACATGATGACAATATGAGATAGGGAATATGTGTTGCTATACATAATGACAATATGAGATAGGGAATATGTGATGCTATAAATGATGACAATATGAGATAGGGAATATATGATTCTATACACAATGACAATATGAGATAGGGAATATGTTTTGCTATACATAATAACAATATGAGATAGGGAAAAAGTTGGGACAGAGATGCTCTAAATTTGTTGACCAGTAATCTGACATTACCTGTGACACAAACTCTCACTTTTGAAAATAGTCTGACATGACACAGCTAACAGCCAATGAAATCAAGATTAAAACTGACAATCTTTGATTAATGAGCAAGAAAGCGTATGGAGTCCTTAGAATAGCTAATACTGATCAATAACCTTTCTCACAGCATCCAGCAAGTATTGTTGAGGTTTACGTTTTTCTGTCAGCCTCTCTGCTGCAGCGGTCAGCTTGTAACTGTTGCGCCGGGTATACATCTGTGCATCCAGCTGCATTTGGGACATTTTCTCAGCACGAATTTCATCCAAGTTACATTCTTCTGTCAAGTATGGATTGAAGCGGAAATATGTTCGTGGCTGTAGTAAGTCTTGTAAAGTCTGATGGACAGCTGTTGAATAGAGCAATAGTGACACATCAATGGCTGGCAGACTGTCACACAAACAAGACACTTTTTTAGATTGTCACAACGGTCACACAAACAAGACACTTCCTTAGATTGTCACAACTGTCACACAAACAAGACACTTTCTTAGATTGTCACAACTCTATTTTTAAAACTTTTTTAAATTTTGATGAAAAGATTAGAGTCCTACATATTTAAGTGGTTACATTCTGTATGTGTGGATGGGACTTACATTCTGTATCAGTGGCACTATCAACCAAATTAGAGAAGCGACGTTTGAGAGAGACTTTCCCTGGTGTCAGCTTGGATGACTCAAACCTTCCAGTCCCCAGTGAAACAACACAATGAAAGTTTTCCTTTGGCCACAGTAACCTACTTTCATGGATGGCCAGTGCTGTTGGGTTATTGGCTGAAATACCACCATCCTGTTGGAAACAAATGTTTTAATACAAGTTTTCTTGCTGATATTTAGTTGGCAAAATATAATAATATCTTTGATAAAGTTCAATGAATGTGATTAAAAAATGACCTCATGTAATTCATGAATGTAATTAAAAAAATGACCTCATGTATTTCGTTGCCCCGAACAAATGCCTCGAAGTAACCAGGTGCAGCAGATGATGCTCTAATGACCTCCCAAATTTTGTAATGGCAGCCACCAGGGTACTGGGAGGTAGCACCCGGAGGAAGGTTGTAAGTCCGGAATAAATAATTGGTCAGTTGTGGAGCACTGGCCAGTGATGAAACGGCAGACATTTTGGGGACATCTGGATCTCGTGAAAACTCAATAAACAGCCTTTCCCCAATTTCTTTCCTAAAATCAGATAAAGTAGACAAAGATCTAGATAAGTAAATGATAAGGAGGGCCTACATCTTGCTGGAAAGGAAAATTAAAATCATACACAGTGAAACCAGAGAAACAATAGAAATCTATTTCCTAATAGAAGCTGAAGGACTACAAAACACTACCACTACACAAAGGAAATGAAACAAATTATTTCACACATTAAGTTTACTGAAAAATTAGATCAGTAGGAACACAATACAAAAAAGAATGTGATTAGTGAAAATGGAACACAATACAAAAAAGAAAGAGATGAGTGAAAATGTCTGTCAGTGAAACCTGGACAAAAGCCATAGAAAACTTGGGAAAGCCTGTCCCAGACCTAAATAGTTTTCTCAAGAAGAAACCTAAATAGTTTTCTCAAGAAGAAACCTAAATAGTTTTCTCAAGAAGAAACCTAAATAGTTTTCTCAAGAAGAAACCTAAATAGTTTTCTCAAGTAGAAACAAAACAGTTGACTTACTTCAAAATTTCTTCCCATGAGTGTGAGTCATAGAAGCCATGGTTGAGCACCAGCTTGGTGGTGCCGACCACTCTGTTCCTAGTGAACATCTGAACTGAGCAATCTTTGTAGAGCTGCTCACAGCGCTCCAGTGGGATTTTGTACAGACAGATCATGGCAGCCAGGAGAGCCCCAGTGCTGACCCCACACACATAATCAAAGAGTTGGTAAATTTTACGCTGACTTTGTTTCTCCAGCGCTTTCAAGAACTCAATGGTCACTAGTCCTCTAGTTCAAGAACAAAATTAAACATAAAATTATTTCCAGCATAGATCAGAGCAAAATGGCTGTTCTATTTTATGCTTTTAAAATAGCATACATTTAAAATAATGGTAAGAAACAAACCTTGTACCTCCTCCATCTATTGACAATATTCGTATACCAGGAGATGACAAAGGTTTACAGTAACCTATCAAAGACAATGCTTCTAAAGCTAAGCCTCTCAGATGTTTATCTGGTGAAGTGGAGAGACGCAGTAAACAAGGCAAGACTTTTTCCTGGGAAAGAGCACAATAAATACATTTAAGGCAAATTAAAATTCCAGGTTTGTTAAAACATTGTAATTTATAAATACATGTGTTACTAACTTAACGGCTAAACATATTGGCTAATATGAGACATACAACAAAAAAAATCCTACTTTTGAAGCATCCCAGACACACTCTGGATGAGCAATCAGATGTTCACAGAACTCTTCAGTTCTTGTCATCTTTGACATTAGAGAGTGAGCCCCCTTGAGTGACTGAACCAGTGACTTTGTACGAGATTCCAAGGAAAGTCTAGAAATTTTTTCTGCTCTTCTGGCCTCGGCTTTCTGCTTTTTGGCCTCAGTACTGGGTGTCAGAGGAAACAATGGGCCAATCATTTGAGGGCTCTCTCCTAAATTGTGCTCATCTTCGCTAGAGTCTTTGTTTAGGGTAGAGTAAGGAGCTGAGCCTACTGTTCTAACTCTGGGTGCTGGGGAGGCCTTGGTTGTGTCATAAAAGGCCACAATGCTCTGATTGATTTGGCTTACTGTAGTTTCTAGTGAACTAGCCTGTGTCTCATCCTTGTGCTGAGTGTAGTGCTTATGTATCCCTTCTTTTGTAGAGTAAAGTGATCTTAACTTTTTGGTGGCTTCATTCAGATATTTGTTAAATTCAGCAAACTTTAAGGGGACTGTCACTCCTAAAGAAAGAAGTTTAACTGATGACTTTTTCACTGTTTGTGCTGAAGCATCTGAGGTTGAATTGGATGCATTTTCTTTTTTATCTGTTTTTGTAGTGGTTAGAGTTCCATTTTGGCGGATGCTATTACATTCAAATGTTACTTTCTCTGAACAGATAGGTGTGGTCAAATACAGTTGAGATTTTTGACATTTTGAATTTACTACCCTAAGATTTATTTGAAGTTTAAGGACAGACATTTCTTTGCAATTGAATTTCATTAGGTTAATAATAGCTTAATCAGTTCACCATTCTGGTCTTTCAGTTTCATATCATTTCATTATCAATATCATTTCAATAGCTTGTGGGCAGACAACTCCAGTACAGCATGCATAGTAAGCCTGATATCACTAAGAGAAAAAATAGACAAGAAACAAATGAATACATTTAAATAATTAGACATTTTAGGGCCTACTATTAGGCATTAGAGGTCTAGAGTCTAGATCTAATAATAAATTTAATAATCTGTCACAAGTTTACTATGTTATATAAAGTCTAAAGTAGACTAAATCTATAAGTTTAAGTAGATCAACAAAGTAATTACTAATTAGTAATTTGACCTACTTAAACTTATTCTTAATTAATAATAATTAATATTTTTCTACTATTATTAGACCCTAAGCCTAATACTATTAATCTATAATTATTTATGACGAGCCGACCCGCGGCATATTACACGCCGCTATTTAGTTGTTTTATTTTCTACTTTTCAGTAATTCATAATTTGTGAATTCGACACTACCAATGCTGTCACTGAAAATATTTGATATAAAACACTAAAACCCTCCTTTCCCCCCCCCCCCCATGAAAGCAGCCTCCTCTTAGTTACTTCACCTAAGTTTAAAATAGTTTCAAACTAAATTATCTGCCCCTAATAGTTGTCACTAAACCCGGCTCTACGATTGAAAACATTTAGCATGAACCACAGCTCACCAGAAAATGTGGGGGTGGGGTGGTTGCGATATGCCTAGAGAGGAAGAGAGGGGACTGCTAGGCGCGCTTACAGCTTGATGTTTTCTAACGTCTCCAAGAAGAGAATTATATATATAGATTTTGGCCCTATATTATAGTAATTATAGTGATATTAATTAGGCCTAGCCCCTAGTCATAATAGTATTAATTTATTTAATTAATAGTAGTTGCAGGCTACTAATATTTAATATATATTATCTATCTATGTATATAATTCTCTTCTGGGAGCCGTTAAAAAACAAGCTGCGAGCGCTCACCTTGCAGTCCCCTCTCTTCCTTGCTATCGCTACCCCCCATCCCCCCCACATGGTTAGCTGAGTTGTAGTTCACGCTAAATGTTTATTTTGGTGACGGCTATTAGGGGCAGATAATTCAGTTTGAAACTATTTTAAACTTAGAGGAGGTAACTAAGAGGAGGCTGTTTCACGGGGGGTGGGGGGGGGGGGGGGGGGGAATGGGGGTTTAGTGTTTTAAAGCAAATATTTTCAGTGGCAGCATTGGTACTGTCGAATTCACAAATTATGAATTACTGAAAAGTAGAAAATAAAACAACTAAATAGCGGCGTATGATACGCTGCGGGTCGGCTCGTGTAGTATATAGGCCTATAGTCAAGTAATAAGTATGTACTATGTAGAGTCTACTAGAATCTATAATGTAATATGTCTATGTGATGTAGTATGTACTACATACTACATCACATAGACTTCTACTATTATTATTAATCAATTTAATACTAACTATTATGACTAGGGGCTAGGCCTAATTAATACTATTTAATACTATGTTTATGTACATCTAGTTTAAGTTAGTGTGCTGTAGGCCTACCATTTAATACCTATTGAATATATAATGTACTACTTACTACATCACATAGACATAGTACATCTCATCAGTGGAGTAGCCAGGATCGTCTCAAGGGGGGGGGTTCCAATTTTTACCCGGGGACAAACTTACGATTTGCACCCCCCTCAAACTTTCGATTTGCAACCCCCCTCATACTTTATATATATATATATATATACCGAGGGGTCTATGTGGGGAGGGGGGGGTTATGACCCCCCCTAACCCTCCCTGCCTACGCAACTGCATCTCATAGATTTTAAGTAGGCTCTACAAAGTCTACATTGAGTCTACATATAATACTAATACTACATAATAACAACATTCAACATAGTCACTTATTACTAATTTGCTTGACTATAGATTAGATACTATAGATAGGCCTAGTATATATTACTATATAATCATATATAAAATAATAATATATTTTTAGATAGGCCTAGATCTAGACCTATTAAATATTAGTAGCCAACTACTACTATTAATTAATAGGCCTACTATTACTATTGACTAGGGGCTAGGCCTAAGACAAGTAAGTAAGTAGAGTTAAGTAGAGTAGATCTCTAGATCTAGTTTAAGTTAGTGTGCGGTAGGCCTACCAAGTAAGTACCATTACCTAGATTCTAGATCTAGATTGACTAGATAGATCTAGATCTACCTATTAAATTTAAAATACTATTAAATTAATAATATTAAAACGACCAGTCCTCCACAACTTGCGTTAAAATCACGTCAAGGATAATAAAAGAAAAATATCTAAAACATTACAGAAAATAAATAATATATTATATAATATATATAGAGAGAGATCTAGATCTATACCTTATTGATATTATTGAATAATGACAAGACTAAAATAAGTCGGTCGAAATACCTGTACAGTAGGCTACTGTACAGAAAACCTACTTCGGTCTATTAGTAAGCCCGATGGCGTGATATTGTAAGCATTAAAGACTACACGCTATTGGTTGATGAATTGACCTCTTTTATGAGTATGTGTCACTTCTATACACACTATATACCCTAGTTAGTTTATTTTTAATTCCCTACAAAACCAGGTTTGCGATCTGTATTTATTTTGTATTTTATATACTAATACTTTCACTGTCTAAATATAATTTTTATATTTTATGAGGGAGAGGGGTCTAATACGTAAACCAAGCTTCATATTTCAGAAACTCTACATCACACGCCTTCATTTTAAGCCAATCAAAAAGCTTATAACAATAGACAATGTTTATAAATAAATCCGACCTTGAACAATTGACTTTAATGAACTTGTTTTTAAGTGTAATAAAAGTATAACAGGTCTTACATTTATTATTAATATTACACTGATAAATCTATATCAGTAGCGTTGGCAGGGGCTAAAGTGTCGCATTTGAACTGTCATCGACGTATCCTACCGTCCAAACTGCCTCTAATCTAATTCCGATCGCTAATCATATTAAATAATATTAATCATATGAATCGGGTGTTTCATGACCACCGCCGAACTCATGAGATTGATTCACCGCAAAGAACAAGTGATATATATATATATATATATATATATATATATATATATATATATATATATATATATATATATATATATATATGTTACGGTCAAAGCCCGAAGTGCGGCCAAAGCGCGGATTGGCCGGCCAATCCGCGCATTGGCCGGCTCTTTTGGCCAAAGCCCGAAGAACTTAGCACTAAGATCGCATTTCGTACATTGGCCGGCCAATGCGCGCACTGGCCGGGACGTTCTGGCCAAAGTCCGAAGCGCTTAAACTTGACAGCGTATTTTGTACATTGGCCGGCCAATGCGCGCACTGGCCGGGATGTCCTGGCCAATGTTCTATCTAGACTAAGTTGTGATCGCATTTTCATTATTCTGGGTGCGTTTTCATTGAGAGTAACGTATTGTTTAGCTCTTGTTTGTATAGCATTCTATATGCAAGGCGACATGGATCAAAAGGGCCGTCAGACCATGAGACAGACATAGCAGATGGCTGTCAAAAGAAAAAAAATGTAAATCCATGTTAGTTTCCATATATGGGCTCTCCATAAAATAGTTACTGAGGAAGATCTTGAGAACATTGAACAAGAAATGGAGGTTGCCATAAATGCAACGACATCCTCAGCTAACACATCTACTGCCGTGGCGGAACGCCCAGACCAGTTGCGTGACAATAATGTGGCCGATAGATTCTATATACTTTGTGAAAAACATTGTAGTGCAGCTCATTCTTTTGGATACTGTGGCAACGATGTCCATGCTATTTGTGGAATAGCCAAGGAAGAAGACGAAGGGTACGGAGGAAACATTACCTGCAGATTGTGTCACAACAAACAAGACATCATGGAACACAGATCAGCAGCTCATACTGGCTAGCAAACTCAAGGTGCTAAGATGCTTAAAACATCAAATACAAAAATTTAAAGATGGTGAAGTGGGTGACAATGTACGCATCCGTGTTCCACATGTTGACAGAGGTCGCGGTGATCCCCGAAGCGTGATTGCAGTTGTCATGAGCGTCGAGGGCGGTTTCTACAAATTAGGAACGGAACATGGTGTTCTAAAACAACTGTATGCTAGAAGTGAGTTTTCAATTCTTAACGAAAAACTGCTCTTATTGTCGTTAGTTGGCGCTGAGGAAAAATCACTACGAACCATCGCATCTTCACAATCATTGACGGGGGGCCAAGGCTACACTCGCTGCAATAGCACAACCAATGCACAACAAATCGCTGGAAGTGTAAAAATAACAAGCTGCTATGTAATTCTAAATGCCATAAAAGTTCAACTTGTTGTAACAAATGATGATATTGATAGATTGAGACTATAGTACAATAAAAAAATTGAATGTTTCTGTCATTTACTTTAATTAATAATCAATAAAGACTTAATTTCATGATCCTTACGGCATTAAAAAAAAACAAAATCTGCTCATGATCTTCTAATTAAGACTTTGGCCGGTCCACCATGGCCAGTCCGCGGATTGGCCGGCCAAAGGCCGAAATCAAGCAAAGTTTCGGACTTTGACCGACCTATGGGAGGCGATATTGGCCAATGCGCGGATTGGCCGGCCAATCCTAGCATTGGCCGACTTCGGGCTTTGACCGTAACATATATATATATATATATAGGCCTATATATATATATAAGCATTTATGATGACTTATTTAATTCTGATTTAGCGTATTTTTTATAAAAACGAATAAAGTAAAGCTTATATACTAGATCTTCTACTTAATAAACTTAAAGTAATTAGTGTTATTTTTTTACATTTACAATTTAATTTGTAGAAATATACATATTTATATTAAGAGAGTGATTATTTCCCCTAGTTCGTTTGTCTTAATATTTTATGATTCATTTATCATTATGTGTAATTGTTTTTTTTTACAAGGTGTAAAACGGTCAAAATTTCATAAGATTTTTTTGCACGATTACTAGATCTATACCTCCTCTAAATTCTGTATACGAGAAAGTAAAAATACACGATTGATAACGTTTTGATGAAAAATCTGGGGTCAGTTTGGTGTGTTGGACTATCGATGGAGAGTCTGTGCGTCTAACTTTGGAAAACTGAATGGATTATGTTAACAAAATATTAGCCTATAATCCTAATAATATATTTGTTATATTTATTATACATTTTATAGTGTATAGGAGTAGGATCGGCTGTGTAGGACGTCTATATTATAACTTGGGTAATCTCATGATATTATAGCGTCGGAAATTATCTGGTAATGTTTGTTTCGGTAACACTGTTACTGTAAAACATAGTTTATTTGACCCTTGAAATAGAAAAAAGTCAAGTGCATTAAATCAGTAGCGTAGCGAGGGGGGACATACGTCCCCGGGCGCCGACTTTAGGGGGCGCCAAAATAGGTTTGAAAAATAAATTGCAAGGTTGAGGGTGGTGCAAATCGAAAGTTTGAGGGGGGTGCAAATCGAAATCTTGAGGGGGGGTGCAAATCGAAATCTTGAGGGGGGGGTGCAAATCGAAAAGTTTGTCCCCGGGGGGAAGGGTCGCTACGCCTCTGCATTAAATTGATGTTTTAACTTAAAGTTTAATTGACAATTAGGCCTACTAAATCTAAATATTCTTAATAAAGTCTAGTGCAGGGTAAAATTAAAATTACGAAATAGCGTCGGTTATTATTCCAGAATTGTACAGCAGTAAAAAAAACACAACAGTATAACCATGGCGTAGTCTGTCGAGCCGTTCCGGAAACCACCGGAAATACGGTAAACAAATAATTTATTTGCCGTTTTTAATACATAATGTTTAAAAATGTGTAATGTGAAAGGATTAATTTTACTTAGTACTCTTACTACTTTTAACTTTAGTACTCAATTTAGTAGGCCTAAATCTAAACGTCTTATTTTCTAGATCTAGATCTCTATATCTAGACATCTAGATCTAGTTGTCGCAAATCTTCTGCATTTTTTTTTCTTCTGTGTTTCTTAAAAAACATTAATTACTCCACTCGACTTTATAATTAATTTATTAATTTTATTAATTTAGATTTACTAGGCCTAATTGTTGCTAATTTTCTGTCAGTCAAACTTTAGGTAATCCCTTAGTTTAGCGTCGGAAATTATCGGGTAATGTTTGTTGAGTTTCGGTAACTAGAGTTACGGTAAACCATGGTTTATTTGACCATTGAAATATAAATAAATTGAAAGTCGATTGTAGTAAATTAATGTTTTAATTTTTTAAGTTTAATCGACTAAAGGAAACAAGAATAAATATAATAGTAGATTTAAATTAGTAGATCTAAAAATTTAAAAAAAAAACATATATTAATATAAATATAAATAATGAAGTCAAATGTAATAATTTAATGTTTTTGGCTTGCAGCGGATTTGCGACCATTAATTAATTAGATCTAGATCTAGCTAGATATCTAGCTGCTAGACCAAGTAAAAAAATCTAGATTACGAAAATAGTAAAAATGATTACAAAATGTAAAAATGATTACAAAAATAAATCTATCCAAAATTTAAACATTCTGTATAAAAATAAAAGATGACGCCAAATAAAGTATGGTTTACAGTACTTCCGGTGAATTCCGGAAGTGTGTGACAGACTTTGGCATTGTTTTACTGTTTTTTACTGCTATACGATTCCGGAATAATAACCGACGCTAAACTAAGGGATTACCAAACTTTAAATTTATAAATTAAGTTAAAACATTAATTTAATGCACTTGACTTTATTTTTATTTCAACGGTCAAATAAACTATGATTTACAGTAACGAATGTTCAATGTTACCGAAACTTAACAAACATTACCCAATAATTTCCGATGCTAGATTCCATATCCGTGATTTAACCATAACTTGGTAGAAATATTATTTATTTTCAGATACAGAATCAATATCTACAATAGGCCCTAGATTCTAGATCTAGATCTAGATCTAAGTTAAAGAAGATTCCATTCAACCGTTGCCAAGAAGGGTGCAATTTGTTTACAAACAACACTCAGCACAGACCACTGAGTCAAGTTGTGATGGCAACAGAATTGTGTGGATTATTCCCAGATGACGATTTTAACCGAGCAATAGATGAGCTCGATAAACCTGATGTGGATGGTTGGGAATTTTTTGTAGAATCTCATGGAGTGACTATTTATCGTCTTTTCAATGAGGTAATATAGTCAGTATATTAGTATATAGTATATATATAGGCCTAATAGGCTAATACTAATGTAATGTAAACCAAAGTTTCATAGCATTTGGATGAACTGTGTCAGACCGCATTCGACTTTAATTTTTTGTATGCTGTTATAGAGAAAAATCGCACCCTTCTGGGGCGCTGGTCTTGTGAAATTAAAAACGATTTTTTTTTGTAGAAACCTCCCCTGGAGTATTCTCAACAACTTTTCTTAAGTTTCATGGCGATCAGATGAAAGGTGTAGTAATGCATAAAAGACAGACAAACACACATACATTGCTTTTTATATTTATAGATAGATTTAGTACTCTTGCCTGAATTGTTATTTGTGTTCACTGAGATCTAGATTATGAAGACAGTGTTAGTGTAAAAGAAACTTAAAACTAAGTAAAAACCATTGTTCACAAGTTTCGGTATTTCTTATCATATCTAGTGGCTCAAACTGCATTTGATTTATTCACCTATTATACATTTTTCTTTTTTATAATTAGTATTTCTAATTAGGTCTACGCCCCCCTTGATACTTTGCTCACATTTGCATGGCTAGCTTATATTGTACCTTCAGCCCATATTTCCACAATTATTGTGTGATTGAAAAAATAACTGTTACACCCTTAGAGCTCTCCCATAAATGATGTTATGATTTTTTTAATGATTTCCCCTCCTAACCATCACATGTTACAAAAAGTCAGCCGCCCCCCCCCCCCCCCTCCCAATCACGTCAAACCTCAGCTTACAAATCACCTCAAACTTACAGCTTAATTTATTTTTAAAATATCGATTGCTTTAAAAATATTGACCAAGCTTAACCAACAGAGTATATTAAAAATTTCTATTGCAATAAAAAACAAAAGAGCTTTCTAAGATATGAAATAACAGCTAAAATTCAGTTTCTTGCGTTACTTTTTCAAAGTATGACACCACACTATTTGAATTGCCTCTCCCTCTCATCAAAAAAAAAAAAAAAACCTCCCCTCCACCATAGGATGTGATGTCATTTATTGACTCACCCTTACTGAAGAAGAGGTCTCATAATACAGCCTCTGTATTGGCCTATAATCATTCCAATCTTTTGTTTGCTTCGTAATGTATTAAAAAGATATTATCTGGTTATTCTAATTTACCAAGATTTTAAAAATATTTTGACCAAACTGTTGATTTAAAAGTTTTTACATTTAAAAACTTCAGGGTTCTGGATTGTATGAGTATAAAATCTATGGAGAGTTGGATGATGTTACACCAGATATTTGTGCTCAAGTTTACATGGATTTGGATTATCGAAAAATGTGGGATAGTTATGCAAAAGGTTTCTATTATTTTTATCTTGTTTAATTAAAACAATTTTTTATTGGAAATATTTTTGAAGTAAGAGTTTTCTGTGTAATAATAGGTACTTACTTTGACATAACTAATCCAAGTTTTTATTTAAAGTTCTTGAAGTAAGGAAGTGTAAAGAAGGAAACCTAGTATACTGGGAGGTCAACTACCCATTCCCTTTATGGAATCGTGATGTATCCTTTTTAAACAAGTGACTAGTTCTTTATTTAACATCAGTAAAGTAATATGATACAAAAAAGGTTAAGTATAAAACAATTTCTGCCAGCATCCTCCTATTTCCCACCCCAGGGTTAATAAGAGCTAGTCTACCATCACAAGATAGATGGGGGAAGTACACTAATGGTCTACCATCACAAGATAGATGGGGGAAGTACACTAATGGTCTACCATCACAAGATAGATGGGGGAAGTACACTAATGGTCTACCATCACAAGATAGATGGGGGAAGTACACTAATGGTCTACCATCACAAGATAGATGGGGGAAGTACACTAATGGTCTACCATCACAAGATAGATGGGGGAAGTACACTACTGGTCTACCATCACAAGATAGATGGGGGAAGTACACTACTTGTCTACCATCACAAGATAGATGGGGAAGTACACTACTGGTCTACCATCACAAGATAGATGGGGGAAGTACACTAATGGTCTACCATCACAAGATAGATGGGGGAAGTACACTACTGTCATGAACTAACTTGGAATATGGAGTGGCTAAGAGAAATGTAATCAGTTTGATGAACAGAGTACTAGAAGTACAATGGAAGCCTACAGTGCTTCGAGGGTCACAAACTGTACTATTGTGGATTGGATGACAGATATAAACAAACAGTTGGATGTTTCATCCACAAAAACTTTGAAATGCATCAGAACTGCCACTCACTAGAAATCAGATTCATAACCATTTTCTTGAGGGTTTCATTCAAAACATACCTCAACATCAGACAAAATAGAAGACTTGGATCAAATTAAAATTGAAGATTTATACGAGCATTTTGAGTTGGTCAGAAAGTATTGGAAATATTGTGTCGGCAGGGAGTGTGGGAACTATTGTGTTGGCCTACTAGAAAAATTGAACAAGTCAATAGCTAACACTCAAGGATAACACAAGAAGAAGTATGAACTATAACCCCCCCCCCCCCCCCCCCAAGGGAACAATAGCTAGAGTGCTTTTATATCACACACATCCCGGAACACCAAATCAAGTGTGCTTACATCGAGGTAATAGGGCACTCCAGGTCCCAACATCTGTACAAGACTGAACTTCCTAGGTCCCAACATCTGTACAAGACTGAACTTCCTAGGTCCCAACATCTGTACAAGACTGAACTTCCCAGGTCCCAACATCTGTACAAGACTGAACTTCCCAGGTCCCAACATCTGTACAAGACTGAACTTCCTAGGTCCCAACATCTGTACAAGACTGAACTTCCTAGGTCCCAACATCTGTACAAGACTGAACTTCCCAGGTCCCAACATCTGTACAAGACTGAACTTCCTAGGTCCCAACATCTGTACAAGACAGTACTTCCTAGGTCCAACATCTGTACAAGACTGAACTTCCTAGGTCCAACATCTGTACAAGACTGAACTTCCCAGGTCCCAACATCTGTACAAGACTGAACTTCCTAGGTCCAACATCTGTACAAGACTGAACTTCCCAGGTCCCAACATCTGTACAAGACTGAACTTCCCAGGTCCCGACATCTGTACAAGACTGAACTTCCTAGGTCCCAACATCTGTACAAGACTGAACTTCCTAGGTCCCAACATCTGTACAAGACTGAATGTCCCAGGTCCCAACATCTGTACAAGACTGAACTTCCTAGGTCCCAACATCTGTACAAGACTGAATGTCCCAGGTCCCAACATCTGTACAAGACTGAACTTCCCAGGTCCCAACATCTGTACAAGACTGAACTTCCTAGGTCCCAACATCTGTACAAGACTGAACTTCCTAGGTCCAACATCTGTACAAGACTGAACTTCCTAGGTCCCAACATCTGTACAAGACTGAACTTCCTAGGTCCAACATCTGTACAAGACTGAACTTCCTAGGTCCAACATCTGTACAAGACTGAACTTCCCAGGTCCCAACATCTGTACAAGACTGAACTTCCCAGGTCCCAACATCTGTACAAGACTGAACTTCCAAGGTCCAACATCTGTACAAGACTGAATGTCCCAGGTCCCAACATCTGTACAAGACTGAACTTCCTAGGTCCCAACATCTGTACAAGAATGAACTTCCTAGGTCCAACATCTGTACAAGACTGAACTTCCTAGGTCCAACATCTGTACAAGACTGAATGTCCCAGGTCCCAACATCTGTACAAGACTGAACTTCCTAGGTCCCAACATCTGTACAAGACTGAACTTCCTAGGTCCCAACATCTGTACAAGAATGAACTTCCTAGGTCCAACATCTGTACAAGACTGAACTTCCTAGGTCCAACATCTGTACAAGACTGAACTTCCCAGGTCCCAACATCTGTACAAGACTGAACTTCCCAGGTCCCAACATCTGTACAAGACTGAACTTCCTAGGTCCCAACATCTGTACAAGACTGAACTTCCCAGGTCCCAACATCTGTACAAGACTGAACTTCCTAGGTCCAACATCTGTACAAGACTGAACTTCCTAGGTCCCAACATCTGTACAAGACTGAACTTCCTAGGTCCCAACATCTGTACAAGACTGAACTTCCTAGGTCCCAACATCTGTACAAGACTGAACTTCCCAGGTCCCAACATCTGTACAAGACTGAACTTCCCAGGTCCCAACATCTGTACAAGACTGAACTTCCCAGGTCCCAACATCTGTACAAGACTGAACTTCCTAGGTCCCAACATCTGTACAAGACTGAACTTCCCAGGTCCCAACATCTGTACAAGACTGAACTTCCCAGGTCCCAACATCTGTACAAGACTGAATGTCCCAGGTCCCAACATCTGTACAAGACTGAACTTCCTAGGTCCAACATCTGTACAAGACTGAACTTCCAAGGTCCAACATCTGTACAAGACTGAACTTCCCAGGTCCCAACATCTGTACAAGACTGAACTTCCCAGGTCCCAACATCTGTACAAGACTGAACTTCCTAGGTCCCAACATCTGTACAAGACTGAACTTCCTAGGTCCCAACATCTGTACAAGACTGAACGTCCCAGGTCCCAACATCTGTACAAGACTGAACTTCCCAGGTCCCAACATCTGTACAAGACTGAACTTCCCAGGTCCCAACATCTGTACAAGACTGAACTTCCTAGGTCCCAACATCTGTACAAGACTGAACTTCCTAGGTCCCAACATCTGTACAAGACTGAACTTCCCAGACATCTGTACAAGACTGAACTTCCTAGGTCCCAACATCTGTACAAGACTGAACTTCCTAGGTCCCAACATCTGTACAAGACTGAACTTCCTAGGTCCAACATCTGTACAAGACTGAACTTCCCAGGTCCCAACATCTGTACAAGACTGAACTTCCTAGGTCCAACATCTGTACAAGACTGAACTTCCCAGGTCCCAACATCTGTACAAGACTGAACTTCCCAGGTCCCAACATCTGTACAAGACTGAACTTCCCAGGTCCCAACATCTGTACAAGACTGAACTTCCCAGGTCCCAACATCTGTACAAGACTGAACTTCCCAGGTCCCAACATCTGTACAAGACTGAACTTCCCAGACATCTGTACAAGACTGAACTTCCTAGGTCCAACATCTGTACAAGACTGAACTTCCCAGGTCCCAACATCTGTACAAGACTGAACTTCCTAGGTCCCAACATCTGTACAAGACTGAACTTCCTAGGTCCAACATCTGTACAAGACTGAACTTCCCAGGTCCCAACATCTGTACAAGACTGAACTTCCTAGGTCCCAACATCTGTACAAGACTGAACTTCCCAGGTCCCAACATCTGTACAAGACTGAACTTCCCAGACATCTGTACAAGACTGAATGTCCCAGGTCCCAACATCTGTACAAGACTGAACTTCCTAGGTCCCAACATCTGTACAAGACTGAACTTCCTAGGTCCCAACATCTGTACAAGACTGAACTTCCCAGACATCTGTACAAGACTGAACTTCCTAGGTCCCAACATCTGTACAAGACTGAACTTCCCAGGTCCCAACATCTGTACAAGACTGAACTTCCCAGGTCCCAACATCTGTACAAGACTGAACTTCCTAGGTCCCAACATCTGTACAAGACTGAACTTCCCAGACATCTGTACAAGACTGAACTTCCCAGGTCCCAACATCTGTACAAGACTGAACTTCCTAGGTCCCAACATCTGTACAAGACTGAACTTACTAGGTCCAACATCTGTACAAGACTGAACTTCCCAGGTCCCAACATCTGTACAAGACTGAACTTCCTAGGTCCCAACATCTGTACAAGACTGAACTTCCCAGGTCCAACATCTGTACAAGACTGAACTTCCTAGGTCCAACATCTGTACAAGACTGAACTTCCCAGGTCTACTAAATGTCCCAGATGAAATACTAAATGTCCCAGATGAAATACTAAATGTCCCAGATGAAATACTAAATGTCCCAGATGAAATACTAAATGTCCCAGATGAAATACTAAATGTCCCAGATGAAATACTAAATGTCCCAGATGAAATACTAAATGTCCCAGCTGAAATACTAAATGTCCCAGATGAAATACTAAATGTCCCAGATGAAATACTAAATGTCCCAGATGAAATACTAAATGTCCCAGCTGAAATACTAAATGTCCCAGATGAAATACTAAATGTCCCAGATGAAATACTAAATGTCTAACACAGTCAGTAACTGGAAGAGAGATCTGGGTCACTGCCTGCCTGTCACTCCAGGACAGGTAGAAAGATCTAGTTAAACGTTATTCTTTGTAGGAATTCATTTTGAATATTATTTTCAAAGAATTATAAAATATATTTAACCAACTAGAAAATTGTTTGAAGACTTTATAATCTTGAACTAGCAACCAGTACCTATATGGAAGGGAATTGAGAGAACTGGATAAAGATGGCAAGAAAGTTTGGATTGTTCTAGCCAAATCCATTCAATCTCCTGATGTAGCAGAGAAAAGTGGAGTTGTAAGGGTCAAAGATTATTTGCAAAGTGCAGCCTTGTGTACAAATGGCAGTTCAGGGACTAAAGGTAATTACCTAGCTCTGGTCTGCACCATTTAATTAATTGGCTTTGGTCTGCACCATTTAATTAATTGGTTTTGGTCTGCATCATTTAATTAATTGGTTTTGGTCTGCACCATTTAATTAATTGGTTTTGGTCTGCATCATTTAATTAATTGGTTTTGGTCTGCATCATTTAATTAATTGGTTTTGGTCTGCACCATTTAATTAATTGGCTTTGGTCTGCACCATTTAATTAATTGGCTTTGGTCTGCACCATTTAATTAATTGGCTTTGGTCTGCACCATGTAATTAATTGGTTTTGGTCTGCACCATTTAATTAATTGGCTTTGGTCTGTACCATTTAATTAATTGGCTCTGGTCTGTACCATTTAATTAATTGGCTTTGGTCTGCATCATTTAATTAATTGGTTTTGGTCTGCACCATTTAATTAATTGGTTTTGGTCTGCACCATTCAATTAATTGGCTCTGGTCTGCACCATTTAATTAATTGGTTTTGGTCTGCACCATTTAATTAATTGGCTTTGGTCTGCATCATTTAATTAATTGGTTTTGGTCTGCACCATTTAATTAATTGGTTTTGGTCTGCACCATTTCATTAATTGGCTCTGGTCTGCACCATTTAATTAATTGGCTTTGGTCTGCACCATTTAATTAATTGGCTTTGGTCTGCACCATTTAGTTGGCTTTGGTCTGCACCATTTAATTAATTGGCTCTGGTCTGCACCATTTAATTAATTGGCTTTGGTCTGCACCATTTAATTAATTGGTTTTGGTCTGCACCATTTCATTAATTGGCTCTGGTCTGCACCATTTAATTAATTGGTTTTGGTCTGCACCATTTAATTAATTGGTTTTGGTCTGCACCATTTCATTAATTGGCTCTGGTCTGCACCATTTAATTAATTGGCTTTGGTCTGCACCATTTAATTAATTGGCTTTGGTCTGCACCATTTAGTTGGCTTTGGTCTGCACCATTTAATTAATTGGCTCTGGTCTGCACCATTTAATTAATTGGCTTTGGTCTGCACCATTTAGTTGGCTTTGGTCTGCACCATTTAATTAATTGGCTCTGGTCTGCACCATTTAATTAATTGGCTTTGGTCTGCACCATTTAATTGGCTTTGGTCTGCACCATTTAGTTGGCTTTGGTCTGCACCATTTAATTAATTGGCTCTGGTCTGCACCATTTAGTTGGCTTTGGTCTGCACCATTTAATTAATTGGCTCTGGTCTGCACCATTTAGTTGGCTTTGGTCTGCACCATTTAATTAATTGGCTCTGGTCTGCACCATTTAGTTGGCTTTGGTCTGCACCATTTAATTAATTGGCTTTGGTCTGCACCAATTAATTGGCTTTGGTCTGCACTATTTAATTAATTGGCTTTGGTCTGCACCACATAATTCGCTTTGGTCTGCACCATTTAATCTATTGGCTTTGGTCTGCACCATTTAATTAATTGGCTTTGGTCTGCACCATTTAATTAATTGGCTTTGGTCTGCACCATTTAATTAATTGGCTTTGGTCTGCACCATTTAATTAATTGGCTTTGGTCTGCACTATTTAATTAATTGGCTTTGGTCTGCACCATTTAATTAATTGGCTTTGGTCTGCACCAATTAACTGGCTTTGGTCTGCACCATTTAATTAATTGGCTTTGGTCTGCACCATTTAATTAATTGGCTTTGGTCTGCACCATTTAATTAATTGGCTTTGGTCTGCACTATTTAATTAATTGGCTTTGGTCTGCACCATTTAATTAATTGGCTTTGGTCTGCACTATTTAATTAATTGGCTTTGGTCTGCACCAATTAATTGGCTTTGGTCTGCACCATTTAATTAATTGGCTTTGGTCTGCACCATTTAATTAATTGGCTTTGGTCTGCACCATTTAATTGATTGGCTTTGGTCTGCACCAATTAATTGGCTTTGGTCTGCACCATTTAATTAATTGGCTTTGGTCTGCACCATTTAATTGGCTTTGGTCTGCACCATTTAATTGGCTTTGGTCTGCACCATTTAATTGGCTTTGGTCTGCACCATTTAATTAATTGGCTTTGGTCTGCACCATTTAATTAATTGGCTCTGGTCTGCACTATTTAATTAATTGGCTTTGGTCTGCACCATTTAATTAATTGGCTTTGGTCTGCACCATTTAATTAATTGGCTTTGGTCTGCACCATTTAATTAATTGGCTTTGGTCTGCACCATTTAATTAATTGGCTTTGGTCTGCACCATTTAATTAATTGGCTTTGGTCTGCACCAATTAATTTGCTTTGGTCTGCACCATTTAATTAATTGGCTTTGGTCTGCACCATTTAATTAATTGGCTTTGGTCTGCACCATTTAATTAATTGGCTCTGGTCTGCACCATTTAGTTGGCTTTGGTCTGCACCATTTAATTAATTGGCTCTGGTCTGCACCATTTAGTTGGCTTTGGTCTGCACCATTTAATTAATTGGCTCTGGTCTGCACCATTTAGTTGGCTTTGGTCTGCACCATTTAATTAATTGGCTTTGGTCTGCACCAATTAATTGGCTTTGGTCTGCACTATTTAATTAATTGGCTTTGGTCTGCACCACATAATTCGCTTTGGTCTGCACCATTTAATCTATTGGCTTTGGTCTGCACCATTTAATTAATTGGCTTTGGTCTGCACCATTTAATTAATTGGCTTTGGTCTGCACTATTTAATTAATTGGCTTTGGTCTGCACCATTTAATTAATTGGCTTTGGTCTGCACCAATTAACTGGCTTTGGTCTGCACCATTTAATTAATTGGCTTTGGTCTGCACCATTTAATTAATTGGCTTTGGTCTGCACCATTTAATTAATTGGCTTTGGTCTGCACTATTTAATTAATTGGCTTTGGTCTGCACCATTTAATTAATTGGCTTTGGTCTGCACTATTTAATTAATTGGCTTTGGTCTGCACCAATTAATTGGCTTTGGTCTGCACCATTTCATTAATTGGCTTTGGTCTGCACCATTTAATTAATTGGCTTTGGTCTGCACCATTTAATTGATTGGCTTTGGTCTGCACCAATTAATTGGCTTTGGTCTGCACCATTTAATTAATTGGCTTTGGTCTGCACCATTTAATTGGCTTTGGTCTGCACCATTTAATTGGCTTTGGTCTGCACCATTTAATTGGCTTTGGTCTGCACCATTTAATTAATTGGCTTTGGTCTGCACCATTTAATTAATTGGCTCTGGTCTGCACTATTTAATTAATTGGCTTTGGTCTGCACCATTTAATTAATTGGCTTTGGTCTGCACCATTTAATTAATTGGCTTTGGTCTGCACCATTTAATTAATTGGCTTTGGTCTGCACCATTTAATTAATTGGCTTTGGTCTGCACCATTTAATTAATTGGCTTTGGTCTGCACCAATTAATTTGCTTTGGTCTGCACCATTTAATTAATTGGCTTTGGTCTGCACCATTTAATTAATTGGCTTTGGTCTGCACCATTTAATTAATTGGCTCTGGTCTGCACCATTTAGTTGGCTTTGGTCTGCACCATTTAATTAATTGGCTCTGGTCTGCACCATTTAGTTGGCTTTGGTCTGCACCATTTAATTAATTGGCTCTGGTCTGCACCATTTAGTTGGCTTTGGTCTGCACCATTTAATTAATTGGCTTTGGTCTGCACCAATTAATTGGCTTTGGTCTGCACTATTTAATTAATTGGCTTTGGTCTGCACCACATAATTCGCTTTGGTCTGCACCATTTAATCTATTGGCTTTGGTCTGCACCATTTAATTAATTGGCTTTGGTCTGCACCATTTAATTAATTGGCTTTGGTCTGCACCATTTAATTAATTGGCTTTGGTCTGCACCATTTAATTAATTGGCTTTGGTCTGCACTATTTAATTAATTGGCTTTGGTCTGCACCATTTAATTAATTGGCTTTGGTCTGCACCAATTAACTGGCTTTGGTCTGCACCATTTAATTAATTGGCTTTGGTCTGCACCATTTAATTAATTGGCTTTGGTCTGCACCATTTAATTAATTGGCTTTGGTCTGCACTATTTAATTAATTGGCTTTGGTCTGCACCATTTAATTAATTGGCTTTGGTCTGCACTATTTAATTAATTGGCTTTGGTCTGCACCAATTAATTGGCTTTGGTCTGCACCATTTAATTAATTGGCTTTGGTCTGCACCATTTAATTAATTGGCTTTGGTCTGCACCATTTAATTGATTGGCTTTGGTCTGCACCAATTAATTGGCTTTGGTCTGCACCATTTAATTAATTGGCTTTGGTCTGCACCATTTAATTGGCTTTGGTCTGCACCATTTAATTGGCTTTGGTCTGCACCATTTAATTGGCTTTGGTCTGCACCATTTAATTAATTGGCTTTGGTCTGCACCATTTAATTAATTGGCTCTGGTCTGCACTATTTAATTAATTGGCTTTGGTCTGCACCATTTAATTAATTGGCTTTGGTCTGCACCATTTAATTAATTGGCTTTGGTCTGCACCATTTAATTAATTGGCTTTGGTCTGCACCATTTAATTAATTGGCTTTGGTCTGCACCATTTAATTAATTGGCTTTGGTCTGCACCAATTAATTTGCTTTGGTCTGCACCATTTAATTAATTGGCTTTGGTCTGCACCATTTAATTAATTGGCTTTGGTCTGCACCATTTAATTAATTGGCTTTGGTCTGCACCATTTAATTGGCTTTGGTCTGCACCATTTAATTGGCTTTGGTCTGCACCATTTAATTGGCTTTGGTCTGCACCATTTAATTGGCTTTGGTCTGCACCATTTAATTAATTGGCTTTGGTCTGCACCATTTAATTAATTGGCTCTGGTCTGCACCATTTAATTAATTGGCTTTGGTCTGCACCATTTAATTAATTGGCTTTGGTCTGCACCAATTAATTGGCTTTGGTCTGCACCATTTAATTAATTGGCTTTGGTCTGCACCATTTAATTAATTGGCTTTGGTCTGCACCAATTAATTGGCTTTGGTCTGCACCATTTAATTAATTGGCTTTGGTCTGCACCATTTAATTAATTGGCTTTGGTCTGCACCATTTAATTAATTGGCTTTGGTCTACACTATTTAATTAATTGGCTTTGGTCTGCATCAATTAATTGGCTTTGGTCTGCACCAATTAATTGGCTTTGGTCTGCACCATTTAATTAATTGGCTTTGGTCTGCACCATTTAATTAATTGGCTTTGGTCTGCACCATTTAATTAATTGGCTCTGGTCTGCACCATTTAATTAATTGGCTTTGGTCTGCACCATTTAATTAATTGGCTTTGGTCTGCACCAATTAATTTGCTTTGGTCTGCACCATTTAATTAATTGGCTTTGGTCTGCACCATTTAATTAATTGGCTTTGGTCTGCACCATTTAATTAATTGGCTTTGGTCTGCACCATTTAATTAATTGGCTTTGGTCTGCACCATTTAGTTGGCTTTGGTCTGCACCATTTAATTAATTGGCTTTGGTCTGCACCAATTAATTTGCTTTGGTCTGCACCATTTAATTAATTGGCTTTGGTCTGCACCATTTAATTAATTGGCTTTGGTCTGCACCAATTAATTGGCTTTGGTCTGCACCATTTAATTAATTGGCTTTGGTCTGCACCATTTAATTAATTGGCTTTGGTCTGCACCATTTAATTAATTGGCTTTGGTCTACACTATTTAATTAATTGGCTTTGGTCTGCATCAATTAATTGGCTTTGGTCTGCACCAATTAATTGGCTTTGGTCTGCACCATTTAATTAATTGGCTTTGGTCTGCACCATTTAATTAATTGGCTTTGGTCTGCACCATTTAATTAATTGGCTCTGGTCTGCACCATTTAATTAATTGGCTTTGGTCTGCACCATTTAATTAATTGGCTTTGGTCTGCACCAATTAATTTGCTTTGGTCTGCACCATTTAATTAATTGGCTTTGGTCTGCACCATTTAATTAATTGGCTTTGGTCTGCACCATTTAATTAATTGGCTTTGGTCTGCACCATTTAATTAATTGGCTTTGGTCTGCACCATTTAGTTGGCTTTGGTCTGCACCATTTAATTAATTGGCTTTGGTCTGCACCAATTAATTTGCTTTGGTCTGCACCATTTAATTAATTGGCTTTGGTCTGCACCATTTAATTAATTGGCTTTGGTCTGCACCAATTAATTGGCTTTGGTCTGCACCATTTAGTTGGCTTTGGTCTGCACCATTTACTCAGTGAGTCTCAGTGAGATCACCACCTTGTCAGTGACATCACCGTCTTGTCAGTGAGATCACCGTCTTGTCAGTGAGATCACCGTCTTGTCAGTGAGATCACCACCTTGTCAGTGAGATCACCACCTTGTCAGTGAGATCACCACCTTGTCAGTGAGATCACCACCTTGTCAGTGAGATCACCGTCTTGTCAGTGACATAACCGTCTTGTCAGTGAGATCACCACCTTGTCAGTGAGATCACCACCTTGTCAGTGAGATCACCACCTTGTCAGTGAGATCACCACCTTGTCAGTGAGATCACCGTCTTGTCAGTGACATCACCGTCTTGTCAGTGAGATCACCACCTTGTCAGTGAGATCACCACCTTGTCAGTGAGATCACCACCTTGTCAGTGAGATCACCACCTTGTCAGTGAGATCACCACCTTGTCAGTGAGATCACCACCTTGTCAGTGAGATCACCACCTTGTCAGTGAGATCACCACCTTGTCAGTGAGATCACCGTCTTGTCAGTGACATCACCACCTTGTCAGTGACATCACCACCTTGTCAGTGAGATCACCACCTTGTCAGTGAGATCACCACCTTGTCAGTGAGATCACCACCTTGTCAGTAATATTACCTTTTCGTAATATTGCAGACATTTAGATGAAATAGTGTTAGTTTTCTAACATTTACTTTCAGCCTTTATGCGTTATTATGACAACCCGGAGGGTAATATTCCAACATGGTTGATCAACTGGGCAGCCAAGGTATTTCACCCTTAAATATTCTTATCTACCTTTCTGCTTACAGTTGTAAAATTGGTTTTTAAATATTTTAAAAGCTTACATCAGAACATGCTACCTCACATAACTTATAATTACCTAATAGCTGTATTTACTCTGTAGAATTACTGTACAACGTTATCCAGATTTGGTACCCCTATGTATTATAGACAGGTGTCCCCCAGTTTTTAACTATGATGCACGCAGCTTGTCGAGGATATCCAAAGTATCTGGAAGCCAACAGGAGAGCCACGTAACCATGACAACGTGTGAACCTATCCAAAGTATTTTAAGACCAGCAGGAGAGATCTTTGGATTAAATTTTTGCTGTAAATTTGATTAAATTATCATATAGAAATTTCAGTATTTTTTGCTGTAAATTTGATTAAATTATGTAGAAATTTCAGTAATTTTTGCTGTAAATTTGATTAAATTGTGCAGAAATTTCAGTATTTTTTGCTGTAAATTTGATTGAATTATCATGTAGAAATTTCAGTATTTTTTGCTGTAAATTTGATTGAATTATCATGCAGAAATTTCAGTATTTCATAGAACTGATACTGGTAGCACTTTGAACAATTATGATCAAGGAAATCCTCAGACATTTTTACAATTCAATCTTGAATTTAAGAATTTGTCACACATATTGTTTGTCAAAGGGAAGGTAATAATTAAAAGTCAACTGATTGGATGAAATAAGATTTGTAAATTAGAGGCAAAGTATAATTGTATTAGAAAAAAAAAATCTGTACTGCATATCATAGTAGACTCAACATGGCTAACCTTATGACAGTTTTTCTCTCATTGCCTAGTGTAAAGTGTGTGGGTTAATTTCTTTATGTTTTGTTCAATGATCTACTAAGGTAGCTGTGAGATTTAACGAATACAGAAAGCTAAGTCCATATGTGGAGCAAGACATATAGTAAGTTCATGTGTATATATAACATAAAGAATGTATTAAAATTAAAGGACACTACAATTCATCTTTAAAAATGCAACAGCTTATAAAAAAAAAAATGGTTTAAACTTCTGAATAACTATTGCCTCCATAAAAACTGGTTACATTCAAATATACCAAAGAATAAACATAAAAAATAGATCTTTATATTCTATACGATCAGGCACAAAAAATGTGGAGATATCCAAACCCTGCAATTAACTGAAATGTGGAAACACCCCATCCTGGAACAATTCCTTTAAGGCACAATGAATGAAAGGCAACCATTTTTAGCTGGGGCAGCAGGCCCTAAATGAGTGGTCAAACTCATTTTTAGCTGGGGCAGTAGGCCCTAAATGAGTGGTCAAACTTGCCCTAAATGAGTGGTCAAACTCATTTTTAGCTGGGGCAGCAAGCCCTAAATGAGTGGTCTAACTCGTTTTAGCTGGGGCAGTAGGCCCTAAAATGAGTGGTCAAACGAGGAAAAACCATTTGACTAGAGGTCAGGTACTGGCTTAATGGTGCTATCTATTTAGAATTGACATCAAACTATACAAATAATATTCTCACGTAACCAAAATCTACCTGAGATTAAAATGTATAAACATGTAAGACAAAAAACTTATTGACATCACTTATTGAAATCATGTAGTTGACCATTGGTTACATAAACATGTATCATAACAAGTTGAAATTATGTAGTTGACCATTGGTTTACATAAACATGTATCATAACAAGTTGAAATTATGTAGTTGAACATAGGTTACATAAACATGTATCATAACAAGTTGAAATTATGTAGTTGACCATAGGTTACATAAACATGTATCATAACAAGTTGAAATTATGTAGTTGACCATTGGTTACATAAATATGTAACTAATGACTAACTGAAACAAGGCAATAAAAAAAAGAATGACTTATTTTAGAATGAGTTTAAAAAATCTGATAATGGAATCTGGTTCAAATATTTGACCTTACACCAATTTGGGGGGGGGGGGGGGGGGGGGAGAAGAGATATGAAGAGAAGAAAAGGGGCTAAATAATTTGTAATGGTAATTTTGCTATTGCACAGCAGTCTATTTTTGTCTAAGTAATATAAATTGGTTGCAAAAAAATTTCGGTTCAAGGTATACATTTGCTTATGAAAATATTTAATACTTATATTTATATTATAATAAATCAAGATTATTGAAAACTTGCATTATTTAATGTGTACATAGAATAAACTTGGAGACAGATGAATTAACTATGACTTAAGAATAAAGTAATTAGATGGGACAAATGGCATTTTAGTCACTTGAGCATCCAATTTTTTTTGCCGAACTTCAACCTTGACCTTTGTGCCATTTAAAGCAAATGAAGTGTTGACATAGCCCATGGCAATGTTGGCCTTGAGGGATGGGGATGGGCAGCCACTGGTCACTTCCCCTATTTGAAGGGATCCATCTTCAGAGTAGATCTTAGCATGGCCTGAAGCGAAGTTTAGAGTCAAGTCAGATGTCATTCAGTGTGTGGAGCTAATGACATTAGGTGGGTGGAGCTAATGACATTAGGTGGGGGGAGCTAATGACATTAGGTGGGGGGAGCTAATGACATTAGGTGGGGGGAGCTAAACTTCTAAAGAGTTGATGTGAAAAGTCTTTGCTTGCATAGGTTTGAAAAAAACAAACTAAGTCAATATTTAATGAGAAGATTTGAACATAAACTAACGCAAATATTGTGGCCAATGAAAAAGCTTTTAACAAGAGAAAGAACAAACCCCTGATAGGCACCCCTGACGAGATCAAGCCGACTCTTTTTTTTTCTGGTTTGGTTTTTATCTGTTCCAAAATTACTTTGGCACCTGGAAAATCTGCCTTTGATCTTCTGGCTTTACCTGCAACAATAACAAATTACATTTGACAGTCACCATGGCAACCATGTCTGGTGAAAACAAGCATAAGTTTAAATTTTGTGGTCACTGGTGATAAAGATATTAAATATCAGCGACTAGATGCAACACTTTCTTTAATGGGATGTTGACCCAATGGAAACTTGTACTCACTGATGAGCCAGGTCAAATTGGCCTCAACAGGTGTGGTGGTTTCATCAATGTCACTGCCATAAAGACAGAGTCCAGCTTCCAGTCTCAGACTGTCCCTGGCACCCAGCCCAATCAGCTTGACGCAGGCCTCTTTAGACGCCAGCAGTGAACTCAGGACAGCAGCAGCTTGACCAGTGGGGATGGAGATCTGTAGAACAAACACATATGGACAGTAGATCTGCAGAACAAACACATATGGACAGTGGGGATGGAGGTCTACAGAACAAACACATATGGCCAGTGGGGATGGAGATATACAGAAGAAACACATATGGACAGTGGGGATGGAGGTCTGCAGAACAAACACATATGGCCAGTGGGGATGGAGATATACAGAAGAAACACATATGGCCAGTGGGGATGGAGGTCTGCAGAAAAAACACATATGGCCAGTGGGGATGGAGGTCTGCAGAACAAACACATATGGCCAGTGGGGATGGAGGTCTGCAGAACAAACACATATGGCCAGTGGGGATGGAGATATACAGAAGAAACACATATGGCCAGTGGGGATGGAGGTCTGCAGAAAAAACACATATGGCCAGTGGGGATGGAGGTCTGCAGAACAAACACATATGGCCAGTGGGGATGGAGGTCTGCAGAACAAACACATATGGCCAGTGGGGATGGAGGTCTACAGAACAAACACATATGGCCAGTAGATCTGTAGAACAAACACATATGGCCAGTGGGGATGGAGGTCTGCAGAAAAAACACATATGGCCAGTGGGGATGGAGGTCTGCAGAACAAACACATATGGCCAGTGGGGATGGAGGTCTACAGAACAAACACATATGGCCAGTAGATCTGTAGAACAAACACATATGGCCAGTGGGGATGGAGATCTGCAGAACAAACACATATGGCCAGTAGATCTGTAGAACAAACACATATGGACAGTGGGGATGGAGGTCTACAGAACAAACACATATGGCCAGTGGGGATGGAGATCTGCAGAACAAACATATGGCCAGTGGGGATGGAGGTCTGCAGAACAAACATATGGCCAGTGGGAATGGAGGTCTGCAGAACAAACACATATGGCCAATGGGGATGGAGGTCTGCAGAACAAACACATATGGCCAGTGGGGATGGAGGTCTGCAGAACAAACATATGGCCAGTGGGGATGGAGGTCTGCAGAACAAACACATATGGCCAGTGGGGATGGAGGTCTGCAGAACAAACATATGGCCAGTGGGGATGGAGGTCTGCAGAACAAACACATCAGGTAGGCATTCACTACTCTAGCTCTGTAACAACTACATTAACCTACAGCACACAACTCCAACAGCTGACAGCTCAAACAGCTACACCATCAGACAGTTACAAACTACAGCATGACATACCTCTACACCATCTTCTCCAGTATAACCGCATCGAGTCACTCTACAGCCATCAGCACCAAAAACTCGCGACTGGATTGTCCTCATAAACGGAAGCTTTTTCAAGTCAAAGTCCAATCCAGGCTGAAGAGCTGTCACCATTTTAGGACCTTCAAATACACAACCATTACATTTAGGATTACATGTATTCAGGCATTCCCAAAGAAAGTTAAAACAAGTCATCCACCCCCTCCCCGTACACCTATTTGGATGGAACTTAAAAGACCAGTTCATACATATAATTTATGTTAATCAATTTTAGTTTATTTGGAAGGAAATGTTAAAACGTAGGTCTAAATTACACTTGCTAAAAAACACAGTAATAACAAGATTTTAAACACTTGCTAAAAAACACAGCAATAACAAGATTTTAAACACATTTATTGTAGGTAACAAAATATTTTTCCTCTAGCTCAAATAGTCAATCACAGATTGTGATCAAAGTTCCTTTAGCTAAAAACGTATGGTAGCCTACTGACCCTGTACAGACACATTGACCTTGTACAGACACATTGACCTTGTACAGACACATTGACCTTGTACAGACACATTGAACTTGTACGCACACACAGACTGTACAGACACACAACCATTGCACAGACACATTGACCTTGTACAGACACATTGACCTTGTACAGACACATTGACCTTGTACAGACACACTGACCTTGTACACACATTGACCTTGTACACACAATGACCTTGTACAGACACACTGACCTTGTACGGACACATTGACCTTGTACAGACACATTGACCTTGTACAGACACACTGGCCTTGTACAGACACATTGGCCTTGTACAGACACACTGACCTTGTACAGACACACTGACCTTGTACACACATTGACCTTGTACAGACACACTGACCTTGTACAGCAAGCAGAGCTGTGTCTATAGTACTCAAACTGACATCAGCGCCAGCTTGTTGAAATTCTGATTCTTTTTTCTGTAACAGTTAAATTAAACGTGATTAGGTTCATGTGCAGTGATATGTTGGGGAAGGATGTCATAAATTGTAGTGATGAATGTGACAGTGTAGTGATGAATGTGACAGTGTAGTGATGAATGTGACAGTGTAGTGATGAATGTGACAGTGTAGTGATGAATGTGACAGTGTAGTGATGAATGTGACAGTGTAGTGATGAATGTGACAGTGTAGTGATGAATGTGACAGTGTAGTGATGAATGTGAGTTTATAAAATATGTTGGGTGTATTTGGTTTACACACATAATAGATAAAAGAACTGACTGTCATGATAGATAAAAGAACTGACTGTCATGATAAATAAAAGAACTGACTGTCATGATAAATAAAAGAACTGACTGTCATGATAAATAAAAGAACTGACTGTCATGATAGATAAAAGAACTGACTGTCATGATAGATAAAAGAACTGACCTTCATATGTGCTAAGTCTTTCTCAGCGCAGCCAGCATTTGACACAACATACAAGTAACCTTGCTCTGTGTTTGTTACTATCAAGTCATCCAAGATTCCCCCATGCTCATTTGTAAATACAGTCAGTGTGCCTTGATTCTCTTGTAGGCCTGAAAGTAACCATGACAAGTTTTGCTCATACCATCCAAAGAGCCACCCCACCACTTCCTTTTAGAGCCATCCCACCACTTCCTTTTAGGGCCGCCCCACCAGTTCCCCATAGAGCCACCCCACCAGTTCCTTTTAGGGCCACCCCACCAGTTCCCCATAGAGCCACCCCACCATTTCCCCATAGAGCCACCCCACCAGTTCCCCATAGAGCCACCCCACCACTTCCTTTTAGGGCCGCCCCACCAGTTCCCCATAGAGCCACCCCACCACTTCCTTTTAGAGCCACCCCACCACTTCCTTTTAGGGCCACCCCACCAGTTCCTTTTAGAGCCACCCCACCAGTTCCTTTTAGAGCCACCCCACCATTTCCCCATAGAGCCACCCCACCATTTCCCCATAGAGCCACCCCACCAGTTCCCCATAGAGCCACCCCACCAGTTCCTTTTAGAGCCACCCCACCATTTCCCCATAGAGCCACCCCACCAGTTCCCCATAGAGCCACCCCACCACTTCCTTTTAGGGCCACCCCACCACTTCCTTTTAGGGCCGCCCCACCAGTTCCCCATAGAGCCACCCCACCAGTTCCTTTTAGGGCCACCCCACCAGTTCCCCATAGAGCCACCCCACCATTTCCCCATAGAGCCACCCCACCAGTTCCCCATAGAGCCACCCCACCACTTCCTTTTAGGGCCGCCCCACCAGTTCCCCATAGAGCCACCCCACCACTTCCTTTTAGGGCCACCCCACCAGTTCACCATAGAGCCACCCCACCACTTCCTTTTAGGGCCACCCCACCAGTTCCTTTTAGAGCCACCCCACCAGTTCCTTTTAGAGCCACCCCACCATTTCCCCATAGAGCCACCCCACCATTTCCCCATAGAGCCACCCCACCAGTTCCCCATAGAGCCACCCCACCAGTTCCTTTTAGAGCCACCCCACCATTTCCCCATAGAGCCACCCCACCAGTTCCCCATAGAGCCACCCCACCACTTCCTTTTAGGGCCACCCCACCAGTTCCCCATAGAGCCACCCCACCAGTTCCCCATAGAGCCACCCCACCAGTTCCCCATAGAGCCACCCCACCAGTTCCCCATAGAGCCACCCCACCAGTTCCCCATAGAGCCACCCCACCAGTTCCCCATAGAGCCACCCCACCAGTTCCCCATAGAGCCACCCCACCAGTTCCCCATAGAGCCACCCCACCAGTTCCCCATAGAGCCACCCCACCAGTTCCCCATAGAGCCACCCCACCAGTTCCCCATAGAGCCACCCCACCAGTTCCCCATAGAGCCACCCCACCAGTTCCCCATAGAGCCACCCCACCAGTTCCCCATAGAGCCTCCCCACCAGTTCCTTTTAGAGCCACCCCACCAGTTCCCATAGAGCCACCCCACCAGTTCCCCATAGAGCCACCCCACCAGTTCCCCATAGAGCCACCCCACCAGTTCCCCATAGAGCCACCCCACCAGTTCCCCATAGAGCCACCCCACCAGTTCCCCATAGAGCCACCCCACCAGTTCCCCAAAGAGCCACCCCACCAGTTCCCCATAGAGCCACCCCACCAGTTCCCCATAGAGCCACCCCACCAGTTCCCCATAGAGCCACCCCACCAGTTCCCCATAGAGCCACCCCACCAGTTCCCCATAGAGCCACCCCACCAGTTCCCCATAGAGCCTCCCCACCAGTTCCCCAAAGAGCCACCACACATATTCCACAAAGAGCCACCACTCCTATTCCCCAGAACCTTATACAAATTATAGACATAAAAAATGTCTTCACCTTCAATATCACCTACAACCATGCTCTCCATGAAATGTTTTCGATCCTTTCCTTCAACGCGAGTCTGCAGCATGTGTGAGACATCAAATACACCAACCTCCCTAGTACAAGACACAATAGTCAACTGTTATAACATCAAATACACCAACCTCCCTAGACACAATAGTCAACTGTTATAACATCAAATACACCAACCTTCTTAGTACAAGACACAATAGTCAACTGTTATAACATCAAATACACCCACCTTCTTAGTACAAGACACAATAGTCAACTGTTATAACATCAAATACACAATATGGACACCAGAATGATAAATATGATTGTATCTCCCAAGGCACATATGGGTGGATCTTGCAATTGATAGAGGGGATTTGCCTACACAGTAACACATACACATTTATAATTAGCCCCCAGCGCAAGACTTGGTACTGATATTAATAGAACATTAGAGAGTACTTACTTCCTCATATATAGAACATTAGAGAGTACTTACTTCCTCATATATAGAACATTAGAGAGTATTTACTTCCTCATATGTAGAACATTAGAGAGTACTTACTTCCTCACATGTAGAACATTAGAGAGTACTTACTTCCTCACATGTAGATAGAGAGTACTTACTTCCTCACATGTAGAACATTAGAGAGTACTTACTTCCTCACATGTAGATAGAGAGTACTTACTTCCTCACATGTAGAACATTAGAGAGTACTTACTTCCTCACATGTAGAACATTAGAGAGTACTTACTTCCTCACATGTAGAACATTAAAGAGTACTTACTTCCTCACATGTAGAACATTAAAGAGTACTTACTTCCTCACATGTAGAACATTAGAGAGTACTTACTTCCTCACATGTAGAACTTTAGAGAGTACTTACTTCCTCACATGTAGAACATTAGAGAGTACTTACTTCCTCACATGTAGAACTTTAGAGAGTACTTACTTCCTCACATGTAGAACTTTAGAGAGTACTTACTTCCTCACATGTAGAACTTTAGAGAGTACTTACTTCCTCACATGTAGAACATTAGAGAGTACTTACTTCCTCACATGTAGAACATTAGAGAGTACTTACTTCCTCACATGTAGAACATTAGAGAGTACTTACTTCCTCACTAGAACATTAGAGAGTACTTACTTCCTCACTAGAACATTAAAGAGTACTTACTTCCTCACATGTAGAACATTAGAGAGTACTTACTTCCTCACATGTAGAACTTTAGAGAGTACTTACTTCCTCACATGTAGAACTTTAGAGAGTACTTACTTCCTCACATGTAGAACATTAGAGAGTACTTACTTCCTCACATGTAGAACATTAGAGAGTACTTACTTCCTCACATGTAGAACATTAGAGAGTACTTACTTCCTCACTAGAACATTAGAGAGTACTTACTTCCTCACATGTAGAACATTAGAGAGTACTTACTTCCTCACATGTAGAACTTTAGAGAGTACTTACTTCCTCACATGTAGAACTTTAGAGAGTACTTACTTCCTCACATGTAGAACATTAGAGAGTACTTACTTCCTCACATGTAGAACATTAGAGAGTACTTACTTCCTCACATGTAGAACATTAGAGAGTACTTACTTCCTCACTAGAACATTAGAGAGTACTTACTTCCTCACATGTAGAACATTAGAGAGTACTTACTTCCTCACATGTAGAACATTAGAGAGTACTTACTTCCTCACATGTAGAACATTAGAGAGTACTTACTTCCTCACATGTAGAACATTAGAGAGTACTTACTTCCTCACATGTAGAACAGTAGAGAGTACTTACTTCCTCACTAGAACATTAGAGAGTACTTACTTCCTCACATGTAGAACATTAGAGAGTACTTACTTCCTCACTAGAACATTAGAGAGTACTTACTTCCTCACTAGAACATTAGAGAGTACTTACTTCCTCACTAGAACATTAGAGAGTACTTACTTCCTCACTAGAACATTAGAGAGTACTTACTTCCTCACATGTAGAACATTAGAGAGTACTTACTTCCTCACATGTAGAACTTTAGAGAGTACTTACTTCCTCACATGTAGAACATTAGAGAGTACTTACTTCCTCACATGTAGAACATTAGAGAGTACTTACTTCCTCACATGTAGAACATTAGAGAGTACTTACTTCCTCACTAGAACATTAGAGAGTACTTACTTCCTCACATGTAGAACATTAGAGAGTACTTACTTCCTCACTAGAACATTAGAGAGTACTTACTTCCTCACATGTAGAACATTAGAGAGTACTTACTTCCTCACTAGAACATTAAAGAGTACTTACTTCCTCACATGTAGAACATTAAAGAGTACTTACTTCCTCACATGTAGAACATTAGAGAGTACTTACTTCCTCACATGTAGAACTTTAGAGAGTACTTACTTCCTCACATGTAGAACATTAGAGAGTACTTACTTCCTCACATGTAGAACTTTAGAGAGTACTTACTTCCTCACATGTAGAACTTTAGAGAGTACTTACTTCCTCACATGTAGAACTTTAGAGAGTACTTACTTCCTCACATGTAGAACATTAGAGAGTACTTACTTCCTCACATGTAGAACATTAGAGAGTACTTACTTCCTCACATGTAGAACATTAGAGAGTACTTACTTCCTCACTAGAACATTAGAGAGTACTTACTTCCTCACTAGAACATTAGAGAGTACTTACTTCCTCACATGTAGAACATTAAAGAGTACTTACTTCCTCACATGTAGAACTTTAGAGAGTACTTACTTCCTCACATGTAGAACATTAGAGAGTACTTACTTCCTCACATGTAGAACATTAGAGAGTACTTACTTCCTCACATGTAGAACTTTAGAGAGTACTTACTTCCTCACATGTAGAACATTAGAGAGTACTTACTTCCTCACATGTAGAACATTAGAGAGTACTTACTTCCTCACATGTAGAACATTAGAGAGTACTTACTTCCTCACATGTAGAACATTAGAGAGTACTTACTTCCTCACATGTAGAACTTTAGAGAGTACTTACTTCCTCACATGTAGAACATTAGAGAGTACTTACTTCCTCACATGTAGAACATTAGAGAGTACTTACTTCCTCACATGTAGAACATTAGAGAGTACTTACTTCCTCACATGTAGAACATTAAAGAGTACTTACTTCCTCACATGTAGAACTTTAGAGAGTACTTACTTCCTCACATGTAGAACTTTAGAGAGTACTTACTTCCTCACATGTAGAACATTAGAGAGTACTTACTTCCTCACATGTAGAACATTAGAGAGTACTTACTTCCTCACATGTAGAACTTTAGAGAGTACTTACTTCCTCACATGTAGAACATTAGAGAGTACTTACTTCCTCACTAGAACATTAGAGAGTACTTACTTCCTCACATGTAGAACATTAGAGAGTACTTACTTCCTCACATGTAGAACATTAGAGAGTACTTACTTCCTCACATGTAGAACATTAGAGAGTACTTACTTCCTCACATGTAGAACTTTAGAGAGTACTTACTTCCTCACATGTAGAACATTAGAGAGTACTTACTTCCTCACATGTAGAACTTTAGAGAGTACTTACTTCCTCACATGTAGAACATTAGAGAGTACTTACTTCCTCACATGTAGAACATTAGAGAGTACTTACTTCCTCACATGTAGAACATTAGAGAGTACTTACTTCCTCACATGTAGAACATTAGAGAGTACTTACTTCCTCACATGTAGAACATTAGAGAGTACTTACTTCCTCACATGTAGATAAAGAGTACTTACTTCCTCACATGTAGAACATTAGAGAGTACTTACTTCCTCACATGTAGAACATTAGAGAGTACTTACTTCCTCACATGTAGAACATTAGAGAGTACTTACTTCCTCACATGTAGAACATTAGAGAGTACTTACTTCCTCACATGTAGAACATTAGAGAGTACTTACTTCCTCACATGTAGAACATTAGAGAGTACTTACTTCCTCACATGTAGAACTTTAGAGAGTACTTACTTCCTCACATGTAGAACATTAGAGAGTACTTACTTCCTCACATGTAGAACTTTAGAGAGTACTTACTTCCTCACATGTAGAACATTAGAGAGTACTTACTTCCTCACATGTAGAACATTAGAGAGTACTTACTTCCTCACATGTAGAACATTAGAGAGTACTTACTTCCTCACATGTAGAACATTAGAGAGTACTTACTTCCTCACATGTAGAACATTAGAGAGTACTTACTTCCTCACATGTAGAACATTAGAGAGTACTTACTTCCTCACTAGAACATTAGAGAGTACTTACTTCCTCACATGTAGAACATTAGAGAGTACTTACTTCCTCACTAGAACATTAGAGTACTTACTTCCTCACTAGAACATTAGAGAGTACTTACTTCCTCACTAGAACATTAGAGAGTACTTACTTCCTCACATGTAGAACTTTAGAGAGTACTTACTTCCTCACTAGAACATTAGAGAGTACTTACTTCCTCACATGTAGAACATTAGAGAGTACTTACTTCCTCATTAGAACATTAGAGAGTACTTACTTCCTCACATGTAGAACATTAGAGAGTACTTACTTCCTCACTAGAACATTAGAGAGTACTTACTTCCTCACATGTAGAACATTAGAGAGTACTTACTTCCTCACTAGAACATTAGAGAGTACTTACTTCCTCACATGTAGAACATTAGAGAGTACTTACTTCCTCACTAGAACATTAGAGAGTACTTACTTCCTCACTAGAACATTAGAGAGTACTTACTTCCTCACATGTAGAACTTTAGAGAGTACTTACTTCCTCACTAGAACATTAGAGAGTACTTACTTCCTCACTAGAACATTAGAGAGTACTTACTTCCTCACTAGAACATTAGAGAGTACTTACTTCCTCACATGTAGAACTTTAGAGAGTACTTACTTCCTCACTAGAACATTAGAGAGTACTTACTTCCTCACATGTAGAACATTAGAGAGTACTTACTTCCTCACATGTAGATAGAGAGTACCTACTTCCTCACATGTAGAACATTAGAGAGTACTTACTTCCTCACATGTAGAACATTAGAGAGTACTTACTTCCTCACATGTAGAACATTAGAG